CTGGAAAAGAGAGATAAGGCCTCAATATCGCCCTGCTTTGCTATTAGTAGATGGCCTGCCTTACTAGATAACCCTTCGCTGCTTAGCAATAGAGGCCTTTTCTCGTTTTTTGTTTCAAGTGTGAGGCAATGAAGGTGTTTGCTTCTCAACCTTTATTTTCTCTTGCTTGATAGAGGTGAGAAAGCAGGGGATGCGCTTGGGAGCAGCTAATTCCACCCCATTTCAGCTTTTCTGGTGCTCAGTCATCGGTCTGTCCTGTCCTGTTTGGTGTTTGGATTTTTTCTGGAAGAACATGTGAAAATCCTGCATTTAAACTGTAATAATAATAGGGACGCGGGTGGCGCTGTGGTCTAAACCACAGAGTCTAGGGCTTGCCGATCAAAAGGTTGGCAGTTCAAATCCCCGCGACGGGGTGAGCTCCTGTTGCTCGGTCCCAGCTTGTGTCAACCTAGCAGTTTGAAAGCATGGCAAAGTGCAAGTAGATAAATAGGTACCACTCCAGCAGGAAGGTAAACGGCATTTCCGTGTGCTGCTCTAGTTAGCCAGAAGCAGCTTAGTCATGCTGGCCACATGACCCTGAAGCTGTACGCCAACTCCCTTGGCCAATAAAGCAAGATGATTGCTGCAACCCTAGAGTCGTCCACGACTGGACCTAACGGTCAGGGGTCCCTTTACCTTTAACATAATAATAATAATAATAATAATAATAATAATAATAATAATATATTATTATTTCTACCTTGCCCATTGGCTGGGTTTCCCCAGCCATTCTGGGTGGCTGTAGTCATTTTGCATACAGTTCTTCATAAAACACACTTCTTTAATATATAAAAAACATAAAATACCATTTCAAATGCTTTTTGGTGGATCTTTTCCATAGAATACAAAAATTGATATAGGTTTCGTTTTGGGTTTTTTTAAAATGCGTAATGCATACTTTGGTGTGCAACCTATAGCATATGGAAAAAACACACATCAGAAAATCCAGATAAGTTGAGTTTTGAACTGTAAACAAGTTTGGGAGCATTGACTTGGGTCAGCTGGCCAAAAAAAAAGGGACCAAATTTCCATCTTTTTCAAAGCGAAAGAGGAAGATGTTCTCTGTCACTGTCTTAGTTAGACAACATTGAGGAATCATCCTCCTAGCTTGAAAGTCTTCCTTAACTAGTTGAGTGTTGGTTTCATAGAGCTGTGCCCTCAGACGCAATTGTCTCAGGCGGTGGGCATGGAAGTGATGGACTGGTATGTCCCCTACCTCACTCATGTCACTACCCATCTAGCGATGCTTCTGTGAGGCTCTGCCCAACCTCCCTGTTTCACTCTGAGGAAGGGCCAAGGGGGTCTCATCCCAGAAAAGGAATTCCAATCACACTGTATAGGTTGCACTGGTATATATTTTTCACTGTGCAAACATGGAACTTGCATATTTATATTTCTCTATCCATTATGCTTGGCCAGGAATTTGGTAATTAGGGTAAAGATGGATACAGCAAGGTTGGAATTGATTATATATCTAGCTAGTTACCAATCCTATATGATGGGATATAAATCTGAAATTTCATAATCAATATAAGAAATTTCATTTGCTTCTCTCTTACTGTTTTATCAATTTCTTCATTTGGGACTCTGACACATTTATTGATTTAATGATATGAAGATACTAATTCTCAATCATCATTCATGAGCAACAGTAAAGAACATCATATTTTGTAAAGGACAGTTAGACTTCATTAAACTTTTTGGAAACTAATATCTGGCAACGTGAGTTATTTTCATAGGGTTTACAGATTTCAGCACACAGCTAATGGCACTGGGTATATGGCAAATCCACTGACCAGTGTACCATGTATGAACTCTGATTCGTTTCAATGACATTTGTGGGTAGAGGAAGCCTAGAAAAAGAATTGTGTTGGGGTCTAGATTCTGGGTATAGACCCAGCTCTGTAAGAAAATATTTCGTAGCCTCTTCTATGCAGAAGTTTTATTGAGTTCAATAGAGCAGTTTCTCTAAATTTATTAAGATTTTCAAGCTTAATAATGAAGCAGGAGTTACCGTCAGGCGTTCCTCCTAGCTTAAGTTTCTATTCTCCTTACCATCAAACTGGGGAAAAGGTCAGACTGTACAGACAAAGAAAGCAGAAGTTGGGAGTTGTACTCTGTGCACGGTCAGGAGCCGGCAGAATGCTCTTATTGGTTATTTTTTTCTGGCGTTCGTGATTGTCTCATGATTGTCTCATGATCTGTGATGCTGCACTCAGGTATTTAACCTCAGAACTTCAATGCTTTGGGGTCCCAGTCTTTTGGAAAGGATTCCAACTGGGTACATTATTGCTCAGCAATAAAACTTCACCTTCTTTTTCTCCAATTGCTGTGTCTGTCAATCCTTGTCTCCATATAAGTGGGTACCACTGCCAAATATTTGCAACAATAATGCATTGTTGCAACTAAGGACATCCATCAGAGCTTGGAAAGTTCAAGAACCTAGTTCTAGTTCAAATTCAATATGTCTAAACAGAAACTTAATTCCAATTCAGTTCACATTCAGTTCATAGTTGAATTCAAATGTATCCAAATGACCCTCAGCTTCCCCCCACCCAGCATTCAGAATGCTGAATGTTACAAGGTTCTGTGGTGAAGTATAAAGGTCCCCGCTTTACAAATGTTCACTATGCGAAAATTCACTTATCTAAACATAAGGAATTAGCACCCTAACCTCACCATAAACATTAAACATACCCAAACAGAGAACATTTTTTACTTCCTTTGCCTTTTGCTGTTTGGTTGAGGACTGCAGGGAGCGCTTGGACAAATCAGAGAGCATTTTTCTTGGGTATTTTTGGCTTTTGTGGGATGTTAAATTCTGTGATTCTGAACACATTAGAAATTTCCTAGTAGGAATCAATGGAAATCATCAACTCCTTATGTGAACGCTCACCTAACGAACAATTTCCAGGAAATGCATTGTCCTCAATAAGCGGGACCTGCATGTACTTAAGAAGACAATCATCATCATCATCATCATCATCATCATCATCAAAATCAAAATCAAAAGACAGACACAGTGGATTGTGAGTTGTTTAATTTAATCTCCCTCCAAATTATGATCTTTAAGCTTAAAGTTTTCTTTTTAAAAAGTAAGAGGATGAACCTGAAAATAAACTAGAAATCATTCAATGAAATTAATTCACTTATGGCAAATTATGGAAACTACTTCAGAGACCTCAAAACTAATTCAATGAACTTGGTTAAACTAAACTAGTTCATTCCAAGCACTGGCAGCCACCGGCAATGATTGGTCATTTCCATAGGCAAGGTAAGATGTGATCTTTCTGACAAACTGAAATGACTATTACGTTTGGATGACTTGTGATTTTAATAAGTAAACACAGTCCTCAAAACTGTTGCCACAAGATCACCATGATTCTTAACAAGACTTCAGAGTCTTGGATGAGAAGCTAGACAGGGTGAAAAACAAAACAAATAAATCAGATTGACCTTGAAATATTTGTATATGCCCGCCTTCCCCTACTGGGAGCTCTCCAGATGTTTTCAACTACAAACATCTAGAGGGCACCAGACTGAGAAGGCTGAGAAAGGCTATTATTCATTAATGCTGCCTGCTTGACCATGAAGTAATATGGATGTTCTTTCACAGCTGATTCCCAACTGAATGATGGGCGCAAGTGTTATTTCATTCCTGTATTTCCCGATGGTTCGGGGCAATTTTACAAGAGACCCAGTGTTGTATATTTCATTGGATGTTAACATTTGACAGAGGAGAGCCAGGGTCAAATCCCTGCGGAGCCATGAAGTTCTTAGGGTGACATTGAGCCCATCACTGTCTCTTAGCTTAGCTCAAAGTAGTGGTGAAGATGCATGAGGAAGGCAAAATCATGCTTCACGATCCTGGCAGAGGGGTGGTAGTGAAAACATAATGAACAGACATTTTTCATGCAGGGACATAGAAACATGTGTGTGTGCTCTTGTGAACTGTTATGTATGATGTTCCCAGAACTTTGCTTTTCTATGTGTATTTATATTTGGAAGTGGTTGCATCTCTGTACCCATTTCATGTATTTATACCCCTTTGGTTTTAAACACATTGTAAGGAGACTGTATGGGAGTATATTGTATTTAAAAATGGGGTATCAGAGTTTTTAGGGGGATAACCAGGTTGGGATAACTGGGATAGCAGGCTTGTTGGGTTTTGAATGACTTATGTAGATTTTTCAATTTCATTGTTCTGTATGGGACAATGACAATAAAGATTATCGTATCGTATCGTATCGTATCAGTGTGAGGTCCCGTGTATTTCAAAACTCAATTCAAAGATGTTACAAACATGCATTCTTGTCAGGGGCGGAGGAAGGGGGGTGTGGTGGAGGCGTTTATATCTTTATATCTATATATTTGAAGCACATCTGAAGCACATTTTTCCCTTCAAAGAATTCTGGGCACTATGTTTTACCTCACACAGAGCTACAATTTCAAGCAACCTTCCACAGATGACAATGCCCAGAATTCCTCGAGAGGGGAACAGTACTTCAAAGCTGCTTTAAAGGCATAATTTGTACAAATTAAGGCTTCTTAAAAAAATAGATAGATACATCCACCCTAGAGAATATTCGCATTCCTATTGAGCTATTGGGAAGTTGCCTATCATTAGGAATGGCTTGTGTGGCTTTCTGATGGCTTCTTTATCAGAAAATGTAATGGTTCTAGAGATCTGATGCCCTCCCCTCCCTGCATGGTGAGGAGATATTTGGAAGCCTATTTCCAGCAGTGACTCTAGTCTGCATATTGACCACGCCCCTTAAGTTCCTGACCTTACTACAGGCAAGGGAAAGTGCAAAGGAGTTTGCAATTGCAGGAAAGGACAGGAGCACACTTCACACACAAAAAAAGATGTTCTATTAAGCCAAACATGTTTCAAATCTGTTTGTTTGGAAAGTGATTTCAAGGTAATAACTATCCTGCAACAGAATTTGGAGACCAAAGGCTCAAGTTGGTTGTATCCGAGAGTGCACCTGAGTAAGGAACTCATATTCAAAATGCGTTGGACTCAATAAGGCATCGGAAGTGCCCTTTGTTCCCTTCTTCCCACATGGAAGGCTGGCATACAAATGGGTGATCCTGCATGATGATATGCAAAATGGCTGTATGGGGCAGACTTGCTCCTATTCCTTGTGGGAGACGCAGGAATCAGCCTTATAATGAAGTCAGATCATTAGTTCATCTAGCTCAATAATATCTACACTGACCAACAGTGGTTCTCCAGTGAGACATCCTCAGCCGTATCTGGTGATGCCCTCAGTGGGTTGAGCCTGGACCTTCTCAACCCATATAGGCCTTCTCCAGGTGTTCTACAACTAAGCTATGATCTTTCGCAACTTGCACTGGATACCTATGCTGCAACAAGGGCACTGGCTGCTACTGCATTGATGCAACTAGGCTGATGCAAAAACATTTTGCTTCTGGTGATGAAGATATGGCATCCTTCTGCTCTGGTGCTACCAGAAGACAGTGGACTCGCAGTTGACTCTTGCTTCAGCGATGCCATCTTCCAGCACACCTGAGGGAGACAGGCTAGCTCTGGGAACACAGGGGTTGCTGTGTGGCACACCCAACTCTAACTTCCAACACCTTTATGCCACACACCCATCATATGCCGCCTGAAGCAGTTGTTTCACTTTGCCTAATGGGAGGGCTGGCCTAGCAGCCAGGTTGAGGGGACCAGTATTCTCTCAAGTCATACCAACCTCAGACTCTAGAGTTACTGCCTCAACAAAGCAGCTTAAAATACTGAGCCATGTAACTTGCAAACTTTCTTGACAAAGTATAGAATTCATAATTGCCTCCTGAGAGTCAATTCCCACAATAGTTGGCTGATATAAATTTAGCATAAGGATCGAGGAAGGGGACTGTTTTTGTTGCAAGATTCACAGTGCTAAATAACAGGCCCCCATATGAAATATGTCATATTTTAATAACTGGTTGTGTCTAATTATGGAAGAATATGTACTTACTTGCCAAGTGCAAAGCACTCCATCTTAACAGTAGATCCCTTAGCAGCTGTAACTGTGTATGGAAAATGGACTTCAATTTTCGGCTCATATTCCCCCATCACACCTGGGAAATAAAGAATGGTCTTTAAAAATAAAATGAATGTCATTGTTGGTTTCCAGTTGCAGAAGGCTTATTGTCAGAGCTATCGTGGCAAGGTTGCTAAACAGCTAGATAGCAATGAGTTTCATTGTGGAAGGAAATAGTTACAATTAGAATTAAAATCCCAAACATCACCTAGGACTTCTCAGTAATGTGAAAGCAACATTTTATTTTTAAAGAGCAGACAACCGTTTCTCTTGGTATATGTTCTAAGTCAGGGCTTCTCCAACATCTGAGTTCAACGCCCTCTTGTGAGCTTGTGAAGCTGTCATCGGCCCCAACCCAAATTCTAAGGCATGTAAATGAAATAAAGTCAAGGAATATCAATATATAATAAGCATTAATCCTCAATCACTGGTACCAGAAATCAAAAAATGAAAAGAAAAAAACCCACCTTATTAAATACAGAGATTGCTCATTCACAAGGGAGGTGCACTCTGTACATGCTTGTGCCCTTTATTTCTGAGGATCATAGTTACTAATTAAAATTTTCACACTATAAGTCACAAGTTTCTTTTCCATCCCAAGTCTCTATATTCACCCCCCACAAGTCGACTCCCATTGACTCCAGTGGGTCATGCTGACCATTAACATCCATGTTGCCTTACAATAAAATATCTACTTAAACTTTTATCTGGCCTGGAATCCTGCGAGGTTTTCCAAGAGGTTAAGCACCATTAAATTCAGAAGGATTACGTCTTCTTTCTTTTTCATATAATTTTTATTGCAGTTTTAAAGTAAAGGGAGCGGAATGCACAGAAGGAAAATAAGAAAGAAAAATAAATAAGGAAGAGAGATAGTAGTAGAAAAACATTATGCAGCATCGGTGCAGACATGAAACATGAATGCAACATAAATATTGTTGAGGTTTCTACATATTTCAAAAAGAAAACACCACAACTGGTGTTCAGAAGCCTACTGTCCTCAACAGTGGAGGTGGAACATCTACTATGGAGACAGAACATCTATTTCAGAGATAGAATGTAGCCATTATGGTTAGCAGATATTGATAGCCTTCTACTCCAAGAATTTGGCTAATCCTCTTTTAAAGGTGGGACGCGGGTGGCGCTGTGGGTTAAACCACTTGCTAATCAGAAGGTCGGTGGTTCGAATCCCATGATGGGTGAGCTCCTGTTCCTCGGTCCCTGCTCCTGCCAACCTAGCAGTTTGAAAGCATGTCAAAGTGCAAGTAGATAAATAGGTACCGCTCCAGCAGGAAGGTAAACAGCGTTTCCGTGCACTGCTCTGGTTCGCCAGAAGCGGCTTAGTCATGCTGGCCACATGACCCGGAAGCTGTACGCCGGCTTCCTTGGCCAATAAAGCGAGATGAGCGCCACGACTGGACCTAATGGTCAGGGGTCTCTTTACCTTTACCTTTTAAAAGTATCCAAGCTTATGGCCATCACTGCCTCCTGTGTGCAGAAAATCTAATGAACATACACTTAAACTGTGTAGTCAATTTCTGGGATATCGAAAGTCCTGTCCAGAACTTTCTGTGTGTGCCCTATTCAAATGCCCCTTAGTGTTTTATTTGTAAAAGTAAATTGAAACAAAAAACAAAGCAAAGCAAAACCCGATCTTTTTCATTTTACTTTATTCAGGGTAGCTCTCGTTGCTTCAAATATAACTCTGTGTGAAAAGGGACACTGAGCATCGAAGGCGACATCTTGTTAATTTATGTATTTCATTCTGTACGTGACATGCCATCCTGGTAAAAATTTGCATTGGGCCATTTTATCACTCTTTCTAAAAATAAAAATCTCGCCAGATCTGTTTAAGTCAGAAAAAATAGCAGTAAGTGGCAAGAGGAAGCTATATGGCTTCACAAAAACAAATTGATGTGGTAGACTGGTGAAAACCTTGGAGTAGAACCTGGGAACATATGCGCCAACTCCTAGGGGCCAAGCCATTTTCAAACACACCCACACACACCGGTATGTATATATGTATGCATGTTTGTATTTGTGGCAGCTGGGCCCCGTCAATGTTCAGAGGGCATTCAGCTCCAGCCCCTGGCTCTTCAGAACATTGTGTGTATGACGTCAGGACGTCGCATCGGGCCCCCTCAATCATCTTGAGAAGATGTCGCCTCTGCCTGGGAGACAACACTCTGGACTTTTGAGTTCAGATAAAAAGTGAGTAAGAGGAGCCATGCTAGCAGTGTAATAATAATAATAATATATGCATGGAATGGAGAAAGTGGACAGACTAGTCTTATCCCTTCACTCGTAACACTAGAATTTGAGGTCATCCATTAAAGCTGAACAGAAAAAAGAAGGACTTCTTCATGCCACACATGCCCTAAACAGAATCGGTCCAGTATATCTGAAGGAGCATCTCCACCCCCATCGTTCTACCCGGACACTGAGGTCCAGTGCCGAAGGCTTTCTGGTAGTCTCCTCACTGCAAGAAGCCAAGTTACAGGGAACCAGGCACAGGGCCTTCTCGGTAGTGGTGCCCGCCCTGTGGAACGCCCTCCCATCAGATGTCAAGGAAATAAACAACTACCAGACTTTTAGAAGACATCTGTTTAGGGAAGCTTTTAATGTCTGATGCATTACGGTACTTTAATATTTTGTTGGAAGCCGCCCCGAGTGGGGGGGGGGTTATAAATAATAAATTATTATTATTATTATTATTATTATTATTATTATTATTAAACCATGGAATTCACTACCATAGGAGATAGTGACGGTCACTAACTTGGATGGCTTTGAAAGAGGGTTAGGCAAATTCATGGTGGGTAAGACTAACGGCAATGGCTGTTTTCTTCCTCCAGTGTCACAGGCAGTATGCCTCTGAATGCCAGTTGCTAGGCCTTGCATCTGAGGAGGGTACTGGTGTCTTCAGGTTCTCCTTGTGGGCTTCCCATGGGCATCTGGATGGGTACTGAGGTAACAGGAAGCTGGACTAGATGAACCTTTGGTCTGATCCACCAGACCAGCATTGCTTACACTGACTGTCAGTGGCTCCCCAGCAGAGCCGGCCCACACATGAGGCAAGGTGAGGCGACCACCTAAGGCAGTTTCATAGCTTTTGGGGGATACTTTTCAGGCTGGGGAATACCCAGCCATCTGCTGCTGTGTCCATATAACTAACACCTTGGATGCTGATCTGAGACAGCATCATTTCTAATTATGTAAACCTTAGTGGTAAAAAAATGCATTTTCTAAGACATATACTTATTTAGCTTACAGCATATGGAAAATTCAGTGCAGAGGAGGAAGCACTTTTCCCTTCATGCAAATATTTTGGCTTCATGGTCATATCCCTGAGCATCACATTCAATATGTTTGCTCCATGATGCACTTTATGTATTTTATCAAAGTATTCTTTCCTTGCTGATTCCTGCTAGACTGTTCTTTAGGAACCAGAGAAGAGATCCAGAAGAAGAGCCGTGAGAGATCCCTACGCTGCAGCGTACTAAACTCGGTAACATTTCCAGCGGTTCTACTTGAGACAGACTGTGGAATGAAATATTACAGTCGCATCCTTCTCACCCACCCCCTGGCTCGATAGTTCTATTCAAACTATCCCAGCTCAAAATAATTTTCATATTGCATCCAAGGGAAAAAGAGGGTGGGGAAAAAACTTCCAAGTTCTAGACAGTGAAGGAATGAGACACTTCTCATCTTACAAGGTATTCTTTAAATATTTAGTAACTGAAGATTGTAGAAATGAAAGTTGCTCAATAAACTGGATTTGGCAGTGACTGCAGCTCAGTGGTAGAGTGCAATCTTCAGTTTAAGGAACAGATAGAAGATCAAGCCAAAAAAACACTGGAGAGTGACTGCCAGTCAGAGTAGACAATACTAGCCTACACTGTGGACAAATAATTCAACCTGGTGCAAGGCAGAGTATTACATTTTTATATATGGGTTTATGAGTTGCCCAATAAGTATGGATCCATCAATCCAAATGGAATAACAATAATATACGTGTGTTGCTATATGTCCAAAATTTCCCAAACATAGCTGGAATATGCCAGTCGGTAACAGTGCCTAGGCAGAAATTGAGATGTCTATGGACTTTAATTTTTTGAAATATGGCAATACACACACACACACACACACACACACACACAGAGAGAAACTAATTGCTATTTTATTGTGTTCTTTTAATATTTATCTATATCTGTATGGGACGCGGGTGGCACTGTGGGTTAAACCACAGAGCCTAGGACTTGCCGATCAGAAGGTTGGCGGTTTGAATCCCCGCGATGGGGTGAGCTCCCGTTGTTCGGTCCCTGCTCCTGCCAACCTAGCAGTTCAAAAGCATGTCAAAGTGCAAGTAGGTACCGCTCTGGCCGGAAGGTAAACGGCGTTTCCGTGCGCTGCTCTGGTTCGCCAGAAGCGGCTTAGTCATGCTGGCCACATGACCCGGAAGCTGTACGCCCTCGGCCAGTAAAGCGAGATGAGCGCCACAACCCCAGAGTCGTCCACAACTGGACCTAATGGTCAGGGGTCCCTTTACCTTTACCTTTATATCTGTATCGATCTATATTTCTATATATGTGCCTATTTTAGAAATCAGAAATGAGGCTGTAATCCTAGCCCCATTTACCTGCAAATTAGCCCCATTGAATTCAACAGGACTTACTTTTGAGTACAAATAGCTGGGATTCTGCTGTTAGTCTAAGAAATTGGATACAATTTATTTCTATCATCTGTGGTAGGTAAACACTTCTCATGCAATTCTAGGAGAATTATTTGTGCTAAGCTTTGGCTGGACAATGCCCAGTGATTTGTGGGGGGAAAAATACTTACTTTTTTATTATTAAAAACAACAACATTCATTTTGCCTGCCCAAAATCTTCCAACATTCAGTATTATGAGTTAGGGAGAAAAAACATCTCCCTACCCACTATACAGGATTTCATAATATTATTTTATACTCTTCTATCATATCTCCCCTTACCTGCCTTTTTTCTTTCCAAGAATGCTTGAACTTTCTAGTCTATTAAACTCATTTACTATCCTTTCAACTCCCAACTCCCCCCCCCCCCATGCTTGGGAAACACACTTGGCAGATGTCGTGCTTCGACCTGGATGCCAGCTTGAGATGCTTCTCTACAATTAAAAAACCCATGACTCTCTTCCATTGCTCCTTCCCCGAAATTCTCACATGGCTGCTTTTGTGAGGCACAAAAGCAAACATTCTCTTAATTCAGCTCCTCAGATGGTCATAATGCCTGCCCTGTATTATGCGTGGATTCCCCGTCCATCTCAGCCAGCTGTAATAGACTGAGATAGAAAACAGGATTGCTTCTGCAATCTCTGATAGCCAATTAAGCTAAAATGAACTGTATGAATGAGGAATGCTTGTCTGCTAGAATGACCCATGTGCATTGCGCAAAGCACAATCAAGTGCAAACATCCCATCATTTCCTTGATAGTAAGGACAAGACAGGAGCTCAGAGCTCTTCCGGAGGAGCAACCCCAAATCTCCATTATTTTGCTGCCTATAGCGACAAAGCACCCTTGCTGCATTGGAGCTGTTCTGTCCTGAAGCCAAATGCTTCCTCTTCATTATCAGATTGCTTCAGTGGGCTGACATATGACAGGATATGACAAGTTGCTCCTAGCTGGACTCCAGTGTCATATCCCAGGGACCATAGTGAAAGCTGTCAGACAGGTAATATACAGGAAAGGTTTGTGAATGGAGAGGTAAACAAGTATCTAGCCCTGTAAGGAGCGCCAAGTTGCAAATTTGCCTTTGATTAAGCCGGGAGATGGAATTGTGCTATGCTGTTAACCTAAAGGAGAACAAAATCGACATACTTGTTAGCAAAGGGCCCGTGCGAGATTCTCGTGTGTGTGTGTGTGTGTGTGTGTGTGTGTGTGTTTTCCCAGAGTCTAGTGATGTTTAAGGGCTGACCACGGGGAGCAAACGTAAGCGAGAATCTTCTTCTCTGCCAACGTGTGTTAATGAGCTGTCATGGAATACTCTATGCCCAGGGTCTTCTGCAACCAGATAAATCTTTCAGCAGATAATTAGCAGGCAGAGTAACAAAACACCTGCATCTCCCATTGATGGAGGTTTGTGCCAAATCAATCGTCAAGCATAACTCGGATTTCACTAAATGATGTGTGAGAATCCCTAAGGTGCTTGCCCATACCTGGCCTCTCTCCCTCTTGGGGTAGATGAGATTGGAACATGATCTTTCTAGCGCAACCCTAATCTGAAAGCGCTGCTTTGCAAAGCAGTTATCAAATGCAGAAATTGTCACGTCCAGAGATTTGGCCCGCACAATATGTAACCCTATGACACCTAAAGGAGAACAGCAATAAGAAATCTAATAAAACACTACTACCAGTATTAGCACTAATTCAGTGTATAAACCATGCATAGTCACCTGCCAGAGGCCCTAGAAATCTTCCATGTTTTGCTGCCTGTTTGGAAATGCAAAAATGATGGAAGGATTGCCATGCATTTAGCAGGGATTAGATCCACTACCTGGGCTGTTCAAACTGGGTTGAAGCAAAAGCAACAGGGGATTGAAGGTGACCTGTAATCAACAAGAGTTGGTCTCCATGTTGCTCAGACAATTTATCTATTTACTATTCAACTATTCATTTCATAAAATTGATATACTGCTTGATTGTGGGGGGGAAACCTAAAAGTGGTTTGCAATTTTTTTTTAAAATCACTAAAAATTTACATCTGTAATGTAAAACATACAAAAGGTTTTAAAATGATTATTATGATTATGATTATGATTATTACCTTCACAATAGAATAGAGTAAAATGAATTAAAACTCATACAGACTTTCTAAGCATCTAGGTAAGGTAAAGGTAAAGGGACCCCTGACCATTAGGTCCAGTCGCAGACGACTCTGGGGTTGTGGCGCTCATCTCACTTTACTGGCCGAGGAAGCTTCCGGGTCATGTGGCCAGCAGGACTAAGCCGCTTCTGGCGAACCAGAGCAGCGCACGGAAACGCCGTTTACCTTCCCACCAGAGCGGTACCTATTTATCTGCTTGCACTTCGTGCTTTCGAACTGCTAGGTTGGCAGGAGCAGGGACCAAGCAACGGGAGCTCACCCCATTGCTGGAATTCGAACTGCCGACCTTCTGATCGGCAAGCCCTAGGCTCTGTGGTTTAACCCACAGTGCCACCTGCGTCCCTAAACATCTAGGTAGGCTTGTCTAAATAAGAATGTCTTCAGCATGCAACCTCGACCTGGAAGTTTTAATATAGATAAATGATTTCCCTTTGACTGGCATGGCTAGTTTCTTTGCAATTCCAGAGCAGAGAACTGTCAGGTCACCAGATTAAAACCAGATGCAGATTTGAGATTAGAGTTCAGTCAAGGTTCTGTTTCTGAACTTTCTACATAAGAGCACAAGAAGAACCTGCTGGATCAGGCCAATGGCTTATCTGTCCCAGCTTCCTGTTTTCACAGTTGCCAAAAAGAAGTCTGTGAGAAACCCACGAGCAGGATCCGAGCTGAAGAGCACCCTCTCCTCTCGCAGTTCCCAGCAACCGGCCTTCCTAAGCATCGCTGCCTCCGACCACGGAGGCAGAACATAGTTTTCAACCACACACTGTTGAAGAGCGGTTCCAAGTAAGAAAATGCCCTTCCAAACACACATTCGTAAACTCCAATGGTTATGGAGATCCCCACCCTCCAAAGACAAATTTAATAAATAATAATAATCACTCATCACCTCAGTTTTCCTCTCCCACTTTCCCTTCTATAGAACATAAGAACAGTCTGACTCTGTATAAGGTAGCTTTCTAGTGTTATGAGATTTCAGGGATGGAGGAGGAAGTGGTTTGTATGCAGAGAACCTTCTAACCCCCGCTCCCAGCAAGTGTTAAAATATAAGGTATATAATATTAGGTAATAGCCTGGGTGATAGGCCATTAGGGGATACAGAGGAAAGGGGTTCTGGGTGAGGCAGCAAATGGGTGGTCCCAGCTTTCGCTTGAGCTCATGGCTAGTCAGAAGGATGAAGCCAGAGTTTAGCCTTGGAGTGATGTGAGTCAGAAGCAAGGCAGCAAAAGGGGGTGGGGAGGGAGAAAGCTCGAGCAATGATTGATTTCTGTCCAAATCCAAGGCTGCAGCTATGGGAGAAACAAAACCATTTTGGACTGTTAATGCTGCGACCCTCTCCATCGTAGGCTCAGGTTGTATATATGTGTAAATAAACAATATATCATAAAGACACCACAGTCTCCGCTGTGCCTCATTCCAAAAGGAAACATGAGCCCTCTAACTCCTAGAAGCTTGCACCACTCAGAGATTGGGGTAGCGTTCATAACTTATGTTCACAGTTTCTCTTTGTGCTGATTCTGTGCTGAAAATTCCCTCCTTGGGAGGATTAGCCACTGAGGGGGAAACAGAGGCACTATACCAGCATTTGTTTGCCTTCCCTCTGTGGTTAATAGCTGCCTTTGGGGGCGTGCAGAGATTTAAGTGATGGAAACAGCCCTGAGAGGAAGTTTGCTTGTTTTTAAATGCCAGAAACATGGCCTGCATCCAAATTTAGGCCCCTGTGGCGGCTTTTAGCAAAAACAGATCTGGAAGAGCAGATCTCTTATTTCATGTGTAATGTAGCCCTGAGAAATCAGTTGTGGTCTGAGATCTAACAGTGGCTATATATTTGGGGGTGAGAGCAGGGATGTGTGCAGGCCAGAGTTGGAGCACAAAAAGCAGGAGAAACCAAAGTGGTGCCTGTTATGTATTCAGTGGTCTGTGTTTGCCTGAGCTTGAGTCTGGATTAAGTATTCTGAGCCGCTGTGTTCTGATTCGATATATGATATCCAATCACAGAACATTTCAGGATTCGGGCCTCTGCCCTTAGCCCTTAAACTCTGAGTTATGATTCGCAGCTTGGAAGTTTAGACAGCCAATCACGTTGAGAGTGGGAGTGGCCCAGGCCTTCAGAAATGTATATAAGCAGTTGCTTTGCCCCTGTTGTCGAGTTCTGTTAGTTCAGTAAAGGTTCTTGCTGTTATTACTGTGCCTTGCCTTGTGGGAACTCACCTATACTTCAGTGCCCATGAGATGCTATTGGGCTCCAACTCCCATCAGCCCCAGGCAACATGGCCAGTGGACAAGACTGATGGAAGTTGTAGTCCAAAGCAGCCAGAAGGCACCATAGAAGGCTACCTCAGTTGTAAATCATACCAGCCTTTGAGTGGCTCCGTTAATTTGTTAGAAATAAATAGCATGTAATCAATATTGTTTTTATTTATCACATAGGAAGGAGAAAAAGTATTGAAAAAAGATATGAGCCAAAAATGGCTGTGCATTATTACAAATCAACAAATATTTTAAGCTCTCTGAGTTTGAGGAAGTTGCCTGTGTCACACACACACACCCCACACCTGCAAAAACAGTTGTTGATTTTCTTTTACTACTTCCAATTGGTAACTGAGACTCCAAAGCTGCCTCCTAACAATGCCTCTTTCTCCTGCTTGTAAACACTTATTAAATAATTCTTCTGAGTTTCTAAGGTATTGTAAAAGGCAGTTAATGAAATGATGCACAATCTATTTTTTTTTCTTCTTGGTGAAACTTTTTATCTCCTCAGATAGAATTTTAAATTGTTTTTGTAAGTCTGCGCAAAGCGAAATTGAATTGTATGGAATGACTGATTGTCAAGGACATCTGCACAAATGAGGTATTCATTTTATTCAGAATCCATTCAAGGATTTCTTGATGTTTTTATTTAATTTGCTTCGTATCAAGGAGATAAGTTTCCCTTTGAGGCAGAGCTCTAAGGAAATAAAAGATTAATATAAAGACAAGTGAATTCCTACACTCTTGCAGGATCTGACATAAAACTATAATATTATTCAGCTGCCTCAATGAAGATAAATATATAGACATGTTGTCTGGGGAGCTTTCTTGTCATAAGATGCCAAATCCCAGGGTGTTGCCCACAGTCGAGAATTCTGAATGGGAAGTAGTAGTCCATGAAGATTCCAATTCACAGGCGGGATTACTGTAATTGGATTGCTTCAAATCTTGCTCTCCACATATCTATGCAACCTTTCCCCACAAACAGCAGACTTGAATGAGTTAGGTGATCTTCCAAAGAGAACACTGTTCCATTTCCCTCAGCAAAGCTTGTTGTTGTTGTTTAGTCGTTTAGTCGTGTCCGACTCTTCGTGACGCCATGGACCAGAGCACGCCAGGCACTCCTGTCTTCCACTGTCTCCCACAGTTTGGTCAAACTCATGCTGGTAGCTTTGAGAACACTGTCCAACCATCTCATCCTCTGTCATCCCCTTCTCCTTGTGCCCTCCATCTTTCCCAACATCGGGGTCTTTTCCAGGGAGTCTTCTCTTCTCATGAGGTGGCCAAAGTATTGGAGTCTCAGCTTCAGGATCTGTCCTTCCAGTGAGCACTCAGGGCTGATTTCCTTCAGAATGGAGAGGTTTGATCTTCTTGCAGTCCATGGGACTCTCAAGAGTCTCCTCCAGCACCATAATTCAAAAGCATCAATTCTTCGGCAATCAGCCTTCTTTATGGTCCAGCTCTCACTTCCATACATCACTACTGGGAAAACCGTAGCTTTAACTATATGGACCTTTGTTGGCAAGGTGATGTCTCTGCTTTTTAAGATGCTGTCTAGGTTTGTCATTGCTAGCCAAGGACAAATAAGGTGTCCTTCCTCTGAACCTAGGTCCTGAAAGAATTCTTTTCTTTCAGAACATTCCATGACATCATGCACACTGAACCAATGTCACAGGCTTATTTCCAATTGCACCTGTCTTACTCCTTCAGCCTCATTTGGCTCAGAGTCATCCTTCCTTCCCTCAACACTCTGGTCTCCTCCAGCCTAAGGTTACCAGATTTTTTTCCATGAATTTGGGGACACTTTAATTAATTAATTAATTAATTACTACACATTCAGGACGTTGATGCTGCAGCAATGGCAGTGGCAGAGGGACGGCCACCGCCTTGACCTCAACTGCCATGTTTCCCCTTCCTCCGAGGCTTCTATCTCCTTTCTCCATGAACCTGGGCAGCCCCTGAGTTGTTGGTTCTTCGGTGGTGGTGGGGAAGTGGTCCACAGTGGGTCAGGCATGGAAGGCGGAGAAGGAGGGCTGAAAGCAGTGGCAGCAGCAAGGCTCGGGCAGCACAATGCCTCCCTTCCCACCGGAGCAGCCCCAATCCCATTCCTACTTGCGTGCAAGCCGGAGGGTGTGGGGATCCCTCAGCTGGGAAGGGAGGCTTCCCATTGCCTAACTGAGAGATCCCTGCCCCCTCCTGCTTGCATGCAAGCTCTGTAGGCAGTGTGAAGTCTCCCTTCACAGCTTTGTTGCTGGGGTCAGGGAAGGTGGAGGCAGCCCAGAAGCTGAAGCTTAGAGCCCCTGCACCACCATCATATGGGGACTTCTGAGCAGCTCCTGAAGCCAGCCAGAGCCAACTGTTCCAGGCTGCTGAGACTGCCACTGCTGCATTTCCTGGGGACATTAGATGATATCCGTAGACATTTCAGGGATGGAATTTGTCCGGGGACTTATTTGCAAATCCGGGGACTGTCCCTGGGAAATGGGGATGTCTGGTTACCCTACTCCAGCCATCATTTCCTTATTCCTTTGTTTCTTCCACTCTTTGCTAAAACCCTTGCTGTTTCCCTCTACCTATGGCTTCCTGCCTCCTTCTTCTCCCCAGTCCTTTTTTGTCTTTACTTTGACGACAGTCTTTTCCTCCTGGAAGGAATCAATGATCAATTACCCAGTGATCAATAAATACAGTCAGACTATTCTACTTTATTTTGGTCTTTTCCTCAGTCAGCACCTCCCACCTTCTTCTACCTTCCGATCCCCATTCTAGGCTTCTGTGAGATCACAGAAGCATAGCCAATAGCTAATGAGGACTCTCAGACTGACAGGTAGCAACCGAATTACCAAGAGCAAATTTGTAAAAGTTACAGTCTTAGGTGTTCTAATGGGGAATCTAAACCACATCTCTATGGTATACACACACACAAGTCCTGAATTGGGTATGATGATATAGATTATTAATGCAACATGAAAACAGGGTGGCTGGCGAGTTCATGGAATGATGTGATTGCTCTAGGGACTGAAGCTAGCAACGCAAGCAAAACCCTTCACTGCTTATAACAAATCCAAGCAAATTATCACAGTGTTTCTGGCAGCCTGTCCAGTAAACAGGTTCTTTTCCATTTATCACATGAATTCTAGATACTTCTCAAACTACAGCACATGCATTGCCAAGATAAATTCGTATCAACAGAGAAAACTTTGTAGCCCTCATCAGCTTCTGGATGGATGGAACTTGCTTTTCTCACTTGCATGAACAGAAGGAATGGGACCCAAACAACCTGGGAAGAAGATGGAAAGCTTTGCTCTAGGCAAATTGGAGATCCCCTTTGCCTACACTGATGAACTGCATAGGTGTGGGTCTCTGTGGGCAGGTCACAATATGCATTGAGCGTACCTACTCCCTATATTATGGTGCTGGAGGAGACTCTTGAGAGTCCCATGGACTGCAAGAAGATCAAACCTATCCATTCTGAAGGCAATCAGCCCTGAGTGCTCACTGGAAGGACAGATCCTGAAGCTGAGACTCCAATACTTTGGCCACCTCATGAGAAGAGAAGACTCCCTGGAAAAGACCCTGATGTTGGGAAAGATGGAGGGCACAAGGAGAAGGGGATGACAGAGGATGAGATGGTTGGACAGTGTTCTCAAAGCTACCAGCATGAGTTTGACCAAACTGCGGGAGACAGTGGAAGACAGGAGTGCCTGGCGTGCTCTGGTCCATGGCGTCATGAAGAGTCGGACACGACTAAATGACTAAAAAACATCAACAACAACTCCCTATACCAGTATTTGAAAAATGGAGCTAAGGATAGGAAATAAATTAGGTTCAGTTTGCATTTGAATGGAAATACATCTGCATTTTTCTGAATCAATCGGCAAAATTGTATGCAACTGTCCTTTGAAACGCATACTTCTCTGAATTTCAGTAGGCAATTCTCAGACCAAAACACATGCACAGGCAAAAATGTGTATATTAGGGGAAAGAGTGTCTGAAAATGCTTATCTAAATGAAAGTAATGCTTCTCTAAATGAAAAATGCATTGTACCGGGGAAAATTGCATGCAAAAATACATATGTTAAGAGAAACATAGACTAAAGAATGTTGATGAACTTTCTTAAAAATTGCAAATTGGTGCTGAACTTGACTGGGAAAGTGAGAAACTAAGAGAATCTGAAATTGACAGACCAAACCGTCCTATATCAGAGTGGTAGCCTGCCATTACTAAGAAGAAGCTCTCAAGAGTTCTTCCAGCCCTGTCATCTGAGAAGCTGTGAATCGAATTTCTCAAACGTACTGCATTTCCTCTCAGGGCACAATTAGAGGAGATAGTTGAGACCTGTGACTGCATCCTTCATAAACTTGTGTTCGAAACAGTCATTTCCCCAAATTAAATAACCTCATTGGGGCGTTATAGGGCACATGCACATTTCCCCTAAGGAGGCAAATAATTACTTCCAGTGGGTGGTTTTCATGGGGGTGGGGGGTGTGCAGGAGGGAAAGTTAAATCTATCCCTTCCCCAATATCCTGTTTAAGTTCCCACATACTCCTGGTTGCATATTGCTAACTAAAAATAGCAGGATGGGTTATCCCATCATTGACCATCATCATCTCATCTTCTTTGGCCATAGACTATGGCTCTTCTGGGACGCGGGTGGCGCTGTGGGTTAAACCACAGAGCCTAGGACTTGCCGATCAGAAGGTCAGCGGTTCGAATCCCCGTGAAGGGGTGAGCTCCCATTGCTCAGTCCCTGCTGCTGCCAACCTAGCAGTTCAAAAGCACGTCAAAGTGCAAGTAGATAAATAGGTACCGCTCCAGCGGGAAGGTAAACGGCATTTCCGTGCGATGCTCTGGTTCGCCAGAAGCGGCTTAGTCATGCTGGCCGCATGACCCGGAAGCTGCACGCCAGCTCCCTTGGCCAATAAAGCGAGATGAGTGCCGCAACCCCAGTGTCGGCCACGACTGGACCTAGTGGTCAGGGGTCCCTTTACCTTTACAGCTCTTCTATGTACAGTACAGAGCCTGTGGACCATTTCACACATCATGTGGCAACAAACCAGGATTTACTAACTAACTAGTGGACCACTGAACAATTCCCTGCAACAAATTGTGCACTTGCGTGATACATGTTTCTTCAAGCACATTTTTCTGTCATTCACACATTTCCTGTTTAGGATATCTAAAAATGTAATGTGTGAATGAAAGAAACATGTGCTTCATTGATTTTTATTCATTCAACTTGTAGGTCTCAGGGTGGCTGCAACATAAAATCACAATATAAAAGCCACATAATACATAATAAAAATGTGCTCGGAGACACACACATTGGAAAAATGCAATGTGTGAAGATTCACCACTGGTGCATGAAGCTCATGTTTCCTATAGGCTGTAGGTCAACAAAACCCATGTTTTTGAAGAGAATAGAATGCAATGCATTTGTGGGTATGACCAAACAGAAATGTGAGTTCTTTTGGAAATTGTGTTCAGTGTCTTAAAAAAGGAAAGTGGGGCTTAGCCTAGATAATGTCAGATAACATTTGTCGACTGCTGAACTACCACGACGGGTAAATTTAGGAGGATGCCAAAGCAAAACAAACTGCTATGGCTTGAAGTACAAGAAGAATGTACTTCTTATGCAGGATTCACGCTGTGCAAACATGGAAACTTTCCAGCCATGCAGTAATGAACAAAGATCAACTTAATTCCAGGCTAAGCTCTGAATGAATATATACTGTAACAAATCAAATGATCTTTCTTAAAGCCTAGACTTTGTAATGTTCTCACAGTGCTCAAATATTTATAAGCCTGAGCAAGTTCCTTGCTGTGTTTGCATGTTTTATGGCTTTGTTTAATGCTTACTCCTATGAGCTTATGTGTTTGTGTGTGTGAGAGACAGACAGACAGAGAGAGAGAGAGAGAGAGAGGACTGCTCAAATGGGTTTCTGAAAGAGCAGCAGTCACTGAAAGTAATCTTATTTCCTGATCCTAAATACGTTTTCTTGAAATCAAGAAAATGGGAATGGTGCCAACAATCATGCATGCACAGTAACATGTTTAATTTAAAATGAATGTCTATTGTGCACACATATGAAGCTTTCTTTGACCACGTCAGAGTGTTTGAACATCTAGCCCAGCGATACCGTATTTTTTCCGTGTATAACATGCCCCCGTGTATAACACGACACCTATTTTTTGGGACTCCAAATAAAGAAATCCCCCATATGCACTTTCCGTGTATAAGACAACCCCTGAATTTTAAACTTGAAAAAATAGGGGGGAATATAGTCTTATACACGGAAAAATACGGTATATTATTTTATTTATTTACTGTATATATAGACCCACCCAAAGGTCCTGGAGTGGAAATACAAAAGAATTGAAGCAATAATAGTTTCAACTCTAAGGAGCAACACCTCTCCCACATTAGAGTATGGAATACAGTGGTGCCTCGCAAGACGAAATTAATTCGTTCCGCGATTTTTTTCGTCTTGCGAAGCACGGTGTCAGGAAAGTTTTGGAAAAGCTTCAAAAATCACCAAAGTCTTTAAAAACCTCAAAAAAGGCTACCGCACCGTGTTCTATGAGTTGCTCCTCAAAGTCTAGTCGCAACTGTATTAACGGTGTTAAGAAAAAGGAAACAAACTTGCAAGACGTTTCCGTCTTGCGAAGCAAGCCCATAGGGAAAATCGTCTTGTGAAGCAGCTCAAAAAACAAAAAACCCTTTCGTCTAGTGAGTTTTTTGTCTTGCGAGGCATTCGTCTTGCGAGGTACCACTGTATGCAGCACAGCAGAGTGGCGAAGTAAATATGGCATGAAAGAAACTTAAGGTTTATCGCTCCTGGCTTTATTACTCACATCTGAGTACATCACATGTGGCACAACATGTCAGCATGCCCAGCAGGGTGTGCGCATGACATCAGCAAGACACCACAGGGCGTGCTGGTGTCATGCACACATGCCACGGAGCATGCTGACATTTCATGACCCCGGCTCCCTCCACTGCGGGGGCAAGGCAGCATGTTTATGCATGTATGTGTGTGTGTGTAAGGGGCTCTGTGATGGCCTGGGAATCTGATTCAGAAGCTGAATCTGAGGAGTCCCAGCCTGCACAGGAGTCCCCGCCTCCAGGGCCGGCTGAGCTGGGGCAGGGGCTTGAATCTGAAGGGCCTGCACCTGTGCCGGATCCTCAGGAGCAGACACCAGATGCATCCACTCTGGCTCCGGAGGTGATTGAGGACCCATTGCCTGCAGGTGTGCCTCTCCCAGCCCTGTCATGGGAAGATGAAGCTGCCCCTGGGTCCAGTAACCCTCCATCCTCTCCTGAGCTGCAGAGGCTTAGGCAGAGAGGCGGAGGGAACTGGGTTCTCTCAGGAGGAGTGTTCGCCTTAAGGCCAGGAGAGGCGGGTCACCTGTGGGCCGGGACCGCCCCTGGCCTCAGAGGAGATAAAGGCCAGTCAGCCCGGTCCCAGGTTGCGGGAGCAATGTCGTTGGAAACCTGCTTCTGCCAGCACCCAGACCTGTTCTTCCGGAGTTCCCGACCACGCCCGGCTTCTTGCTTCGGACCCCGCTTCGCCCTTTGTGGACTGTCTCCAGACCCTTGACCCAGGACCGGACTCTGACCACGCCTCACGGAAACCTCCCCCCGGGACCAGCACAGGCCCAATACATTTCGACTTCGAGACCAAGGCAGCTTACCATCAGTTCGAAGGGTTAGCGGTGTGGGTGGGCTAAGCACTCTCGCATTGGTCACCGTGTTCTTCACCAGGCAGATATAGCTGCCTACATCCGAGGGCTGTACTTTGGAAATGTAGAGATTGCCCGTTTCCTGGGAGATAAAGCGCCGGCTGTCTTCTGCCACAAAGGAGGGGAATTCATTAAATACCCAGCTGTAGATGATCTCTGGAAAATACAGTAAGAAAAATTGCAGCAGGCATTATAATTATTGGCCAGCTAAAATGGAAACAAAAGTGGCTCAAAGTCACTATGCTTTAAAAAGAAGTAAATCTCAATTTTCTATTAAAACAGTGGCAGAGAAACTTCCTGATTTCCTTTCGACAGAGATTGTTCAAATCAAGAGAGTAACAGGCAAGCCTGGTGGATCTGATTAAGTGGAATAAGGCAGGGCAGAGATGTGACTCAGAGCAAGTTACACATATGAATCTTTTTTTTCTCTGTTATGATCGCAAACAAACAGACAAAAGCAAAAAATTGATTGGAGCAATTCACAAATAAGTCTTCAAAAGTGGTACCGTGATCTATCATCATTGGCTGAACATGGGCCAGGCACTTTCCCCAGAGGGTTGTGAGGATAAAATGGAAATGGAGAGAATTACATGCGCTGCTTTAAGCTCTTGGAAAGAAAGGTGGGACAAAAATGTAATAAATATATTTAAAAAGTGATGGTAGTCTTCGCTGCTTTATTCTGTTTAATATTCTGTTGGGAGCTGCCCAGAGTGTCTGGGGAAACCCAGCCAGATAGGTGGGGTATAAACAATAAATTATATTATTATTATTATTTATTATTATTCCCACACTAGAAAATAAGTTGAGAAAAAGGAGGTAGCTACTGCACCAGAGCCCTCCTCCTGCCAGAAGACATAACTGCATCTCAGTTATTATATTACGGATTCTCCTCTCCCACTATCTTGTCTTCTCCTCCCATTTCCCCACTGACTGACTCTTCTACGCTACTGAACTTTTGACACCCAGCATTAGCTCTGAGGCAGCCTCTCTCTGCAGCCGGTTCTCCGTCAGCTTTGTCAGGGCTGCCTCTAAATGCAGAAATGTCAAGGTTAGCTCCGTAATAGAAAGTCATTGCCACTGCTCCAAGACACACAATGCTTTGCCGCTACAGTGAGTTCAGGCCTTTCAGCTACTAATTGTCTGAGCTATTGTTTTCAGCCGTAGCGGCACAACGAAGGCAGTAATCACAATTTAGGCTGATGGCACATTTATTTCTAATGTGCTTTTTTTAAAAAATTACCCCTTGTCGACTGATAGTTAGAAAGTTGGGGGGATTTTAGGTCTATAAATTTGGAAGCATCTCCCCAACATTTCCAGCAATCCATTAGTTCCTTAGACTATTCGACTTCCTTTTAATGGTAAGGATTGTGACTGGGGAAAGGTTGTAGCTCAGTGATAGAGTCATCTACCTTGCATGCAGAAGGTCCCAGGTATTATTATTATTATTATTATTATTATTATTATTATTATTAATACCCCACCCATCTGGCTGGGTTTTCCCAGTCACTCTGGGCAGCTTCCATCAAAATATTAAAATACAATAATTCATCAAATATTAAAAGCTTCCCTAAACAGGGCTGCCTTCAGATGTCTTCTAAAAGTCAGATAGCTGTTTATTTCCTTGACATCTGATGGGAGGGCATTCCACAGGGCGGGCGCCACTACCGATAAGGCCCTCTGCCTCGTCCCCTGTAACTTCGCTTCTTGCCCTGAGGAAACCACCAGAAGGCCCTCAGAGCTGGACCTCAGTGTCTGGGCAGAATGATGGGGGTGGAGACGCTCCTTCAGGTATACTGGGCCAATGCCATTTACTGCTTTAAAGGTCAGCACCAACACTTTGAAATGTGCCCGAAAATGTACTGGGTTCAATCCTAGCAGCTCCAGGTAGGACTGGGAGAGACACCTGCTGGGAGAGCTGCTGCCACTCAGTGTAGACTAGACATGTCCAAAGTCCATTTTTGGGGGTCCAATCCAGCCCACCGGTTGGTTTAATTTGGCCCCTGTGGCAGTTTATTTCCTGGGATAAAAGAATCCTAAAAAAAAAAAAAAACCCTCAACAACTTCAATCCTAAAAAAAGGTCAACTTTGGTTGGCCCTTTGGGTGGCCCTCACGGGCCTTCACTTCATCAAATCTGGCCCTCTTTGAAAAAAGTTTGGACACCACTGACATTGTAGACAATACTGAGCTAGATGAACCAATGGTCTGACTCTGTATAAGGCAGCTTTTTTTCTGTATAAGGCAGTGCCAGGGACGGTGGAGGAGCAGTTGTCCCAATAGGTCTCTCAGACCATAGATGGTTCTGTGAGGAGTTTATCGTATGTGGTCTCTGGTCTCTCTTGCTTCTGTCTTCCCTCAGGCATGCAGACCCTTAGCAAATTTCACGTAAAGTGACAAAGGTCACAATCCTAACCCTGGAAACATGAGTCTGGAAGCAATTAGGACCCAGAAATCATCCACCTCCAGTGCTGCTGGTGGTGTTGTGCAGTAGCTCTTGTGGATAAGGTAGCAAAGGCAACACACACACTCTGCCAATTTTTTCTGCTGCCAATAGGCAGAAGGCACTGAGATGGGGGATTGTGGGGGGCCTGGGAAGAGATGAGCAGGCCAAGGATCTGATGGATCCTAAGTTCTTCCCAGAAAATGTACCTATCTAGGCTTTTCCACGCTGTGCTCTGTGGTGCAGCAGGGTCCAGTTAGGATGTAAAACAAGGAGGTCCAACTAGGGTGTAAGGCTAGGCAAGGTGGGACAAGTTAGATGAGGTTCAGGTGGCAAGGCCATAGCCCCACTCTGAGGGGACAAAAAGCTTTCAAGTTGCTCCAGCAAGAAGCAAGGTGGAACTGAAGTAGTAACAGCAGGCATAGTCTTATTGTTAGGCCCACCTGTGCCACAGGATGCTGCCCTGCTTAAAGGGCCCCTTCTCTGTTACAATAACTTCCTCCTGTAATGGGAAGAGGGGGCTCAGGCCTTCCACAGTGGAGTCCTTTGAGTCAGAGGATGGTAGTGCCATATCCTCAGGTGTGGGGACGGCACTTCTGGGGCTGGCCTTGCATGCCCTTCCCTTTCTCCTTCAGAGTCCTCTGACCCACTTCCCCTGAAGGCAATGAATCAGACTCCAGGGCCATGACATGACACACTACTGCAGCAGAGCAAATAAATAAATAAATAAATAAATGTGGATTTAACCAGCCCCTGCCAAGCAATGACAAACCTAGACAGCATCTTAAAAAGCAGAGATATCACCTTGCCAACAAAGGTCTGTGACAGCTGAGCAGATCTGAGTCTGGTCAGTGCCCAGATTGGAGACACTTGGAAACCCCTTGAGAGAGGAAGTGAGAGCTGGACCATAAAGAAGGCTGATCGCCGAAGAATTGATGCTTTTGAATTATGGTGCTGGAGGAGACTCTTGAGAGTCCCATGGACTGCAAGAAGATCAAACCTATCCATTCTGAAGGAAATCAGCCCTGAGTGCTCACTGGAAGGACAGATCCTGAAGCTGAGGCTCCAATACTTTGGCCACCTCATGAGAAGAGAAGACTCCCTGGAAAAGACCCTGATGTTGGGAAAGATGGAGGGCACAAGGAGAAGGGGATGTCAGAGGACAAGATGGTTGAACAGTGTTCTCGAAGCTACTAACATGAGTTTGACCAAACTGTGGAAGACAGTGGAAGACAGGAGTGCCTGGCGTGCTCTGGTCCATGGGGTCATGAAGAGTCGGACACAACTAAACGACTAAACGACAACAACAAAAGCCTCCCCTTCTGTCCTGGAAGATTTTGGGTGTGGTTGTGGATGCCCTCTTCTTTTTCCAACTGACTCCTTTTTTCCAACCAGAGTTAGGATTGCTCTGAAGTAAATTAAATTAGAAACAATGCTACAGCTTATAATAATTGCATTTCTACGTCTTGATTTGCGCCCACAATGCTAAGTGATATTTTTAAGTGTTTATACAGCAACAGAGGGACATTTTCAGAGGAAACAATTTTTAATTAAAGGCACCTGTTCCTCATTCACATGGAAAGAAGGAAGTCTGAGATAATTGGTATGGGTTGGAGGCAGTTCACTTTATTTGAAATGTAGCCATCACTCGGTTTCGCCTGTGACTGATGTAAAATCAAAGGTATTTAATCAGCAACCTGACAGCCTGGCCTTTTAATAATTCATCCATTAATTAGAGTGATGACTAAAGAATAGAGGCGGTGTGAACCACTTCAGCAGTTCTACTGAAAAAACACTCTGTTTGGTGATAACTGCCAGGGTTGTGCCCCTTATCCCAAAGAACTCTGGGAGCTATTTTGCTAAGGGTACTTAGAACTCTTACGAGACATCTATTCCCCTCATGGAGCTACAATTCCTAGAATTCCCTGTGGCAGGGGATGGATAGTTGTGAATCATAGTTCTGTGAGAACAGGGACCTCCTCACAACTCTCAGTAGCCTTCAGAAACTGCATCTCCCAGAATTCTTTGGGGGGGAAGCCCTGATGGTTTAAAGTGGTATTGTAGTGCTTTAAATGCACAGTGTGAATGTGCACTTACTCTAAACACACACACACACACACACACACACACACACACACACTTCTTGATTTCCTCCCAGAACAACAATAGAAGGATCCTTTCTTTAACATGTGGAATAGTCTAGTTAATAGTGCCTTGCTAACCCTGGGAAATCAGGGTTCCAAAATGCATATGGCCTATTCAGGGCCAGCCCAGGATATTTTGCCGCTTGTGGCAAAACAAAAAAATGGCACCCCTCCCCTCATCAGCCATCTGCTGCTACTGCATGAGGTGAATGGAGGTGGTTCAGAGAAGCTCTGGCAGAAGAGGAGGAGCCAGTAGACCATAAGCTTGAGGCAGCAAAAGGCACACCTCTAGGGATGTGGATCTGCCACCAGTGGCAGGTCTCAAATTTCAGCAGCATCCTGTGGGATGCCAAAATTTGGCGCACCCTGCCTCTTGTACTCTGTTACAAATCATTGGTGCAGCATCCCTTGCGGCACCCCCGAGGCTCTGTGTCCAGTGCAAATGAACCAGTCATGCTCCCCTAAATCTACCTCTGCTGTCTCCTCCCTCAGATGTCCCCAGTTTGCCTCCTGAGGCAACCATTCCTCATGGGCCCTGGGCCTATTCAAACATAAAACAGGACCGCAATACCTCAAGGACAGCCTCTTTCCATATGAACCTACCTGGACCCTGAGGTCATCTTCTGAGGCCCTCCTTTGTGTGCCTCCTCCCCAAGAGGTTTGAAAGGTGGTAACACAAGAACGGGGCCTTCTCTGCAGTGGCTCCCCGTCTGTGGAATACTCTCCCCAGGGAAGTTCACCTGGTGCCTTCATTGTACACATTTAAGTGCCAGGCAAAAACGTTCCTTTTTAACCAGGCCTTTGCTTGATCTGATTTACATCCTATGCCCTTTCAAAATGTTTTTTTTGGGGGGGCTATTGGGTCACTTTTATTTTTAATTAGGTATTTTGTGGTTTTATAGCTTGATTTTATTCTATGAACCACCCTGAGACCCCTGGGTACAGGGCCGTATAATAATAATAATTAATAATAACTTTTTACTTGTGCACTATGCTGAGCTAACTCAGCTAACTTAGCATGCCATCTTAACTCAGGTCCATGGTTGAGCTACAGCCAACGACAAAACTTGGCTACAGGCAAATATGGAGAGTTGTTTTCCTTTTATTTTGGGATATATACATGCACTCAGATTTATGTACACACAACCTCATGGGTTACATTTTATTCTAATAGCCATATACTTTAGTTGTTTACCCGACACCCGTATCAACTAGACAAGAGATCGTGCAGACACTTCCCTGGAAATTGCAATGTAAAGTTGTCAGAAAACAAACTTTTAGGTGCAATTTATCAAAGCATTCACCACAGTATGCTCAGAATATAGATAAAAAAGAAAAATCGTGAATGGTGAAGGTAGCCGTAAATTGGCATTCTCATGGGATGCTGTGATGGAGCTATTGTCTGCCAGTAAACCCTGCTATTTACAAAGTTTGGGTGTTGAAGTGATTAAGTCACCATGGTGACAGCAGGGCTGGCATTTCGTTTTATGAATAGCTCGTCTTGTTTACTGAGATCTCTTCAGGGTTTTGGTATCTACTTTCCGAAGGTCATTTAGAAAGCCTTAGAATAAGTGCTTCACCTATTTCCATATATGATTATGCTTTATTTTGTTCATTTCTTGGGTGTCCAGTGGAACACCTGAGCCAGCAAAAAACAAAGTGGGATGAAAAGATCAAATTTTCTGCAGGGAAGAGGATCACTTCCTTTCCCCCCCTTTTTGTGAACTTCCATGAACTGATTCAAGGAGATCCATTTCTTCCCTTGCTCACTCAGCTGCCACAATTTGATCTTGCTCTTTTCCTAGAGAAATACTGCATGGTTCTCATGGATTTCATCTGAAATGAGATGGCTAAGGCAGTCTTGATTATAGTGTGATAAAAGGCACAACACACAAAATTGCCATTCTGGAGACACTGCCGGACTGAAAAGCGATAGAGTTGCATCCAGTGTAAGTCATTCTTAATTCATTCATTCATTCATTAATATATGACTTACATGCCCAAATGGCTTCAGTTTAGGGCACTGTCATACTGAGAGTTGACCCACTGGCATGATTAGCTTCAGTCCATTAACTTCAGTGGGTCTACTCCATGTAGGTAAAACGGTAAAGGACCCCTGGATGGTTAAGTCCAGTCAAAGGTGACTATGGGGTTGCAGCGCTCATCTCGCTTTTCAGGCCGAGGGAGCCAGTGTTTGTCCACAGACAGCTTTCCAGGTCATGTGGCCAGCATGACTGAACTGCTTCTGGTGCAACGGGACACCGTGACGGAAACCAGAGCACACAGAAATGCTGTTTACCTTCCTGCCAGAGCGGTACCTATTTATCTATTTGCACTGGTGTGCTTTTGAACTGCTAGGTTGGCAGAAGCTGGGACAGAGCAAAGGGATCTCACCCTGTCGTGCGGATTCGAACTGCCAACTTTCCAATCAGCAAGTCCAAAAGGCTCAGTGGTTTAGATCACAGCGCCACCCACTCCACTACTCAGAATAAAACTTGGGAAGCAATTCTAGACACAATAATCTGGTATAAAGCTACAGTGACCCAAACTCTGGTTACTGCTGATTTAACTGGCTTAAGCCTTGCAGAGAGAAAACAAGTCCTTATGTTGCAGGAATTTATGTATAGGGTGTGGGGGGGTGCCCCTCCAGCAGATATCATGCACATGCAGCCCACTACCAAAATCAGCACAATCACTTTTGTGATTTGTCCCCACAAAACACTTCATCACAGTTTCTTCCTATCTATTCAGAGGGCCTCTACTGCACAATACCAAATGTAAGAATTTACTGATAAATGTATCTATGTACTGTGAAATATACTCTGAGTCGAGAGTGGATTTCATGCTCTTTATTCAGCTCATAGTGGTGAGGAGGAGTGAATGTCCTCTCAAAGTATCTGCTTTATATACATTATTTACACAATGGGCTGCACGTGATTGGCTAATTCCAGAATTCTCCTGTAGGCCAATTAGGTTGTGGATTCACTTCCATCTGGAGCCGGATTGGGTGGCTCCTGCAGACCAATCATACTGCTGCATTGTTCTAGGACCAATCAGACTGCTGCATTCTGAATCCTATTGTTCTAGGACCAATCAGACTGCTGCATTTTGGATCCTATTGTTCTAGGACCAATCAGACTGCTGCATTTTGGATCCTATTCACTCAGTACATAACATACTGGCTCACTGGGAAAACTTCAGAAATTCATATAGACATGTGAGCTCAGCTACTCCGCAGCCCTTCTACCTGAGTGACAATTCCTGGCATCCTGATACCTGAGTGCCAGACAGGTAGCCCGCCATTCTAGAAATAACAAACCCAGATGAAGACAAAAGGGTGTGATTAACTTGGCTGGGAAACAGGGAAATGTAAATATCTCTTTTGTTACACTTGATGAGTGTTTGGTGGAGGGCAAGGAGAACCATGGGGCAGGGTCCAGGATGCTCAGATTACTGCCACCAGACCTCCCCTTTCATGATGTAACCATGGTGTATGAGTGATGTAGTTTGGGGAGATGTAACATGGGGATTAGCAGCTAATAAAAGTTTGGGTGCTCTTTTGTTTGGGGCTTCCATCTTGTTCCACCTTGTGGCAGGTGGGAGTCGTGTCGCGACAGTCTTCAATAAAGACCAAGCCTACTGGCTGCTGTTTTGCTCTGGTATTCCTGGCTGATGTCCTTGTTTTTTGTCCAAGGAAGCCCTCAGATTTCTCCGTTAACACTTAAAATAGTGTCTGAGTTTCACCACCTTATGCTGGGTTGCCAGGCTGTATGACTGAGTTGAACAGGCTTAGGATATAGCCTCTTCCCCACTCCCACCATACCATGTCCTCACCTTCTCTGTTCTTAGCAGTTGTGTGTGGTCAGTTGGCTAGGGGGACTAAGCTAGTTCCCTAAATGTTCCCATGGCGCCTCCTTCCCAAAGCCCAGGAAGCTTTTGCCCGACTTAGGGAGGGAGGCGTGATGCTCCGATAAGTCCAAGAGCCCTCCCACCACCTTCCCAAAGCCCACCCAACTTTGGGAAGGTGGCAGGACGGTTCCAGCATCCTGTCACAGGCATGGTATCTCCCTTCCAAATCCCAGGAAGTTGAATGCCACATTTGTGACATCGGCCCCGCCCCCAATCGCTCTTGCAAGCTGGTGCCTCTGGCCCTAACTGTCCCAGTGTATCTCTGGCTGAGCAAAGGTTGTGGGAGTTAAGCCAGCATAGTCCGGCTGCAGTAGGAACCTCCCAGCTCAGCCAGCGATCCGCCAGATTCTAACCTGCTCGTCCCAGTAGATTGCTCCCTTAATTGGATTCAGTCCCCAGCTGTTAAGTCATCTATATCTGCAACTCTGAAAGCCTCAGAGAGCTCCTGAAGGCCTTTTTAGTCATAAAAACACATCCTCCAAGATTTTTATTCTTTGCATTGAAGGCACACATTCATCAATGCAATCACGAAACTGCATGCCTTAACATGGAATTAATTTGCACTTGTTGCATGGAGTTGACAGCAACGTTCACATACCCACAAACCCTAGAGGAAGTCCTTTTTCCTGTGCCCCATTTCCCCCAAATACACCCCCTGTATAAATTGTGCATTTCCTTCTACAGTTGCGACTCATCATCGATGCTCATTAATGCACCATGCAAATCTTTAATGAAAGCAATTTATATATTGCATTGAAATGCACCACGTAGGAAGAGACAATGCTGTCTATTTATCACCTCAGAATGGAATTGCTTCCTTTTCTGCTCTGGGGGGTTCTGTAGGTACCTGCCCAAATAGAAGTCCACAGACTGGGTATTTATCTTTGTTCAGGTTTAATTACTGTGATAAATCTTTAGACCTTTCCTTCTCTCTAACTGCTTGGTGCACAGGGAGTTACTGAAGATAAGGTTACAAGGTGGACACACAACAAGAATGGATCCTGCACTGGCAAACTGAATAGCTCTGTGTGTGTGTGTGTGTGTGTGTGTGTGTGTGTGTGTGTGTGTGACAGAAAGGCTTTTCCTCCCTAATTTTCGAAGTCCTCAGAAACAGTAAACAAAATGATTCATGAATCAACGAGAGGCATGTTTCTGCCAAAAGGAAAAGCAGGATAAAGGGCACAGAGATAAGCATTAGCAGCCTTGTGGGTTTTGTTAAAACCGAAAGGTGGGGTATAAATGTCTTAATAATACCATCTCCATGTCCCAGTGCAATGTTTTAAGGACACTAACATTTTAAGGACATTGGACACTGGTGCATGTCCAGAGGGGGGAGAGCAGGATGAAGTTTGGACTCAATTTAGCAAAAAATGAGCATTGTGCACAACAAAAAGCATATACTCCCCTCCAAAACTGTGCCACTAATACAAATTAGTACCTCATCACCAGTGCTGGATTTACATATAAGCTAAACAAGCTATAGCTTAGGGCCCCACTCTCTTGGGGCCCCCCAAAAAATGTAAAGGAAAAAAACACACACCTGGATGTACATTTCCAAAATATAAGATAAAAAACAAATAAAATAAAACATACATACAGCAGTGATGTTTTGTGTTGTTTAGGCTCCTATGATGTAAATAATGGGTCCTGCCTGCTAGTCTGCTCCCTAAAATATCACTGGTTTGCTCATTTCTATATACAGTGGTACCATAAATCACCATATAGCATATATTCAACACAAAAAACAGCAACAATTTGTTGTTGACAAAGGACAGTTGGATGTATAAAGGGCCCCATTACCTTCAGTAGCTTAAAGGAAAAGGGGCCCCTGACCATTAGGTCCAGTCGCAGACGACTCTGGGGTTGCGGTGCTCATCTCCCTTTACTGGCCAAGGGAGCTGGTGTACAGCTTCCAGGTCATGTGGCCAGCATGACTAAGCCGCTTCTGGTGAACCAGAGCAGTGCACGGAAACGCCGTTTACCTTCCCACGGAGCAGTACCTACTTTTCTACTTGCGCTGGTGTGCTTTCGAACTGCTAGGTTGGAAGGAGCAGGGACTGAGCAACGGGAGCTCACCCCATCGCGGGGATTCGAACCTCCAACCTTCTGATCGGCAAGTCCTAGGCTCTGTGGTTTAACCCACAGCGCCACCATCAAACCTAAATCCAGCGCTGCTCATCCCTGAGATATCGGAAGGGTTTTCTAACACAATGTGGAGCAGGCTTCAGTTAAGGAGATGAACTTTCAGTGGTTTGAAAGTTTGACCCCTTCTTTAATCTCTTGACATAGGACAATACCGCAGACTTAATTGCAGGCTAGCTTCTAAGGATGGCTGTGATGATGGGGCATATTGAGAGAGGCTGGGGCAAATGCTGTAGAAGCAATTAATGTGCCTGTTGATGCTGTGGCATGACATCCCGCCAGTGGCTTTGTGGCGGCAACAATGCGACATCTTGCAGCTGCAGTGATGGGCCGGGGTGCAGCCATGCTGGACTTTTTCACGGCATTCACCCAACCCAAACAAAGCAGGGGTATTGAAGCAAAGCTGTCCAATCTGAAAAGCACATTTGCCCGCAAAGACTCTGCCTGTGTATGTGTGGAGAATCCCAGATGCCTTGCAAAGAGGTTAAAGGAAACCTAACCAATGAACCGGAGGGAGCTGAACTCCAAACTTCTAATGTGATGGTAACTTGTGTGTATAAGGGAGAGAGATTCAATTAAAGTACATTGGAATCTGGGTGGGAAGAGAAGTCTAGCCAGTTTATCAAAACTTAGTTGACTGCCTAATGATGCCAATACTTCTGTTTAGCCATGTGTATGGCTAATCAATCAATATCAATATAACTCCTACTCAGTTGTCATCTATACACTACCTGGCGACACAAATGCTGCAGCCCTCACCTGATCATATATATATATATATATAACACAGCTGAGTCCCTGTTATCTCGTACATCATGTGGAGCTGCTGGAAGCCCAGCAAACTGCTCCCATCCATCTTCCCCTTGTCAAATAATTGTTATTTAGAGATCATGCATAGCCATCTGTTGTCTTATTTCAAGCCCAGGGCTCTGTCCCATGATTACAATATCTCTTCAACCCCTTAGCAATAGCAGCCAATGTGACATTTGATGTTCACATCATAGGGAAATGCATCAAAGAAAGAGGCAACCACATACATGATAAATATTGCACGGTCGTCCACGTAGCATGTCGATCTGCAATTGGCGGGGAGAAAGTCAATTCAGATTTAAAGGCAAACCTCTCCAATTCTCACTTTCTGGGAGAACACGTGAACCAAAACACAACGTCCTTCACTGGAGGTTTTTACGTAGAGGCTGAGACCGGAGGAGGGGACTTAGGCTGGATCTTAAGCCCTTCAATCTCCATCATATGCCATGACAACCCGACACAGAACAATATTTAAAAGGCTTGTTTCCCCTCTGCCAGGCTTAAGCAGAGCAACAGCATCTGCCCTCCTGCTGAACAGGGTTTGGATCTGGTGTAACTTTAGGCCACCTTAACTTGCACCAGGGTGCTTTGAATCACCTTCATCTGCATTAGATATTTCCTTAATGCACAAAGCCTAGGCAATCATACATTTGTTGTTGAAGGTGTCACAGTACCCTTCGTTGTCTTTGCTTAGCAGTGGATCTTCCAAGTCTTGGGGCAGAGGGTCTTTTTCACCACCTGTTACCTGATCCCGTTTAACTAGAGATACCAGGGAGGCAGGGGCAAATGAAGTAGGATATCCAATAATCACCAAGGTCCATGGAACAGAGAGGCTTCTCATTGGTTCCTCAATGAGAAGACAAGTAGTGGGGAACCACCCCTTATCACCAAAATGCACACTGAGTATATTCTGGGATATACTGTTAATTTTCATGGGATGACAGTGAGATTCCAAAGGTACCAAGGGAACAGGCAGGTTCATAATCTTCTCACCCTCTCTCCCTTCTCCCTCCCTTCCTCCTGCACCACCTGATTCCAATCTGAAATCTGTGCACGCTCACATCCATCTAAAAGAAAATGTCCTTTTAGGGCCACCCATCATAGGGAAGTGTCTTTTATTTGTGCTTTACCAACCAAATCTCCTCTCTGGCCACATTCCTACTGCACATTTAAAGCACTATGATACCACTTGAAACAGCCACAACTTCTTCAAAAGAATTCTGGGAGCTGTAGTTTGTGAAGGGTGCTGAGATTTGTTAGGGGTCCCCTGTTCCCCTCCCTAAGCACAGGTGCCACAGTTCCTTGCAAAGAGGGATTGATTGTTAAATCACTCTGGGAATGCATTGCACAGGGTGCATGGTAGTCAAATAGCCTTTTAGCTAAGGTTATCCACCATGTATGCTGTGAACTGTGGCCTCTGTCTCAGAGCTAATGTTAGATGCACTCCAGAATCATTGGGAAGGAATGGAATAAAAGTTCAGCAATTCAGCTGCTTGACATGCAGAGATGCTTCATGCTGCAGCATATGGGAGCTGTGCCAACATGCAAAGATATCCACTCAATAGCGAACTGCTCAGAAATTATTACTTTCAACAAGACCAGAGTGCAGCAGCTAGAAATCAGCAAGCAAATGATCACGACCGAGAGTACAATTAATTATCATATTGTCAAGGATAGCTCACTCTGGCCAAAGGGGATGCTTGCGACACCTAGAAGCTCTTTTGAGCCCCCCCATGAGAATGAATCTCACTCATTAAAGAGGCGGGGTGTATGTTAACACATTTGCTGTGGGTGTTTAGATGCTGGCCTAAATTTGCGTAATCCTCCCGTCTTTAATCCGAACGTTCACAGCCATGAAACTCTGCACCTGATCCCCTTCAATTATGCTGTCATCGCAGATTCATTTCCCCCAGAGTTAAACCACTTTAAATCATTTATAGTTAGGAGTTTAACAATCTCCATCTTATTAGGCCTGCGTCGGTTACGAAGGCACTGTCAGGGAAGAGGAACGGGCTGACATTAATAACAGACCCTCCAAGTGTCCCTATTTTCCAGGGATGGTCTTGAATTTACAGAAGCTGTCCCGGTTTCTGATTTGATCCTGGAATGTCTCGCTTTTCCTTAGGATGTCCCTATTTTCATCAGAGAAATGTTGGGAGGGTATGTGACTAGTTATGTGTCTCATACACAGTTCACAGAAGATCTTTTCCTTCGCCTCTGGGATATAAGAATAATTTTAGCTGAGAGGGGGCTCCTGGTGGGAGGAACCCTTTGGGGGAAGCAGCAAGGGGGGAAGGCTCAGAGCCCTTGAGGTAGTGGGACAATGATGAGTGGTTAGAGGGAGCTGAAGCAGTAACACAGCTTAGTGGACTTGGCTAAAGAAGTCCAGAATCAGAAGCTGAAGCACGTGAGTAGGAGGAGAGAGGTCAAGAGGCAGAGATGAGTCAGGCTGGTGAAGTAATGGGTGTTTCTGCTTCCTGCTGCAACAAGCTCCTCTCTCCGGTTATCTGCCAGAACCAGAAGAGGCATGAAAAGGGCAGAGGAGAGATTGGCTGCCACAGTCTCTGACTGCTTGGGAAAACCCTGGAGAGGAGGGGACTTGGGCTATGAGGAGGCAGGGACCTTCCATCTCAACTTTATGGGGCAAGACTTTCATGAGGGATGAGTTGCTGTACTCATTAGGAAGACCTGACACCCCACCAAGTCTCTGCAGATCACGGTTTTGCTAATCAAGTGTTAACTCCAACTGGCACAGTGTGATTTACTGTCGGCTTGCTCCTGACACTGACATAATGTAAGAAGACAAGGACATAAACATGCAAATAAACTGAAATATCAGTTAGCATAAGCATTTCTTCTGCAGGTGGCAACATGGAAGAAAACAGATATCGCTGGAGAAGAGCCAGTTCATTTGAGAGGTAGGAACTAATGGTATCAACTAATTGCCCATCCCTGGCTAAGAATGAACACCAGTGCGTGATCCTTTTTTTTTGCAGCTTGCAACAGTGACTGAAAATGGTCTGCTTCCCCATAGATACAGAAGCGAGACTTCTCATGCGATAAACCAACCCAGTCTGTCTGGTGAAGCATATACCAGAATCGTGGTGAGCTTATGCATGTACAGAGATAGTGTGCTGGGAACTGAAGCTACAGCGCTAGTTATGAGCTAATTTACAAAACGTAGATTAATTGGGATGTTTCCGTAACAAGCTATTAACCTGTCCCTGGGGAGGAGAAGGGGGAAAGTCCCTTCCCTTCATTATTGTCCCATATATCAGTACCCACATACGGTAGATGACTAAAAGGCAATAAAGGACGTGGCCGAGAGCCAAACATCTCGGTGCATTTTTCAAGTTAATTAATTGCCATCTTTCTCGTGCTTTCTCATTTTCTCATGTTTCCTACAATGGCATCTGGAGTTATACTTGCCGACATTGTTAGCCTGCAACACGCGAGCAAACCGCCCTAAAGGAGATTTCTTGTCAGGGTGTCTCATTCCTTCAGCACCTAACACTGGCTTAATTGGGCAAGGCCAACTAGCGTTCCTCATTCCCCCGAGGTTCAATACCACCCCCAGGGGAAGAAGCATTTCTGCAATTGAACCACCATATATTCAAGGCCATGGTATTTTGGTGTTCGTTAACTTACATATCAACTTTGCCTTTTGTCAGAATGACAAGGGAGTGTAAAGAGAGAGAGAGAGAGAGAGAGAAGGAGGGAGAGAAATCGGGAGAGTTAACTGAATGGGGATGATTCTGGGTTGATTTCTGAAGGAATAAACCACCCTCACTCATTCCAGCCACGTCAGGTTATAAGTCAGTGGTAGAAGATCTGCTTTGCATGCAGACAATCCCTGGCATCTCCAGGGAGGGCAGGAAGAAGAAGAAGAAGAAGAAGAAGAAGAAGAAGAAGAAGAAGAAGAAGAAGAAGAGTAGTAGTAGTAGTAGTAGTAGTAGTAGTAGTAGTTTGGACTTGATAGCCTGTATTTCACTCCCCTTAAGGAGTCTCAAAGCGGCTAACAATCTCCTTTTCCCTTCCTCCCCCAGAACAAACACTCTGTGAGGTGAGTGGGGCTGAGAGACTTCAGAGAAGTGTGACTGGCCCAAGGTCCCCCAGCAGCTGCATGTGGAGGAGCGGGGAAGCGAACCCAGTTCACCAGATTACGAGTCCACTTAACCACTACACCACTCTGGCTCTCCCACTGCACCACGCTGCCTGGGAGTCCAAAAGTAGGAGGAACAGAAAGCAAAGCTACCTCCTGGCTGGTCGTGAGGAAAGAGGCAAGCAGGCGGTGACTGAGCAAGAGTGGATTGAAACTGGTGGAGCAGTTCCCCATTTGCCCCAATGGACAAGTCTCTACCAATTTTCAGAAGAGTCGGTTCATGATGTCAGGAGGTGCCAGGGCTATATCTTTGATATATGGGCACAGCTGCCCTATGTGTTGCCCTATCATTATGGCAGGTTGGGAAAGCAATTAGACAGTGATGTCTTCTCAGGCTCTGGACCAGTCCTGACCACCCAGGATGACCGCTGATCTCCCCTGGGCAGGGAAAGCTATAAAAGGCTTCCTGTCTGGCCTGGGACTTTGCTTGAGCAGCAAAGCCTTCCTAGTGCTGATGTGCTTCTCTGCAATGAGGTTTCATTCTCTCGCAGATAGTAAAAACTTTGAATAGAAGTAATTTTTTCCAATGACTGGGAACTATTAGTGCTCTGTTCTTTTTTTTAAAAAAAAAAAGTCATGCAAACCTTGTAATTTAGAAGAGTGAATAATAAAAGAGCTGACTAGTCCCCACCTGAAGAATTTCACAATACATGACTGTAACCATTGTTCGTGAAAAATAATCCTATGACAATAGAACCACTCTATTAACATCAACAGGCATCCTACTGACTTCTGCAGACACAATGCAGTTTACATCCAGATTGATTCCAGAGCTGATGACATCTGTTGCCACATCTCAGTGGTCACTGATGAACTTTCATGAAAGTGATGGTCATACTTAGTTTGGGATAAATGAACATCTTGATCAACCCCAGGATCTTATCAAGGCCATTTAACTCAAGGCTATGCTTAAAGTAGATTTATTCTGCCTCTTCAGAAAACCCTGGAAAGCCTGCAGTGCTATTCCTAACCAGACTACAATTCCCATGATTCTTTGGAGGATCAGCTAAACCAGCACAAGTCCAATATATGTTTTATTATTTGAGTGTCAGGCTTTGGGAAAGGGTCTTCCTCCCTCCCTTTGGCTGTGGATAAGCAGAACAAAGCAAAAATAGTCTCTTACCGTTTAAAGAGATTTTAATGATCACAGCTCAAGAACAGAGAGTCCATCTCAGAGTAAAGCTGTTCTCAATTAAGGTTTCCAGCCATCCTCCCCCCCAGTCACTTCCACACCTTGCAACCTGATCTCGCAACCACCGTGCTTTTTGTGTAGCCACCTTATCTGCTCTACGTGACCTTAGACTGATAGGCTGGACACTTTCCAGCGAGAGAAAGTCTGTTAGCTCTCTCTCATTCTGTTCTTCTTCACTTTGCTATTCACCCCCCAGTTCATCCCAACTTTTGTCTTCAGAACTATGCCCCTTTGCAGACCACTGTTCCAAATTTATACTGCTCCATTGCTCCTGGGCAGCTTCAGGATCCTGGTCAGGAGCAGGGGGAGGGGGGAGGGGGAGGGGGAGGGTCCCACCATCACTCATCAGGAGCAGTACTCTTCAGCCTGATCTCTGACATTGAGTCAGAGAAGCCCTGAGCACCTGGTCATTTAACAGCCAGCCATTCCAGTTGAGGCTGTCTTTGACCAAAAACATTAAAATGTTTAAAATACAACAACAATAAAGATAATAACACTGTATAATACTAATTATACAGACAGAAGTGCAGTCCAGCATCTGAAGGCCTTCCTAAACAAGAAGGTCAGACCTTAGTTACACATAGAAAAAGATTTTCCACCTCTGAGCTAGTGAATACTGTTTTCCCTCCAGGTCACAGATGGATATTTCTTTCCAAATTAAAACTGCTCCAATTTTTTATTTTTATTTTTTTTTTGGGGGGGGGAACATAGTTCAGAGTTGGGAAACCTTTTTGGTGTGTCAAGTGGGCCAGATCTTTATCCTGCTCCCCCCCCCATGCCTCTACCCACCTGTCAATCATCTGGTGTCAGGATGATGTCAGGTGACAGGTTGCCAGTCACCTGGCATCCTGCTGATTTGGCTGCATGCCAGTTCCCTGTGGAAAATTGGTGTGCACAGCCAATGCAGAATGGAGCCCTGGCCCCTGCTCATCAGCTGACATTATTCAGTGACACCAGTGGATTAACAGGTGGGTGCAGTTTGGGGAAACTGGTCTCACTGGCCAAGACTGGTCGATGGACCGGGGGTTCCCTACTCCTGCTGTGGTTGTAAGGCTTCAGTGAATCAGCTTCCTCCCCCGTGGCCGTAGATGAGCAAATCAAACGAAAGGAATTCTTACCAGTTAGTTTCTTTAATAAACACAGCAAAGGACAAAAGAAAGCATCGGCGCAGAATGGCGGTGCTCCCAATTAAGCTCAGTCCCTATTAATCTACATCACTCATACCTCTTGTAATCTGAGTTTGTATCCTCTGTGCTTCCTGTTCTGAGACTTTCTGAGCTCTTCTTGACCTCGGGCTGAGTTAACCCTCTCTCTTCCAGTGTTTCATCATCGCCTAGGTGTTCCCCATCCAGTATTTCCCAGCTTCTGCCTTCTGAACTATGCCCCTCTGCAAACCACTCTTCCAAGTCTATACTGTCCTCCTGCTCCTGGGAAGATTTAGGATCCTGATCAGGAGCAGGGAGAGGGGGAGACTCCCATCATTCCTTCTCAGTGCAGCCCTCCTCAGCACAGTCCCTGACAGTGGTTGAATGCCATTTTGAATTTTTGGTACTGACTCGGTTCAGACTAAGATTTGGATCATTATCCTTCTGCATAACAGAATCACAAATGAGAAGGAATAATGCAACCACCTGGTACTTGACCAAAAAAAGGGTCTTTCTTCTAGTTCACTGAGCCAAGGATACTAGAGAGATCACCACCTCCCATCCCATCCTACCTGCTCCCTACAGTCAGAAGGAGAGGCCCTTCTCTGCTGCAGCAACCCAAGTGCCTCGGGTATTGCATAGGCATGACTAAACTTACTGGATGGGAGAAAGGTGAGACAGTGGAGAGGTTAGTGCAATTGCTCCAGGTTATTTTACACAAATAAATAAAACAAAAAGTTCCTGTACGCCTTTTCTTTTTGCACTTGCTGGATAAGATCTGGGGTCCTCCTAGTTTAGTTTCTAAACTAGGCCAACCAAATAGTTAATTGATTGTTTAAATCAACAATAAGCTAAAAACACATGCCGGAATTTTGCGTATCTGGATAGGCTTGCCTAAGCTAAAATGTTTTTAGCAGATGCTGAAAACAGTGACATCTGCCTGATGTCAATAGGCAGCAAGTTCCAAGAGTGAGTGCTGACTTCTTCCATCCTCCTCCCAGGAGCAAATTCCCCTGGGCAAGGGCTGTATACTGAAAGTGGGCAGGGCAAAAGCTCAGAGTAAAAAAAGGTAAAGGGACCCCTGACCATTAGGTCCAGTCGTGGCCGACTCTGGGGTTGTGGCACTCATCTCGCTTTATTGGCCGAGGGAGCTGGCGTACAGCTTCCGGGTCATGTGGCCAGCATGACTAAGCCACTTCTGGAGAACCAGAGCAGTGCACGGAAACGCCGTTTACCTTCCCGCTGAAGCAGTACCTATTTATCTACTTGCACTTTGACGTGCTTTCAAACTGCTAGCTTGGCAGGAGCTGGGACTGAGCAACGGGAGCTCACCCCATCACAGGGATTTGAACCGCCAACCTTCTGTTCGGCAAGCCCTAGGCTCTGAGGTTTAACCCACAGCGCCACCTGCATCCCAAAGCTCAGAGTAGGTGGAGTCAAAACATACAAACACAGACCCATGCACAGCCTGGTATCTCTCACGCAGAGACGCAGAGACAAACACACGCATTGTGCCACATTCCTTTTCACACCCATGGCTACTGAAGTTCACATCACTAGTTGAAATGGAACCAAGGTAGCCTTATCTGAGGCACCCTTTCTCCTGCTCTGCAGCATTCATGGTGGATGGTCTTCCAGTATTCCTTTGGTGGTCCCAGAATTGGTCATGGGTTTGTGCATAGTTCAGCCTTTAACAATTCATAGTCAAGACCACGGCTGGACATGATGAGCGTGCAGAAAAGTGAGAGTCACATCAGCACAAAAGAAAGGCAGTCAGCTGTACCTGGTGAATGGAGCGGTGGGGAGCACATCAGAACGACGCCTTGACCTTCCCGCACTGACACAGCACTTCTCGTCCGACCACTGAAATTCCCCAGATCTGTTAACATAACACAGCGGGTTTAGAGTCATGGAAAGAAACTTCTCGGCATTAGAGACTGCACAGATTTCTCTTCCTATCCTCACCGTCCGACCCTTCTTTTCACTCTCTCATGCTTTAAAAGGCAAAAAAGAATGCTCGTTTTTATTCTTGAAATTTGCAAGAAAAATGCCTGGCTGTTTCACAGTAAATCTATTCTGGCTGATTTCATCTGGCAAATGGAAATATTTTCTGCATTACATCAACACCTTTTTTTTATTGCCCCTTCTAGGATGCGGAAATGGTATCAGCAAAAAGGCATTCGGCGATGTACCCTTTTGTAACAGACATTTAATAGCTCTTTTATTCCTTTTTACTATTTCCTGCTTATTGATTTCCTCCCCAGTAAAAGTCATTCTGTGCATAGTGAAAAGAGAAATAAAGGGGGGGGGGAAGGATGCATCACATCTAAACTGCATCCTGTGCGAGACTCTTGGGTATCGTGAAAGGGATACTGCAAACAAGGTAATATTAGCATGTTTGGAGCGGGATTAGCAACACTGGATCTATTGGGGAATTGGTGCTGTGGTACCTAAATATCAGTGTATCAATTGCATTACCCATTTCTAGAGTGCTTAACAAGTGCAAAGCGTCCCAGTCATTGCCCTCAGAACAACCCTGTGTTGTAGGCCACTAATATATGAGTAGAAGTGGTCCCCAGTGTGAGTGTCCTTCCTCAAATTTGAGCAACACCCCCTAATTCCTTTTGATCCCTTCCCTCCAAATCTCCCCCTATTGCTGTGGTCAATAAAATCTATGACTACCATTGGATTTCATCCTATAAGTATACTGTGACAAAAGAATAATGCAAGCAGCTCTAAAGGAATTTAAAACATTAGTCCAATGAGGAATCAGGATGTTCCTTACTTCTGATAGTGAGAGAGAGACAAATAATGTGGGGGAATGAAGGAAAATATATAAAAACATATCAAGATCTCTCTTACCCCCGTCCCCTGTGATTAGAAAAGAGGTCAGTAGCAGTAGGATCCCCATCTTTGTGAGGAGAAAAAAAATAGTCTGCATTTTCCCTGCTGAAATCATTAGAGCATTTAAGTAAAAGAAGAAAGGCGCTCCTTACTGGGTTTTACAAAGTACTCCTAAGTGGGGCTGTGCGGCTGAATGTGTTGCAAAAGCAGGAAATGCAAGACCCCATGGATCAGAAAATTAGGGCAGATGATGGACGGCTGGTCCTAGGCGCCTCTGGGGTATAAATTCAATAAATAAATAAGTAAATAAATATTTTGTTTGCATTTGAAATCCAGCATTCTCATACCCTCCAACATCTCTCCAGTGAAAATAGGGATATCCTTAATAATAATAATAATAATAATAATAATAATAATAATAATAATTTCCCACCCATCTGACTGGGTTGCCTCAGCCACTCTGGGCAGCTTCCAACATATATAAAAACATAACAAAACATTAAACTTTTTAAAACTTCCCTATACAGGGCTGCCTTGAGATGTCTTCTAAAGGTTGTATATTATTTCCTAGGCTTGGGGGTGCTGTAAATCCATACCCTCCAACATTTCTCCAATGAAAATAGGATCATCCTAAGGAAAAAGCGGGACATCCTGGGGTCAAATCAGAAACCGAGACGGCTTCTGTAAATCTGTGACTGTCCCTGGAAAATAGGGACAAGGAGGGTCTGCATTCTGTGTTGATGCTTAGAATCTTGGTGTTTGCAATGGGCTGCTAGAATTTTGATGGCTTGATGAGAGTTTTTCTCACGCTCCATTTGAGGCTCTCAGCTGTGACATTCCCTGCATCAATGTGCGAGATGGGAACTTCGCAGCCTAAGGCGCCTTCAGGAATTGTCATGGGCTGAGTGCTGCCCTACACAGAGAGAGAAGTCTACATGGCACCATTTTCTGTGCCCTTACAATAAATCTATTTTGCACTAGTGGCTCCCCGATCTGGACAAAAATGGGAAGCAAAAAATGTTCAGAGCTGCAAGCTAATTTTGCACACAGTAGTCTATTCCGCTCTCTTTTTCCCAGACACTTGCTATCAAAGAGGGTGTCTCTAATAAGGCCAACATTTTTCAGACAGAACAAAATTGGTGCAGCAACCGTTTTTAACTCCACCTCTCCTTCCTTTTCCTCATTGCGTGCTGACATTTCCCCCTCCTGCATTTGTTCTTCTCTGAAAAATTTAAATTGTGTTGTTGATTCCTGTCCTCTCAAAGGATCCATTAAGGGCATGTTTCATATTCCAAAAGACAACAGCTAAATATGGAAATTTGTATAGTCTTCCCTGCCTGAACCATCTATCTTGCTCTTTGAGGGCATTTTCCAGGAAGAGAAATGACATCCTAAGGAAATTAATGATATCTCTGTTGCCATATAATTGCGTTCTTCGAAATATGAGTGTTTCATAGAGCTACCACAAACTGCAACAATTCACAAAATTGCTCTCAAAATTGTCCTCACTGGCTATAAATAAATTATAGAGCATTAAGAGTGATAAGATTGAAATCTATTTTGTTGTCATTAAACCAATTTGCAGATTTTGAAGGTCTCCAGACAGTACTGTTGTTGATTAAAAAAAAAAATAATTTTAGAAATCTAACAACTAAAAACATGTTGTAACAAGAATTTGTCCAAACAGTGGCTTGCTGTAGCTATTATCACCTTTTAAATCTGATAATCTGCCCCTTTCATGGCTACTGTACTGGAAGCAAACCAAAGCCCAAAACAAATATAATTAATGTGCACAATTTTGCAATTTAACCCTTTTCCTTCCTGCTATGTTCCAGATTGAAATATACTCAGAGTTGAGAGTGGATTTCATGCTCTTTATTCAGCTCATAGTCGTGAGGAGGAATGAAAGTCCCCTCAAAGTATCTGCTTTATATACATTATTTACACAATGGGCTGCACGTGATTGACTTATTCCGGAATTCTCCTGTAGGCCAATCAGGTTGTGGATTCACTTCCATCTGGAGCCGGATTGGGTGGCTCCTGCAGACCAATCATACTGCTGCATTGTTCTAGGACCAATCAGACTGCTGCATTCTGAATCCTATTGTTCTAGGACCAATCAGACTGCTGCATTTTGGATCCTATTCAACTCAGTACATAACACAGATGAAAATCATTCCTCCATGAAGGAACAGACAGAACCCTGTCTGAAACTTCTTGCCAGCTGCTGTCAGTCAGTGTAGACATACTGGGCTAGACCGACCAAGGGTCTGACTCAGTAGAAAGCGGCTTCCAATTTTTCCACAATAAAGAATAGGTCTGTTCTCTGCCTCTCCTGCATATCAGGCAAGGATCTCCATGCAAAATGTTTCAGACACAACAATATTTACTGCGTATCAGTAGGGAATAAGAGTTTAGGGAGCAGTTCATAGGTGACAATCCTAAAATATCTTTAGGGATGAGGGAACGAACAGCTGGCCGGGTCAGGATTCTAGGAGACGGGCAGTTATAAGATGGGAATGTGAAACAGATGAAATTTAAGCAGCAGCAGAACTTATGAATCTGGTTTCTCTGGTTTCTCTTCAGATCGTATAAATCTTTCGCCTTTTACTAAAGAACTTATGAATCTTGTGGGGTTTTTTTAAAAAATGAAAATATGTTTTGTCTTAAAGTGTGGCTGTCAAGTGTGACTGTCAGTGCAGGGAGGAACTTCTATATCAAACCAGTGATGTGAGGCGCAGAGGAACAGCTGTGAAACCCCCTGCCCCCCTCACATTTTCCACCTCCTCTCTGGAACAATTTAAAAGTAATGATGGGAGATTTAAAACAAAAACAAAAAAAGCACCCATGTGGTTGGCATCACATTGAAAAATTAGCAACCCTTTGTGACGTTAACATGTGAGAGTGCTGGAGGTGAAATAGTTAAACAGGTTACCCAATCAGAACCCAGGGGGTGGAGTCAGAGGGACTATAAAACCAGCTCTGGGAGAGGCGAAGGGAGGAGTTCGTTGGGAGTTGGGTGGTTGGTTCTAGTGGGAGTGAATTGGGATAGAGTCTGTGGGTAGGTTGAGTTAGTGCAGCGAAATAAGCTGAGTCAGGAACAGTTAAGGGCTAGGAAGACAAGTAAATATTTGAGAGGTGGTTTAGTGAGTGAGAGCAGGTAGCGGAAGTTATAGGTCTGGATAGGCACCCCATGATTGTAATTGACTGATACCGTTTATGAAACTGCACGTTTGTTAAACTGCAATAAATAAACAGATGTTTATGTTCCAATTTAACCCTGACTGGACTCAGTATTGTACCAGGTAGGGCCTGCGTGGTGGCAGTGGGAAATAAAGTGGTGGCACAGGGATCAATAGAAGGTGAAACGTCCGGGGACCCTGTGTGATCGCCACACCCTTAAACATGCAGAATTAGCATTAGCCAAGGTTAGATAGCTTGGGTGCACGGTTGTAATATTTCGTGCTGCAAACTTTATAAATGATGCAACAAGAGGCTGGCATGTCCAGTAAAGGAACTTAAGCTGTGCCGCTCTTGCTGAGAGATCCCAAATGGCTGATTCTCCAACTTTCAAGCAGGGAGCTTCCTCGAACTGCTTCCCTCCAGTGCAAAATTCCTGTTGAACACACCACGTCACTGCTCTCAGTCTCTATTGCTACAACCTCTCCTTCTAAAGAAGAAAGTTATTCTAGGTCTCCCCCGGCCTCTTTCTGTAGGCCACACCCACACCATAAATTCAAAGCACTCTTGTAACACTTTAACAGCCATGGTTTCCCCCAAAGGCTCCTGGGAGCTGTAGTTTGTTAAGGGTTTGGAGAGCTGCCATTCTCCCTGAGGAGCTACAATCTCCTGAGTTGCAATTGTTGGATATGAGAAAGTTTATGCCTCGCCCAAAAATGGAAGCAAGAAGAATTGCCGATGATTGAGGAATGGAGGATGAAGTTAATGGACTATGCAGAATTAGACAAACTAACAGGAAGAATCCGAAACTGACGTGACCAGAAATTTACTGAAGACTGGAGTAAATTTACGAGTTATATGAAAAGTATTTGTGATGATCAGACGACGTTTGTAGGTTTGCAAGAAGTTCTGTGAGGAGTATTATGGGAAGTATTGTAAAAATGAAGAAGGGGAGAGGATAGGTTAAGAAAGGTAAAGACAATACAAAATTAAGTAATGCATAAGAAGCGTTTAAGACGGAAGATCATCAGAAGTGCTGATGGAAGTCCAATAAGATTGTATTTGTAATAATTTGTGTGGTGTGTTTTATAATTTGCATGTTAAATTCAATAAAAATGTTTTGGTTTTTTTTAAAAAGAGAAAGTTTATGCCTCAAGCAGCAGGCACCAAACAACTCAGATTTACTCAAAGAAGATATAGCACACTGGATGCTGTACCTTGGAACGCTTTCCACTTCCTCTAGATGCAGCAGTTGACTACAGAAGCAACCCACCAAAATCAGAAGAGAGGTGGTTAGAGACTAAGCAGCAACTGTAGTGCTCTGGTCAATGGGGTCATGAAGGGTCAGCCATGACTAAGCGACTAAACAACAACAAGTAGTGCCTGCTAATGCATATACAGTCATACCTCAAGTTACAGACACGTCAGGCTGCATTTTTTCAGGTTACGAATACACCGAAACCCGGACGTACTGGAACGGGTTGCTTCTGGGTTTCGGCAGTCGTGCATGTGCAGAAGCACTAAATCGCTCTTTGTGCATGTGCAGATGCAATGCTGCGGGTTGTGTACGTGCATCCCACACGGATCACGTTCGCAACCCGAGTGTCCACTGTGTGAGCAATCCTTTCCAATTCACAGGGAACTCTGGAAACTGGAGCTCTGAAGGGGGAATATGGGACCAGGCTAAGCCAAATATATATTTTTCCCCCCCTGCTGGAAGTGAAGGACAAGATGGTGCCTCTACCCATTCTGTGTACAAAAGCCAACCAGACTGGTACTTGAACATAATTTCAACAATGGCAATGGGCTCCACTGCACCCAAGAGCCAGTGGCGTAGCGTGGGGTGTGCAGGGGGGGCCGGCCGCACCGGGCGCAACATCTGGGGGGGGGCGCTTGCACTCGCAGTGCTAAAATCAGTGCTAAAATCCACGGGTTAGGGGGCGCAAATTACTTGCCTTGCCCTGGGTGCTGACAACCCACGCTACGCCACTGCCAAGAGCATCTGCCTAGATTAGGGAGGGAGGGCAGGACACTGGGCATATACAACTCTGTCTCAGTAGAGACTGGTGGGGTGGGGGCCACGCACCTGACCTCCCATCAGCAGAATGGCTGCTGCTTACTTGGAGGTAGAAAGGCGAGACAGCAAGGATGTAGCGCTGTGCTGGTACACCAGTGGAACCCACCCAGGAGGTCAGGTGTGTGGCACTGTCCTCTGTATGGATATCGCGGAGTGGGGAGTGGGGTCCGGAGGGAGCACTTCCCCACCAGCAGGCAGCCACAATCTGCCTGCACGCGTGACCTTGGGGTGCAGGGCACAATCCCCCCTCAGACAAGCCACAAGCTGTCTGGTACATCGTTCCACCTATGTCTGACCTTTTGCGGTCTCAGAGTCAGCGGTGTCCTGTCTGTAAGTTTTTCCCTGAGACCTTTTGTCTCCTATGTCATACACCTTGGAAGGGGAAAATGACGCTGTGGAACAGGTGCCAAAATAGCTTTCCACCACCCCACGATTTCGGGATGGAAGATGTGTAAAGGTCACAGCCCAAAAATGTATCTGCCTGGCTTGCATATTTGTCTCAATAAAAAGAGGCTCCACAGGAATGGTGCTAGCTCACTCGCTTCAGACCACCTGTGCGCAGCTCACATAATGATCAACACCTGTCTTGGGCCTTCACTTCAGTCCTCGTATGCCAGCCACTGTTGCTCTATCTACTCTAAACCCCATAGGATCAGCCACCTGAGGCAGCTACCCGGCTGCTAACGGTAGGGCTGGACCTCTTCTGGGCCTGTGCGTTGCAGGCGGCAACCATTTTAGAAGTGTCTAATCAGCGTGTGATTGCTGATGTACAGGTCCTTTTAGATCTAGAAGAGGGCAGAACAGAGTAGGGCGCACTTATGCGTTCTCCGCCAATGCGTGCAGGGGCTAGGAATGGAGGCCCCGCACAAAATGGTTGTCACCTGTACAGTTGTACCTTGGTTTTTGAACAGCTTAGTTCATGAACGTTTTGGCTTCCGAATGCCACAAACCCAGAAGTGACTGTTCCAGTTTGCAAACTATTTTTGGAAGCCGAATGTCTGACAGGGCTTCCGCGGCTTCCAATTGGCTGCAGGAGTCTCCTGCGGCCAATCAGAAGCCACGATTTGGTTTCCAAATGTCTTGGAAGTCGATCGGATTTCCGGAACGGATTGTGTTTGACTTCCAAGGTATGACTGTATTCTATAATTAATAGATGGTGCAAACTCTATTCAAATATATAGATAACAACAAGAAGTTTCGGGAGAGCTGAATAGCAAATTGAAGTAGAAAGGGGGGAAAAGAAACAAATTCAGATTTTAATTTCTTAACTCTATTTTTTTATATCTAACAATCAAAGTGACATTTCATTTGTAACGCCAAAGCAGTCTCATTAAACTGAACAAAATCAAGCTGAAATGGAATGTGGGGAGAGCCCGTTGCTGTTTCATCATAGAGGAATACAGAACAAACAACAACAACCACTTTTCCCTGCTTAGGAAACATAATGAAAACCTCGCTGCTCAGCCACATTCATTATGCCTCAATTTATATGCGCCAGATGCCAGACGGCTTAAGTGACGGGCCTTACCTGGGCATTTGCAAAAATTATTTATAAAAACAACTCCTCTAGAAAACGTGCATTCATTTTATTTAAATTCAATTACCACTGTAAAGGGCTTGTTTCCAGTAAACAGTAGAAGCCCTATTTGCAAGTAAAAATTAATTGCTATTCAGGTGCTTCCAGCATGGAAAAGAAACTACTATGCACAAGGGTGTAGACAGACTCAGCTTTCCATTAGGAGTATGAGGCTTTTGCAGCATTAGCGCTAATTTAATCAAACTGGTTAACCATCTGTAAAACAAAGACTGAAGATTTAACACCTTTGCTATGACACTGGACAAAGCCTACAGAACTAGCTATTTGCAGGTGCATAGATCAAGAGGCAGTTCTGCTTGAAAGAGGACAGGGTACCAGCTGGTTCACCTAGCGCTGTACTCTGACTAGTAATGACTGTCTAGAACAGAGGTTTTCAACCTTTTTGAGTCCACGGCTCCCTTGGCGAACAATATTCTTTCTGCGGCACCCCTGTGGGGCTCAGGAGTCCAGTTATGTCACCCCTTGCCTGCGGAGCTGGCAGCCCCTCATCCCTTTTTTGAACACCCTCTCTTGTGGAGGGTTCACTCAGCCTCCTCTCCTGTCTCCTTGTGAGTCCTTCAGGAAGCTACCGCACCCCCCCCCCCCAGTCTCTGAGCCACCCCACCCTGAAGAGAGGTGCCTCTTCATCCTGCTCCACGAGGGTCTGGGCAGAGGATGTTCCAAGTGTTTGGGAATCATTCTGCCAGAAACAAGTAGAAAGGTTCTAGAAGGTTCTAGAAGACCACTCGGCTTTGTTTTTGCCGATGCCTGATGGCAGAGTGCTGCTGGCGAATTCTATTGAAGGACTGTTGCTGTGATTTACAACGTGCTGGAGATAAGACTTTTGTTTGAAAGTGTGCTGTTAATTGCTGTTTATGTCAACAGTCGAAACCATTTCCCTGGACTTGGGTGACTTTAAAAGAGGATTAGACAGATTCATGGAGGACAAGGCTATCAGTGGATACTAGCCATGATGGCTATGTGAGGCTGTGTATTTGGTGAGGCTGTGTGTTTGGTGGAAGGATGTTCACCTGGAATTCCTCACTGCGATTGAGGTGTTCCTCTTCTCCCACCTCAGCATTGTTTTATCTCATTTTCAATAGTAGTATTTATTCATTTTTATGTAAACCATAAAGGTAAAGGACCCCTGGATGGTTTAGTCCAGTCAAACTTGACTATGGGGTTGCAGCACGCATCTCATTTCAGGCCAAGGGAGCCGGTGTTTGTCCGCAGATAGCTTTCCTGGACATGTGTCCAGCATGACTAAACCACTTCTGGCAGAACGGGACACTGTGACGGAAGCCAGAGTGCACGGAAACACCATTTACCTTCCACTGCAGTGGTACCTATTTGTCTACTCGAGCTGGTATGCTTTTGAACTGCTAGATTGGCAGTAGATAGGTACATAGGATTGTGTGGTCAATTGGAGATGCCGGGGATTGAACTTCATGCAAAGCATGTAGTCTACATCTAAGCTATGGCCCTTTATTTTTGGAGAGGGCTATAGGAAGATTTCATCTCATTGCGCACGCGATAGTGGAGAACTCTCATTCATTCCCCCCGCCCATGGGAAGTCACTAGGGATCTATGCTCCCCAAACTTCATTTTCACTTCTGGGTTTTAGACTTGGTTCTGGCATGCTCTCAAAATGTGCCAAAAAAACTAGAATGGAGTTATTGTTTATCTGACACCACCGAAAGGAGGCCAGTAGGGTTGTTTAAAAGTTCTGCATGTAAACCATGAAGGAACAGATTTCTTCTACCCTGGTTAAGGTGCTGTTGGCCACTGGCCAAGCCATCTGCCCTTGCTGAATTCTCCAGCTGGCAGCAGCTGCTAATAAACCAACAAGCCTTCTTCCCCTCCCTCAATTGATGCTCCATAGCAGAATGCAGGATGGTGATCAGACTGTTGACATAGTTGCTTCTGCTGCCACTTGCAGAGAGAGAGAGAGAGAGAGAGACAGACAGACAGACAGACAGACAGACAGTACTACTGCTAGTGCTAAATAGTGAGATCCACCTCCAAGAAACTGTTGAAGAATGAAATGACTGCAAGGAATGAACTGCAAGGACCAGTTGTGTTCCCTGCTCTAATTTGGTCATTCAGAGCAGGTGATAATAATGCAGGGACTTTTTCCTCACACTGATGCAACATGGGACAACTTCCTCCAAAAGTTAGGTTATCAAAACTGAGTTTTGTTGTTGAATTAACTGAGGAGCTAAGCGGAACTCACACCTGCAGTCTCAGGGAAAGTACCCCATATATACTTATGCCAAAAATGTCTGTGTGTTAAGGGATGGCTAAGGAAATATGCAATTCTACTGGGTTGGCAAACAGATGCTTTGTCTGCTGTTTTGTGTTTCTAATAGAACAGGTGTGTCTGTGAGCAACAGCTTTCACACTACTACTCTGCAATTACCACTCAGTACTTCATCACAGGTGCTGCATGCTCTGATGAGATTGTTCGTGAGGTCTGCAGACTGTTCTGGCAAGCAAAAATGGATGGTGATCTTCCGTTTCCATCCCTGTCTTTCATGGTTTTCAAAGTCATTTGTTGTCCTCTCTTATAACCACAGGTTCTAAGAGAAGTGGATGGAAAATGCAGAATGTGGCCCCAGTGCTAAGAGCGTTGATGTCGATTTTACACTTTGTGCGTACTAACAAGAGTAGGAAGCAAGCGTTTCTCCAGCTGTATGCAGAACCAGTAGCTGGGCAACATGATATCTGGAGCAGAATCCAGGAGAGGGGAGCTGTGTTGTGTGACTCCCCTCTCAGGAAAGGTTGCATCACTTGAGACTTTTTAATTTAGAGAAAAGGTGACATGATAGACATTTAGAAAACTATGCATGGCATGGAGGAAGTGGATAGAGAAGTTGTTCTCCTTCTTTCATGACACTATGTCATGGTCTGGTTCACGGGCGATCGAAGTCCCGGCTGGGGACGTCGGGACCGGAGGCAAGATGGCACGGTGGGAGCAGGAACGGGAGTCCAGAAGCCAGGAGTCGGGAAGCCAAGAGTTTGAGGGTCAGAGAGCTGGGAGTCAAGAAGCCAAGGGTCTGAGGGTCAGGAAGGAAGGAAGGGGTTGTAAAGTCAAGGGTCCGAGGATCAAGAAGCAAGGAGTCAAGGAACCAAATGCAGCAAGGCAAGGAATGTGTTGCTGTGGCAAAGAGCTGACCTTATATCCCTTCCCAGCTCTTGCCACCAGGTGCTGTGAGTTACCAATTGGCCTCACCTGTGAGGCCGCACCTTGCCTCTTCAGAACAAACTGGTCACAGGGCCTGGCTCCTGCACACACACCTGACACACTAGAACTCATGCATATCCAATGAAGCTGCATGTTGGAAGATTTAGGATAGATAAATAAAGTCCTTTATGCAGGGCATAGTTAAACTATGGAACTCACTTCCACAGGAAGCTGTGATGGCCACCAACTTGGATGGCTTTAAAAGAGGATTAGACAAATTCATGGAGAAGAAGGCTACCAATAGCCTGTGTTCAGGTCCTGCTTGTGGGTTCCCAGGTTGGCCACTGTGAGAACTGGATGCTACACTAGATGGACCAAAGGCTCTTCATATGTTCTTCTGGTGGGAACCTCCTGCGTCATGAATGGCATGTTTTGAATGAGCCCCAAGATTGGCTGAAGACCACCACCCAAATTGGATGCTGTTGAATTATTTCTGAACTGTGTTGATCAAAGAGCTAAAGGAATGTTCATGTTCTGGCAAAAAGTACTGTACCTGCAAGGAAGCGTGAAAGGCTGGCTATGCAATGCTAGTTGCAAACAATGAGTATCGTACCACACCAAAAGTTACAGAAGACCAGGTGCAAACAATGAGAGTTGTGATATGCCAGGAACATGCTAAAGATGGAGGACTGCCAAGAACATGCCAAAAAGCAGTGAGAAATGCTAAGACCCAGATGCACAGAAGAAAGACTATATAAGTTCAGGCTTTTCAGAAGGGTCTGTGTGTCAGACGCAGCTAGGATCCTCACTGTCTGGTCACCCATAACCCTTATTGGAACTCGATCAATTCCACTGAAAGGCTGGTGGGTATGATTGTGGATGTGGATGTGTGCGTGACGGAGTGCATGTTCCCTTGTCTTGTTATGTATTGTGTTTATTAATCAATAAAGCAATGTTATGCAGAAATTCCAATATACTGGTTGCCTGACTGCTGACTTGTGTTCTCCCTCTGGAGTGCACTGAATCTCATTTATGCAAAAACATCTAAACAGATAAAAGAACCTGGTTATTCACAACACCTGCTAGGAACTACTCTTCCCCATTTAGCAGGCTGGTTGGGTAGATATATCAGGCCATAGCTGGGCTGCCTGTTGGATGCTGCACCAAACCCCATTATACAGTCTTTGATAAAGTTATGGCCCTGCACAACCCACCGTCTCCCTCCAGCCATTCACTGCTCCCTACCTCCCTGTGCCTGGTGCACAAATGCAAACATTTCTCACATATTATATGCATTGTTATACATATAACATGCATAGTATATGCATATATGCACTCCAGATTTTGTAATGCAACCAGCACATAAGTGGATATACACAACGGTGCATATCATTGTGTAGGAAGCTACCTGGGATAGCTCAGGTGGTAGAGCGTGAGACTCTTAATCCCAGGGTTATGGATTCGAGCCACACATTGGGCAGAAAGATTCCTGCATTGCAGGGGGTTGGACTAGATGAGCGTCACGGACCCTTCCAAGTCTACAATTCTACGAATGTTGCGTGTCGAGGTCCCCAGGTCCACCCCAATAACTCACACATCACACAGAAATTTTTGTTTAAGATTTTTGGCATAATTTTGGCCACAACTTTATTAAAATACAAATTTGTGAGTGGTTGCGTAGGCATTGGTTGCGACTATCTGCCCCCACCATGGGGGACAGACTGACATTCCGCACAATGCGAAAGTCAGAATGGGGGAATACACTTGGGGGTTACGTGGAGCAGGGAACCTGCCCTCACCCCAAATGCAACCAGGAGCTCATTGCTATGGCCCAAGCCCCCTTGACAGAGTGGACAAGCAATAGTTAGCTCCCAATTCCTTTAACGGAATCCCTTGCAGCAGCAGCATTAGAGGGGCAGGCACAGCCAATCCATGCCCCTCAACCAACCAAACCATAAACCAATGTCTAACCGCGAACCTTACAAGTTGTGACGATTTGCTACGCAGTAGGCAAAACCCAAATGGCCCCAGCCAATCAGCCAGATGGACAAAATTCCTACCAGGCCCCCGCTCCAAAGCAGACGACCCCATGACAGGCATAGCAAGGTCAAAGCAAACAACCCTATTCTAGGAAGGGAGGGACGGGCAATCCGATGCACGTGTGAAAAGAGGAAGCCCTAGCCTCGTGCAAGGAGTTTTACTATTTCTGGCTGTCAATCAATAAATGGCAACATTAACTTCTTCCCAACAACAAGGGAAGCCCCAATCGCATCAGTGGCCAACGATCAATTAGCCCGCCCCCAACTTTGGAGTGTCCTGGCGGCCCCCACCGCAACACGTGCTCTCCATGAAGGAGAACACGCTATGTGTTATGATGTATAAAATTACACTGCAGAAATATAGTGTTGCATGGGTCTGGACTTACATAATATTTGCATATAATTGGTTGAAGGTTTTTTAAAAAATAAATCCAGTGGACGATGTGATGGGTGTTCCCACATGGGTAAAATTCGACAGGGTTGGAACTGCCAAATTCTGTGCATGAATCTGTTTCCAAAGGATTCCTCTGCCATCCCTATCAAGAACACATCTAACAATAACAAGGTAAAGGTAAAGGTACCCCTGACCGTTAGGTCCAGTCGCGGACAACTCTGAGGTTGTGGTGCTCATCTCGCTCTATAGGCTGAGGGAGCCGGCGTTTGTCCGCCAGAGCAGCCCATGGAAATGCCATTTACCTTCCCACCAGAGTGGTTCCTATTTATCTATTTGCACTTTGATGTGCTTTTGAACTGCTAGGTGGGCAGGAGCTGGGACCAAACAACGGGAGCTCACCGCGTCACGGGGGTTTGAACCTCTGACCTTCTGATTGGCAAGCCAAGGTTTAGACCACAGTGCCACCCGCGTCCCTCTACATCTAACAATATGAACAAGTAACAAAACCCCCACAGAGATCCCTTATAGGAAAATGAATGCTTCTGCTCCTTTATCTGTATATTCAGCAGGGTGGTGTGAACTGAAAGTGACAGGTTGCCATTCTGAAGCTTCACCACATCAGCACAGAAAAGCTGTCAATGGCAGCAAGAAGCGAGGAGGGTGGGTGGAAGCAGACGGTCCATCACTGGTTCCCCTCTCCATGCTTGCACTTTGCAAGTGCTTCTTCCCCACCCCACACCTTAAAAGCTTGGCTTCGGGGGACTCCTGACTACAGCAGCGAAATGGAAATGATTGACTAGCGGTAGAAAATTAAAATTAATTTTTAAAACACCTTAGCGTTACCCAGTCCTGGCTCTCATCAATTTTCACCAGCTAATAGGCCCCTATATCTGGCATGCTTCCTCCGAAGGCCGAGCTCGAGAGATGACAGCAGACTTGGGAGATGGGTGGTCAGAGCAAGACTAAGTTTGCATTCAGACGTGGAACTTATTGCATTTGTTTTTCCTGGTTATAATGCTGGCGTTTCTGTCCCAGTCACTTATACTGCCATGGTGGGAAAGAACAGTATGATGAGATATGGTCCCAAATTTTGTCATTGAAAAGCTCCCGTGATTTTCTGAATGAAGATGATTGCAACCGGCTCTCCCCCCCTCCCTGGAAACAACACATAAATTAGTACAAAACTTCCACCAGTTTTCCAGAAGTCATGTGAAAGATCGGATACAACGTGAAAATGAACAGGCAAGGGAAGATGGCATAAAGTGCTGTCTGAATGCAGCCTTAATCAACTATTATGGTGGTATTCTACCAGGAAAGGAGACAGTAAGCAGAAACAATAGCTACTACAGCAGAAATAGTGTTTCCAGTCCAATCTTGACATGAGAAAGACGCAGAGGACACTATTGTAAGCTGCACAGCTTATTCCCGACTGGAAGACATCCTGGCATAGCAAATGTCACAGCTGCATAAACACCAGTCTGCAGTGCTAAATGCATTTCTCTGTTCCCCCTTCCAAGATCGTGTTTGAAAATGTTTTCTCCCCACGGCTAAATATGTTGCTCATTAAACCACTTCTCCTTTGCTTTAAACTGGAGCCTATTGTAAGCTGTAATTCACCATGCATTGTATTGTCCGCTTGATCAATTTAAAAGAAAAAAGGTATCCAAAATTGCTGGAAAAATAAGAATCGAAGCTGTCGCACTGTCACAAAACTCAGTTTGCACATTCACCTTCCAGAGACGAAGGCAGACCTCAAGCGCTTCGTCGTTACAAATGAAAAATGAGTCTGTTTGCCTTTCAGCTTCTTTTTTTGGCTGCATGATGCAAACATAACACAGAGAAGATGGTAGGCTGCCTCTGCTCAGGAGAGAGAGAGGGGGAGAGAGAGAGTCCCATAATTCGAGGGGATACTCTTCCGCCACAGAAATACTTTAAGGCAGGAGTGCTCAACCTCAGGTCCAGGAGCTGAATGTGATCCGCTCGCCCTCTATATCAGGCTCCCAGGACTCTCTCCAAGCCATGACTCCTCTCCACTTCACACTGTTCCCCAACCTTGTTCTGAGACATCCTCGTGTTTTTGACTGGCTGGAATGTGTTCTTAAACATTGATAAAGACTCTTGCTCACCATGATGGAGGACATTGAGAAATGTATGTTGTAGAAAGCTCTGGATTCGGAATAGCTAGAATGTGCTATTCCACTGTAGGAGTTACAGTGGTACCTCGGTTTTCGAACGTCTCCGTTGACAAACATTTCGGTTTTTGAACGCCGTAAACCCGGAAGTAAATGCTTCGGTTTTCGAACACTCCTCGGAAGTCAAACATGCCATGCGACTTCTGCTGAGTTGAAGATCCTGAGGCTTAGCTGTCGGCTATTGAGTTTTTGGTTTTAGAATGTTTCAGAACTCCAACAGTCTTCTGGAACGGATTACATTCGAAAACCAAGGTACCACTGTACATGCCTTCCTCCACCAACTTTTACTTCTGGCCATTTCCACCACTGGCATGCAGCCCTCAAAATGTTCCCCATGAAGGAATGTGGCCCTCAGACTGAATATGGTTCCACACCCATTTTAGATGTGGCAGCCATTTTGTGTCATGCCACGTACACCACAGCAGCCATTTTGTGACTGGCGCCCACAACACTTCTTGAACATTCCAGATGGGCCCACTGGCTTCTGAAAGGTTGGTGCCCTGTGGGCTAAGGAGGTGGTTCAAGCTACAATTCTGATAACTCACCACATGGGGCAGTGGCCCCATGTTCTTGGCTGTTCCTTGTTCACAACAGTGGGAAATGCATCACTATCCCAAGCTGCAGTTATGCTAAAGCCCTACACAAGTCTACTGATTTTTCAAAGGGAAGTCACCACTGCATTGATGCTGGGCTGCCACTTCAGCCTGTGGCTTAGCTGACAAAGTGGCCACATGTCAGCGCAAAGGAATGAATTATGACACAAAGGGCAGGCTGTGATGTTTGCATTCATATTTCCTGGAGTTAAAAGGAGCATGTGCTGTGACACTCATATAGAAAGGTCAACTTTTGACAGTTAAGACACCTTCCTTGGCTTAGCCGGTCCACAGCAGAAGGTGAAAACACTCAGTACTCCCTGCAGACAAAAGACACATGCGTAAGTCCAGCTGTCACTGAATTTTCTGCATGTGTGGTCAGATATAATAGAGTTTTATATTATTTCTGAATGGGTAGACAGCTTTCACAAAGGGCATGACAGCTCTAGAGTGTGACCGATACAAGGAAAAAAGGGTTCTGCTGTTGAGATATTGTGATTTGCTGTAATGAGTCTATGGCTGTCATTAAGCTGCAGAGGAGAGGAAGGGAAATTCCTATGGTGCAATTCTACATAAAATTAAATAAATACTGGAATTAGTTCACCCATCCATTGGCATTAACCACTTAGTGAGCAAGCCCAAGAAGCCAGCATAAAGCAATCCAGTGTAAATTAAGGTAAAGGTAAAGGGACCCCTGTCCATTAGGTCCAGTCGTGGCCGACTCTGGGGTTGCGGCGCTCATCTCGCTTTATTGGCCGAGGGAGCCGGCATACAGCTTCTGGGTCATGTGGCCAGCATGACTAAGCCGCTTCTGGCGAACCAGAGCAGCGCACGGAAACACAGTTTAACTTCCCGCCAGAGCGGTACCTATTTACTTACTTGCACTTTGACATGCTTTCGAACTGCTAGGTTGGCAGGAGCAGGGGCTGAGCAATGGGAGCTCATCCCGTCACGGGGATTCGAACCACCGACTTTCTGATCGGCAAGTCCTAGGCTCTGTGGTTTAACCCACAGCGCCACCCGCGTCCCCCAGTGTAAATTAAGCTGGTACAAAATAGGGTTGCCATACGTCCGGCAATTGGCTGTCAGAAACTGTCTGGGCGGAAATCACTGGAACGCCCAGGAAAATCCAGATGTACGGTAACCCGTGTTTTCATCTATTTCCCTTAAAAAATGTTACACCAGATCCAAATCCCATTCAGCAGCAGGCCTGCTGCTCTGCCTATGTCTAGTAGAGGGAAAATAAGCATTTAGATTACTGTTCTACCCTGGGTTACCAGGTCATGTGACTGGCCTGAAACATGTGACCAGACTAAGTCTCCCTTCTCTGGTCCCATCACACCCCTGAAATGTTCTTTTTGGAGGGTACTTACACTGGCCTCATTTTAGCCAGCTAAGGCTCAGCGAGCTGAACCAGAATGAGCAACTTATGCTGGCATATTTTGGGCAGAGCCAGGGCTGGGGACTTAATATTAGCTGAGCCTGGCTGAGTTGGGAATCAGCTGGCTGAGATGGAGATTCACTGCATCTTAACCTGCTCTTGCCAAAGAGCTGCGTGCTTAAAAAAGTAATATATTATAACAGCATCAGCCTAAAATATTAATTTTCCAAGGGCACCAACGGCTTTGCATTGTTGTTGATTATTTATCAACTTTCACGTATGTTCAAGGGGATGTACAAGTGGTAATAAAAACAGCTAAGAACAAGATGATTGAAAAACACAAAACTATGCAAAGTGGACACTCATGGCAGAGACCCATTCATCTGGTTGTGAAATAGGCAATAAAAGCAAAAGCCTGCTAGATACTGAGCTATTATCAAAAGAAGGCCCGGTGCCAAGCCAATGTTCAAATTAGGCAGACTTGCTGTCTCCATTGCACTTCCAGCACAGGGCTTAATCTGCATACCAATTCTTAGATTGCAGTATTTCCTTCAGACATTCAGTTCCACTTTGCCATAGTGTACACTTATGGGATGAGAATGATGGAGATGGCAGTCATGAGAATCTGCATAATATATGAGTTATTGCAAAAATCAACACTTGCCACGCTTTCACCGAGTGAACTCTGCAAAGAATCTGCATAAGCAGTAAACAAGACTTTTATAAATCAACTTTTAAGTGCTTAACCACCTTTCCATTTCCAGCTGTATTTTAAAGAGCTGAAGCAGAAACCTCATTTTTCCAGCCATTATAATTCAGAACCCGAAACTTGTAAACCTTTTATTACAGCCCTTTTTCATAACACCTAGACTTAATGTATCAAACGTGTCTCTTTCCCGCAGTTTGCGGTATCCATGTGGCGCGAACAATGAAGACGGCATTACTCACAGAGCATACTTTGAAGCAATATCTATAAATTGGTAAATATACGACTCTTGTAATCACCTTAAACCAAAATTCTGCTGTCATGTTGAATAAGTCGGGTGCACCTAGAGCTTCCCAAATGCAACTTGGTCTTCACAAGCAACTGGAAACCTGTGCTTGCAAAAAGTGAAGCAAGCTGTAGCTCATCCAGGAATTCAGGGCTTGCTGAATAAATTCTTATTATGTAGGAGGTTAGAGGAAACAATATCATAATGATCCCTTATGGCCTCGATATTTATTGGTGGGCATTTGCAGAACCTCTAGGTGGAATTTTGTTATCAGGTGTGTTTTCTGAGCCCCAAGAAGCGGATCTCCAAGGAAAACCTGTCTGCCCATTTAAATTCCAGCTAATGCTATTTGCACCACCATTCCTTTAATATTATGCATTGCTTGATTGACAGAAAGGCCCCAGACGATTCTCGTGCATTCATATTCATTCATACTTTCACCACATAATAGCCTTCGTAGTATTAAATCCTCATAAACAAAGAAATGCTTTAATGTATTAACGCTTCCTTGGTTCCAGTGACACTTGGCAAAAGGGTTAAATATGTAAATATATCAAAGATAAACATATAACCAAAAATATGGCTGTTCATTGCCCTCACTCTGGGAAATACTAGATATTTTCCTGGGTTAAATGAATACATTGTCAGTGAAACTGAATATTGTGGATAGCATTAACCTGAGGTTTCCCAGAAATTTCGGAACACCGTGCGACTTTTTTTTAGGGTGCTGGCTGAAATGCAATTAATCAGTGGGGATGTGTTTGTTTTGGGAGGTTTCCAAATTAAGGTTTTATAATTCAGTGGTCAAACGGTGCATGCTAGGACATCAGTGTGGATCTGTAAATCACTCCTTCCCAGTGGCAGACCTTGGGGGGGGGGGTCTCAAATTTCAGTGGTGCATTGTGTGCCACCAACATTTGGTACCCCCGCCTCACACCTTCCATTCTACAGCATTGTTGCAGAGCCCCTGAGGCACAACTGAACCAGCCACACTCCCCTACAGCTGCCTCTGCTTCTTCCAAAAGGGGATGAGTAGCACTTAGCTTAAAGAGCTTTGAAATTTATGCAGGGTAGAAGATGATGGCAGTGGTTTTGAAACATTCAGCTTCAGAGAACAGCTTCCATATCTGTCAATGAGCACTTATTATTATTATTTTTAAATAATATTTATTGATTTTCCAACCATTTAAACACAATAAAACAAAAAAGAAAAAAGAAAAAGAAAAAACATAAGATTAACAAATTAAGACGCATACCATTTAAAACACAAAACAATTTCAATATCTTAACTTTCATTCCCTTATTTCCACGACCTCCTCACACCTCCCTTTTTGTATTCCACTTCTATTAATTGTTTCAGCAATTCCTTTCCATCTTCCTCTGTTTTCTATCCTATAATTATCTTAACATATTCTAATCTTATTTTTCCCTTTAATACTCTATTAGTCTATTTATACTTAATTCCTTATAACATTTCTACTGAAGCAATATAACTTCATTCCTACATTTTTCAAACATTCATTATTTTTACAATATTTCTATAAATAGTCTTAAACTTTTTCCAGTCTTCTTCCACCGACTCTTCTCCCTGGTCTCGGATTTCTGCCAGTCGTTTCCGCCAATTCCATATAGCCCATCAACTTCATCTGCCATTCTTCCCGGATAGATAAATCTTGTGTCTTCCAGTACTTCACAATGAGTATTCTTGCTGCTATTGTTACATACATGAAAAGAGTTCTATCCTTCTTTAACACCAATTGGCCGACCATGCCCAGGAGAAAGGCCTCTGGTTTCTTCAAAAAGGTATATTTAAATACCTTTTCATTTCATTATGAATCATCTCCCAAAGTGTCTTAATCCTTGGGCATGTCCACCAAAGGTGAACTCTAATCCTCAAATTCGTCTGTTTTTCTTTAAGTTCAGTCATAGCAAGCATCAACTTATATTCATCAAGTTGCTTCTGTAGGGCTGGGGCTCTCTTGCTCTTTCTCTCCAGTTGTGTTTCTTTACATTCAGCAACAACAGCCTTTTCCCTGGCCTCCTCCACAGTTTGCCGTATCGAAATAGGTTCCTGTGTCAATTTCTGGGTAGTTTCTATATTAGTATTATTTATACTTTCTATATTTAAGTTAGTTTTAATGATTGAAACATCCACTTTCACATTTATCATGTCCATTTTCCTGTGAAGCTGATCCAATGAATCATTTATCTTAAATAATGCAGCCACTAGAGCCTCTTCTGTCAACATTTCTCTTGGTTTTAAATATACTGGTACAAAGGCAGCAACAAAAAAAGCAGGGGGGCCTGATGGTGAAGCTCTCCTGGATTGTTGCCAAGTCCTCCCAGACCTTAATGTTTTGTCAGCAGTTGACTAGTCTGTTTTTCCTCTTCCATTAACCATAACACTTAAAAGATTCAAGGTCAGTCCCAGAGTCTCACGGTTTTTAACTTGCAGCTGGAAATTTCCCTAACCCAACTCTTGTAGAAGCAACCGGTTTCAAAGGCTTCCACTAGGGGGAAACAGTTTCTATTTGTAATAGTCAATAGTATCCTCTTTTAAACAATCCAAAATTAGTTTCAAGTTAGTTTCAATTTTCAGTTACTTTTACTCCTTTTTATAGCAGCCGGAAACAGTAGAAACAATGTATTCCTCTTGTTTAACTAGCTGTCAATGAACGTTCTAAACGCTGTCAATGAACATTCCAAAATACGTCAGTCCTACTAGTAGCCCGTTTCCAGGCTCAGAGCGGCGGTGTTTTAGATCTCTTCGCTCTCTCCTGCAGGCATATTCAGTCCACAACTTCCCCCCCTCTTCTCCTGCCTCCAAAGGGGGGTTTTGTTCTTTACCGATGGAAATTTAATCTTTTACAAAAGACTTTCCAGGACTCCAGCTTGCAACTTCATTGCCTCAGTCTATTTACAAAAGGGGGAGGCAGACTTCCTGTTTTGAACCTCCCCGCTTCGATACCAAATTATACTTTTAAAAATCCAATTCTCCCGTTTCAGCTCTACTCACGGGTAATTACTTTAAAGTCAAATTGTCCACAGGAAAAAGTCAGCGCTCTCTGGCAACAGCTGTGCGGCTTCGCTCCGTGGAAGAAGCAGACGATTCGAAGCACCGCGCCACTCACCCCACGTCGCTCCGGAGCCCCGAAAACGGGTTTCCCCGCGAGTAGGAGAGGCGCAGAAGGTGCCCGCCGAATCCCACGTTCACAGGCTTCTCCCGCCTGTGATTTTTATGGGTCTCCGCCTTCGCCGTGGCGGCCAGACCCAATTTCCCACGGGGCAAATTCCTCCCGGTCAGAGGAATTCCGCCATTGCCGATGGCGCCAACCCGGAAGTCCCTGTCAACGAGCACTTAAGCACACTGGATCTAGCTTGGTTCCAGATTAGCTGTTCCATAAATGGAAGACACCGGAGAAGGAAGACAATTTTCACAGATTTCCCTTCTCCCTGCAGGCCCTAGGACCATCTCCTCCTATGTTGTTTCACAGAGTCTCCAAACCCTTGGGAGAAGCTTTTCAGGAAATGGAACAATAATAATGACAAATCACTCCTCTTTTCCTTCAGCAGTAGCATCCTGGGAATGGAATTCAAGCCTCAGGAAGTCCAGATCTAGCCTGTTACCGTATGTATATTTTATAATCAACTTGATAGGCTACAATGCTCATCCTGTTTATTAAAATTTCTTAAATTGTTTGGGCCCTTCCATTATTTCCTGCTTAAGAGCTATCAATCACAATTAGCATCTGGTTGCAATATCTGCTAAAACGTGAAAGGCATCTTTAGGTCTATTAATACCAAGGGACCAAGCTAAACCAAACGCATCATTTTCAGATTGTCCCCCCCCCCCATGTGCTAAACCACAGACTTATCTTTTCCATTTTAATTTATATTTATTTTACAGTTGGCTCATTTGCCACCAAGGCTTTCCATTTTCATTAACAAGGAGAGTGCAAACAAGGATATTTATATAGGGTACTCAAAATGGCAAAACAATTTACGATAAGGGTTAATGTGAGCTGCTTTTTTATTACTAAAAACAAAAAAATTACAGTCCCTGATTAAGTGAAATTGAGTGTTCTAGAGCATGTTCATTACTTTGCAGAGCACTGTGTACTAAATTAATAATCACCACATTTGAATTCTCACAATTGATCCAGAAACCTTGACTGGTAGAAACAGAAATTCCTGCATGCATTTATTTATTTGGCTGACTTTTTTTTTTCCTCTGTGAAGGCCACACAAAGATGCGCACTGCATGCAGTTTAATAGCAAGTGCCACAATCCATTTCTTGGCTGTAAATAAATGAGTAGTGAGAAGATATGTCTACAAAGACTTGAAATAAAGTGAAGTGACACAAGGAGACAAAACTCATGTTGAAGCACAATGAACTATTATTTCATTTTTACTGTGATTCTAAGCCATTTCTGATGATATTGCTTGTCAAGGGTGTGTGAGAAGATTCTCAGCAAGCTTTAAAGGCACTCCTTCAATAGCATAGAGATCATATACCCTGCCCTGTACTCTTTGGAGGAAAAGTAGGAGATATCTATATCTATATCTATATCTATATCTATATCTATATCTATATCTATCTATCTATCTATCTATCATCTATCATCTATCTATCTATCCAGTGGTACCTCGGGTTACATACGCTTCAGGTTACATACGATTCGGGTTACACACTCCGCTAACCCAGAAATAGTGCTGCAGGTTAAGAACAGAAATCGGGCTCCGGTGGCGCAGCAGCAGCAGGAGGCCCCATTAGCTAAAGTGGTGCTTCAGGTTAAGAACGGACCTCCGGAACGAATTAAGTACTTAACCCGAGGTACCACTGTGTGTGTGTGTGTGTGTGTGTGTGTGTGTGTATCACCTCTCTAAACCACACATATGTTAACAGCTGCACTGCATATGCAACTCTAAGCTCAACAGAAGCACATTTTAAGATCACATTTTGTACATAGACCAGTTGAGTAGGCTTGCCATACATCCGGAATTTCCTGGATGTGAGACGTTGGTGTTATATGCAGTATGGGGTTGGGAAGAAGAGAAGGGGGGTGGGTTGGTTGTTTTACTTAGTGTATGCATGGGAGGTCTGTGTCAGCTTCACTTGGGTAGGTTCTCTTTCTATTCGCTTGTTATGTTTCCTTGCCTAGGGTGAGGTTGACTGCCTTTGGTTGGCCGCAGTGGGATTTGTTTGTGTGTGTGTGAGGGGGGTGTTGTTGTTCGGTTAAGTTAATGTAGTTAATGTAGACTCAATTCTTTAAGGAACTGTAATAAGGAGATCCCTTTACATTATACCATACCACTGGTCCCTATAACAAAGTATCAAGGATCATGGAATTGTTCTCAAAACTTCAAGCCTGGGGAAAGTGCTGTTGTGCTCAGGTTCTGCTTGTGGGTTCCCCTTTGTCGCATTGTGGGAACCAGGCAGAGGGCCTTCTTGGTAGTGGCACCCGCCCTGTGGAATGCCCTCCCACCAGATGTCAAAGAGAACAACAACTACCAGACTTTCAGAAGACATCTGAAGGCAGCCCTGTTTAGGGAAGCTTTTAATGTTTGATGCATTACTGTATTTTAATATTTTGTTGGAAGCCTCACAGAGTTGCTGGGGAAGCCCAGCCAGATGGACAGGGTAGTAGTAGTAGTAGTAATAATAATAATAATAATAATAATAATAATAATAATAATAATCTGGTTGACCACTGTGAGAACAGGATGCTGGACTAGATGGTTCTTTGGATCCAGCAGAATTTTTTTAATGTCCTAATGAACTGCATGGCCTTAGAGTTTCATATTAGCAACAAAAAGTTCAATACCCCCATTCTGGATTAGCTAGCAGCAAGCCAGTCGGGTTATTCAAATTTGAGCTTATCAATAGGAGGCTGCCAACAGCTATGTTCTGCTGAATCATAATCTCTGAGCTCTCACACTCTTGCCCCCCACCTCCCAATCTTTCTCTCTCATCCAGTTTGGCAGGATCAGCCTGGAAATTGTCCCATGGCGTTGCATTTGGCAGTGTCCCTCAAGGATAAGCAACCAGTTGGCATCTGATTGGCCCTTGTGAGAACAGACTGATGGACCTTTGGCTTAACCCAACAAGGCTCTGGTTACCGTATCTTCTTATGTAAGGCAAGCAAGCATTCCAGTTCCTAGCATTGCAAATGTCAAATCCCATGTTTTGCAGAGTCTGTCTGCTTGCTTTGCTTTGCCTCTTCCAGCTCACTAATCTAGTGGCAACTGGTCACTGCTTGTCTTACTCACAGTGGTCCTCCCAGGCTTGACGAAGCACATTTTTTTAGAGTTGGCAATTAATGAAGCTAATTTTAACGACCTCCATGAAACTGACATGTACTTCACCTTACAACCAGAAGACTACAGAGTTTCCTTCCAAATGCCAGTTTATGCAGTGCTGATGTGTTTATGTGTTTGTGTTCATACAAATAATAAAGAAGGCCATCTGTGTTGTGAGTGATGGATGGGCAGAGACATCTTAATAATGGTAATTTACAGTGGCAATCCTGCAGTCTCTAATCTTTTACTACGTTTATCCAGGCACCAAATTTCACTAATTTGTTCTAAAAGCAGAGAACCCTGTTAAAATGCTTTTATTTATAAATTAGCAATTAAAAAGCAAGGGAATAAAAGAAATTGCAGGAGGTGCTCTGTTAATTTAGGCTGTCAAAGAAATTAAGCTTTAATTGTTTACCATCTTCCGCGGCACTTTAGTAAGTCTTCTTCCTAAAATATTGTTTATAAATATATATACACACAGTGGACCCTCTAGATACAAATTTAATTCATTCTGGGGGTCCATGCGTACCCCGAAAAATCCATATCCAGAGGCTCAGCTTCTGCGCATGCGCATGCGCGAGCGACGAAACCTGGAAAAATTCTTCCGGGTTTGCCGCTTTCACAACCCAAAGTTTACGTTACTTGAGAGTAACGTAACCCAAGGATCTACTGTATTATCTTTGGTATTCCTCGCCACACTTCTAAAAGTAACTAATTCTCAAGCATGATGACCACCTGATGATCTATTTGTGGCCAGCATTCTCAAGGAAAAGAATAGTGGGTGGATCGTATTGTAGTACCTACACTTTTCTTGTCCTTGACTGGGCATCTATATTAATTTGATTTTTTAAGAAAAGAAAAAGAAATGTATACAACAGCCTCGAATGTGATGTCTTCTGCCATTTTAATGCCCATTCGCCTAGTATGTAGATATTCCTTTGAAGCTCCTTGTAATTCGCTTTTGTTTTAACTACCCTGAACACCCAGAATCCATGGATGGGATCAACTGTTCCTCCATTTCCCTGCCATACCTGATACGGATGCATGGGGGGGGGAGTGTCACGCAGCGTTAAATTCATAGAATCATAGAATCATAGAGTTGGGAGAGACCACAAGGGCCATCCAAAGAAGGAGACTCCACCACACTCCTTGGCAGCAAATTCCACTGTCGAACAGCTCTTACTGTCAGGAAGTTCTTCCTAATGTTTAGGTGGAATCTTCTTTCTTGTAGTTTGGATCCATTGCTCCGTGTCCGCTTCTCTGCAGCAGCAGAAAACAACCTTTCTCCCTCCTCTATGTGACATCCTTTTATATATTTGAACATGGCTATCATATCACCCCTTAACCTCCTCTTCTCCAGGCTAAACATGCCCAGCTCCCTTAGCCGTTCCTCATAAGGCATCGTTTCCAGGCCTTTGATCATTTTGGTTGCCCTCCTCTGGACACGTTCCAGTTTGTCAGTGTCCTTCTTGAACTGTGGTGCCCAGAACTGGACACAGTACTCCAGGTGAGATCTGACCAGAGCAGAATACAGTGGCACTATTACTTCCCTTGATCTAGATGCTATACTCCTATTGATGCAGCCCAGAATTGCATTGGCTTTTTACCTGCCGCGTCACACTGTTGGCTCATGTCAAGTTTGTGGTCAACCAAGACTCCTAGATCCTTTTCACATGTACTGCTCTCAAGCCAGGTGTCCCCCATCTTGTATTTGTGCCTCTCATTTTTTTTGCCCAAGTGCAATACTTTACATTTCTCCCTGTTAAAATTCATCTTGTTTGTCTTGGCCCAGTTCTCTAATCTGTCAAGGTCGTTTTGAAGTGTGATCCTGTCCTCCGGGGTGTTAGCCACCCCTCCCAGTTTGGTGTCATCTGCAAATTTGATCAGGATGCCCTTGAGTCCATCATCCAAGTCGTTGATAAAGATGTTGAATAAGACCGGGCCCAAGACAGAACCCTGTGGCACCCCACTAGTCACTCTTCTCCAGGATGAAGAGGAACCATTGATGAGCACTCTTTGGGTTCGGTCAGTCAGCCAAATTAATCAAGCAGAGTCTTCTTCATAAACAGAATAAAAGTTTACAGTCATACCTCGGGTTGAATATGCTTCAGGTTGAGCGTTTTCGGGTTGTGCTCCGCGGCGACCCGGAAGTAATGAAGCGCGTTACTTCCGGGTTTCGCCGCTTGTGCCTGCACAGATGCGCCTGCACAGGTGATGTCACGCGCATGCGTGGAAGCGGCAAATCGTGATCCGCGCATGCGCAGATGTGGGTTGCGTTCGCTTCAGGATGCGAACGGGGCTCCGGAACGAATCCCGTTTGCATCCAGAGTTACCACTGTACTTGAGAAAATAAACTTGTTCATAAGCATACAGTGATACCTTGGTTTACAACCACAATCTGTTCCAGAGGTCTGGTTGTAAACCAAAACAGGTTGTAACCCAAGGCGCGCTTTCACCAATGGGGCCTCCAAAAACAAAATTGGTTGTAATCCAAAAAGAGGAACACATACTTCTGGGTTTGATGTGGTTGTAATCCAAAACGGTTGCAAACCAAGGTACCATTGTAGTTAAAGAGCATACACAGAGTGCTCACAGCAGCTATCTTAGCCTTCACAGAGGCACAGATCTTAGTTACTGATTAACTGGAGTCCTGGAGCCGCTCTGTCTGCAACAACACAATCACATACTGAGCCGAGACTAACTCAGACTCTGAAGACAGACTGAGGCCCAGAGAGATGGCTGGTTACTTTTACAGTGGTACCTCGGGTTAAGAACTTAATGAGTTCTGGAGGTCCATTCTTAACCTGAAACTGTTCTTAACCTGAGATACCACTTTAGGTAATGGGGCCTCCCACTGCTGCTGTGCTGCCACCACACAATTTCTGTTCTCATCCTGAAGCAAAGTTCTTAACCCGAGGTACTATTTCCGGGTTAGTGGAGTCTGTAACCTGAAGTGTCTGTAACCCGAGGTACCACTGTATAGGGAACCCAAGCTGAGTCACGAGTCAGAGTGACGTGGCCGTTTACTGCTAACCGTTACAGCTAGTGGGCTTGAATGATCGTGTAGGCCTTGTAGGCCCCACTGCCTTATTGCTTCTGCTCTTAGGAACCTTTGTGACAAGGAGAAGGGGTTTTTTTGGGGGGGGTGGAGGGGTAAATTAACATGCTTGCTTCATTTGCTCTAACTGGACAGGTGCCCATATCCAGTAAGATGTCTTGCATGCATACACTGGATAAAAAACCCCACTACATGCTCTTCTTGGCCCCTGTGATGGATGTATGGATGTATCTGTTGCTGGAAATGGGCACCCCCATTTGGGAACAACAGTCACAAGGCATGCAAATGGAGCTGGGTTAGGTCCAGTGCTTTGAGCAGCCATCATGGGCCTCCAAAGACAATGGAGCTCATTAAAGTCAGTTTGCAGGTGGGTGGCAAGTTCTCCAGCGAGCTGTCAGGGGTGCTTCATGATGGAACACATAGCATGCAGGCTGTCTCCCAATACCCTATTGATTTATTTGTCCATGTCATTGTGGACTTCTTATCCTGTCTGTCAGCGGACAGTTTTTATGCTGCAACCATTGGAAAAGGGAGATATGAGTTATAGCTAATCGACCGTTCTCCTTCTGTATCCTAAATGGGAAAATAGATTTAAGGAGCAAGAAATGCCGCAGAAGATAAAAAGAAGAGGCAGTAACAATCAGCCAGGTAAAATTGGAAGAAGAAAGTTGAACTGAAAATTTACGAGATAGATTTGGAGAAGCGAATGTAAATAATACAGTCTTGTCAAGACCTCAAACGGGTAAAAATTATCTGTGAACAAATAAAACACACTTTATTGCATTATGGTGCGGATAGCCAACACAGTACCTTCCAGAGGTTTTGAACTACGACTCACATCAGGCCCAAACGGTGTGGACAATGGCCAGGGATGATGGGAGTTGCAGTGCAAAGTATCTGACGGTGCTACATTGGCTGCCCCTGAATTTGGGAACGCATCAAGTATATGTGTAAGGGGTGTCAACAGAGTAAGTTGAGTCAGAGTCCTTACAATCCAGTTCACAGACCGACATGCTTGTTTGCAGTAGATTTTGAAGTATGCATTACTGTATATTGGAGATATATATATATATATAGATATATATATATATATATTATAATAATTGTCCAGTAGCACCTTAGAGACCAACTAAGTTTGTTCTTGGAATAAGCTTATATCAAGAACAAACTTAGTTGGTCTCTAAGGTGCTACTGGACATTTAAAATTTTTTATATATATATTTCGACTGCATCAGACCAACACGGCTACCTACCTGAATCTATTGTATATTGGGTTGCAGCTTTCACAACTGCAAATCAAGTACTGTGCGCTCCTCCGTGAAATATGCAGTTCCCATCTATTTCCACCTTTCCTGACTAGGTTTGTTAGGACACTCAAGAGAATAAATGGTTGTGCAATTTTCTCATCAATACAAATTTCACCATTCCTGAAAATTGTGCATTGTCAATGCATACATTTGTTGAGCAATGCATATGCAGCTGCTCTAATTGCATACTGCTCCCTTTTAAAAAGCATTTTGCAGTGACCTCTCTGGCTTAAGATAATTTTGCCGCATCAGTGAAAAGGCTGGGTCTTCAGTCGTTGACTTGAATGCTCAACACCATCTCATCAAGTTGCCTTGGGGGTTTTTTTATGGGCAGACAACTGTTAGTTGTTCAGGATGCTTTCCTGCAGAAGAACTTTGGGAACAGAAAGCCATGGATATGCATGAGAGCCCTATGTAGCACAGGAGCTGAGAGAGGCTTCACAAAGACAGGTATTTGCTATCAAGAAGGTGTATATATATATATGTCTTGATTTGTTTGTGGCATCTCAATATGTTTAATGCAGGCAAGACACACGCACTGAGGATGACCACAGAGCCTTGTGGCAATTTAAAGACTGACAAATTTATTATGGCATAATTTTTCATGGATTACTGTCTACCTTATGTGGAGTCTGGCATCGCTTTACGTATTGATTTGTTGTTGAATTTTGATGGCAAAGCAATAAACACCATGACAATATGACTGCAAGGGCTTGAGGTCTTTTAATGTTCCTCTAGGATGGAGAGAGATTCTGTCCAGTCAGATCACATGAACTGAAACACAGCCATCCTGCTTCTCCAAATTTTGCAATGCAGTTTTCCAACAAACCAGTGTTTACAAAAACACATACAGTAGGGAAAACGTGCATAAAAATCAATGTATTCATGAAAGATAACATACAAAAATGCTTTCTATTAGGTAAAATGCCATGCAAAAAATGTGTACAGTAGTAAAAAAATGTGTTTATTAGGAGAAATTGGCTCTAAAATGCTGTTGAATTTTCATGAGGATCTCGCTCTCTTTTTAAATTGCAAATTATGTGGGGAGGTGAGTGTAAGACTGGGAAAACGAGAAACTGAGAAAACTGAAATTGGCAGGTCTTTCCATCCCTAGTTGCAGATGGTGCTGCAACTTACTGGTGTGGTTTTATTTTTGGATTATCTCATGCAAGTTTGTGAGGGTGTTTCCTATTCGCCTACACTGGCAGAAGTAAAAGGAATTGGATTAATGCGACAAATCCTTGGCCACCAACACAAGCTTAGTACATAAAGATAAATCATAAAAGCTTTGCAAGCTATTATTATTATTACTAAGCAAGCTTTCTCTCAAGGGATGTTCAGAGGAAAACACACTACTTTATAACCACCAGCTGTTTGTCAAACTTTAGTTTGTGCTTTAATCACTGGCAGAAAACAGCTTTAAGACCTATCGTTACCCAAAGAATTATGGCAGCAGTGCACACAATTGCTGGCCAGAAATCCTTTACGTGTAGCAGGGGAGCAGCCCTCTGCATTCACCATACAAGAGGGCAGGATACGTGCATGCACTCATGTCAGTCCTGTGGCAAGATCCACTGGGGTGAGCATCTTAGGATGCATTAGATCGGTGGCTCTGCTGGCTGATTTCCAGCTCATAAAGCCCCTAACTCCAAGCTCAGCTGAAGATACACAGACACAACCTGCTCATCCCAGCTCAGCTGGGGCTCAGCCAGCTGAACTTGAAGCTGGCTGAGCTGAGGCCGGTGTAAAAGGTAAAGCTAAAGGGACCCCTGACCATTAGGTCCAGTCGCGGACGACTCTGGGGTTGTGGCACTCATCTCACTTTATTGGCCGAGGGAGCCGGCGTACAGCTTCCGGGTCATGTGGCTAGCATGACTAAGCCGCTTCTGGAGAACCAGAGCAGCGCACGGAAACGCCGTTTACCTTCCCGTCGGAGTGGTACCTATTTATTTACTTGCACTTTGAGGTGCTTTCAAACTGCTAGGCTGGCAGAAGCAGGGACTGAGCAACGGGAGCTCACCCCATCACAGGGATTCAAACCACCGACCTTCTGACTGGCAAGCCCTAGGCTCTGTGGTTTAACCCACAGTGCCACCTGCATCCCATGAGGCCAGTGAAAGTCACCCCAAAGATGGGGAAAGAGCCAGAGAGGGATGGCCTAGGCTGGATCCTAAGCCTGTTCAGCATGGTCCCATGACCTGTGAACCCATTATACAACACTGTTTAGAAGGGTTTTCCCTCCACTCTGCCAGTGTTAGGCAGAACAGCAGCAGCCATGCTGCTGAGCAGGCACTAGATATGGTGTAACTTTATTCTGGCTTAATTTACACCAGTGTAAATTAGTTCTGCATACCCAATCCCTGCAATTCATTCCTATCAGATAACAAGTGTTCTTTAGTTTGTACTTCCCAAAACAATATGCAGACTAAAACAAAGCCATCCTGCAAAATTCACATTCCCCTGAATTTTGCAGTGAAGTTCTCCTGCCAAGTAATGTTTACAAAACGGCATATAGGAGGGTGAAGTGTGCATAAAATTTCATGTGTTTGTGAAAACAACAAACAAAAAATGCAATATATCCGGGGGGAAAGTTTTGCAAAATATTGCGTGGATAAAGAGAATTTCGCACTAAAACACTGGCAAATTTTCACGAGCAATTTTTTTTATTACACAAAGCCTGCCAGGAAAAACAACAACCCAGGAAACTTTATATGGTGATGCTCAAACATGCCTTAGGGTTATAGCACAATGCGGGGTTTGCAGACAAAGGACAACTAACACCTACTGTGTCCTGTTGCTTTCTGTGAAAGTGCTAAGTATGTGGTTAAGCAACCTTGTAAAATAAACCCACAAACGTTACCAGCCTCTTCAGTGCTGGCAGAGGAGAACGAGGAAGCTGGCTTTCGTTGCTGGGTGAGGAGGAAGGGCATACTCTCCTTCTGTGGGAATCCACTTGGTTTCCATGCCGGGTGCAGAGTAAGGAAAGGGCCCACCTGTCCCTCCGCCATCATTCTACTCACTCTCCTTCATGCAATTCCTTGTTGCCTAGGGTTACCTGGCAAGTGTTTTAATACACGGCTGGCTGAAAGTGAAGTAAATACAATCTAAAAGTCCACAATATCAGCGGGAGCAGGAGCTGGAGCAATGCACCTAGTAGTAGCAGCAGACCTAAACTGGACCTGAAACCGGGCCAACAAGCTTACACTTTGCCTTCACGGCCCTTTGCGAGGAAATGTTCATACCAAACCTGAGCCAGATATTGTGCATCTAGATTCAGAAATAAGAGCAAATTTAATGGAATGTATCGCCAAGGAAAGCTGCATAGGTTTACAGGTTTTTTAATAAGTTCATATCCCAACATATATAAGCTGATCAAATGCTGGTGTGAAAAGGCGACCGGTGGGACGAATGCATCTTATTTCAGCCTGTTCTGTGATCAAACTGGGCACAGAGATTGACTGGCTGAAAAACACACACATGCAAAGCAGTAATACCCATGTAGGCAATGTGAAAGAGCTCTTCTTGTGCAAAAGGCAGGAATGTATGCAGCACAGCAGCATATGTTCACTTAAAATGCCAGTGTGATGGGAGAACCAGAATTGATTCAACCCACCAACCAGTTACAGCAAAATGATCTGGATTTTTTTTTCCAGCTCAAAAGGGCATTGTGCACCAGGACCCAGTTGTGAGAAGCAGGCTTAGTCATTCCACTGGGTGGGAAGGGGAAGATCTATGGGGTTAATGGGTGGGGAGGCAGTGGGTTAGCAAGTAAGCAGAGGCGCAACTCCTAGCAAACAAATGCATACAGTAAGAAATTTTTTTGGGGGGGGAGTACTTTCACAATGGGACGTGGGCAGTGCTGGAGGTTAAACCACAGAGCCTAGGACTTGCCAATCAGAAGGTCAGCGGTTCAAATCCCTGCGACAGGGTGAGCTCCCGTTGCTCGGTCCCCGCTCCTGCCAACCTAGCAGTTTGAAAGCACGTCAGAGTGCAAGTAGATAAATAGGTACCACTCCGGTGGGAAGGTAAACGGTGTTTTCGTGCGTTTCCCTGGTTTGTCAGAAGTGGCTTAGTCATGCTGTACGCCGGCTCCCTCGGCCAGTAAAGCAAGATGAGCACCACAACCCCAGAGTCGGCCACGACTGGACCTAATGGTCAGGGGTCCATTTACCTTTACCTTACTTTCACAATGCAGATTATCCTCAGATTTTGATGCAGCTTTCTGAGAATGACAAAGGAGTCTTGAAAAGCAACACTCAAACCAGACACATCTGCTGCTATTGTAGCAGTCTTTGCAAATTCTAGAAAAGCCAGCTGGTTCACAGGAACATAGGAAAATGCCAGTGGTCCATCTAACTTGATATTGTCTACAATACTGATATTGCAGCAACTCTACAGGGTTTCAAATGAGAGCCTCTCCCAGCCCTACCTGGAGGGGCCTGGGATCGAACCTGGGAACTTTTGCATGCAAAGCAGATGCTCTAGCACTGGAACTGTGGCTCGTCCTTCCCTGAACACCAGTGCTGATCTGTAATGATGGCAAAGCAATTCTGATCCCCTAAATCCAAGGTGGGGCGTTTTTAGAAATATTGCTATTATCCAACATTCCTGTTCTGCAGACACAATAGACTTTTGCTTGTGGGACAGATTCAGAGCACCATGCCTGTCTAACTGCACTTCCCTGCAGAGTCCTGAATAAAATCATCCCAACCCTTATGCTCCTATGGAGGAGGATGGGGCAGCCTAGATGAATGTGCAGATTCTAACAATGCAATCCTGCATATGCCTATTAAGAGTTAAACGCAATGGGTTATATGCCACATAATCAAAGATTAATGTTCTGTAAGTGCAAGAAGTTATCCTTGTGCAATGGAAAATTCCCCTGTGTACCTCCTAAATCTGTTTCAGGCTTTCCTCCCAATGCTCCAAAGCAGATCTTGAGGACAGTAAAGAGCACACATAGGGTGAAGCAGGGGAGAAAATCCCATTGCAGCTGTGCTAATCCTTGCATTAGTGCAAGAGTTGGATATCGCCACTGAGTTCAAAGGAAGCTGCCTTGAACCAAGTCAGACTATTGGTCCCTCTAATTCTCCAGGGTTTTAGACAGGAGCATTTTCCAGGTATTCCTGGAGATTCCAGGTGCTGAACTTGGAACCTTTCTGCATGCAAAGCAGCTGTTCTACCCCTGAACTAAGGTTCTTTCCCAATGCAGCATGGTCTCAGGTAAAGGTGTACAGTATATAGACTTGCAGCCTTAATCATCTAAATGCTTTGGAAAGCGCTGTGCTCTATATTTAGACACACTCTGTCAATTTAGTAGAGTTACTACATAGAGACTTTGAAGGTAGGAACAGCATGGGAAAACCTGGGATCCTGCCTCCCTCCCCATTCAGTTCATGTTTGATGCACAGTTGTGAGACTCTAAACTTTTGATAAATTGCTAGCAGTTTTCAAGTTCTAAACTCAGCAGGATGTGAGGGAAGCCAGAGATGTCACATTATCAATTCAAAGACCTTATCAGCAGGGCAATAAGCTCATATGGCACAGTGACAATTTTACAGAGGGGATCGCTACACATCATTACAAATTACCGTATCTTGTGAGAGTATTTGTTATTTTCGAGGACTGCAGAGCTCTGAAAAAAAGTTCCTCCCCATGCCTTCTGTTTCAAGAGGAAGATGGCAAATGTTGGGATATATGAATCGCAACATGACTGGTCAAGAGAGGAAGAAAGCACAAGGCCATTGTCTGAGTGTCAGAATCTACCCAGAGCATAATTCAGGGAGTGGAGACCTGAACCAAGAAATAGAAGTGGGATTCTGTATGGACCTCCAACACCGTAACTCTGTGTCAGGGACTGGACTGAAGAGGAAGAGGAGTGGTGAGGATCACACCCCCTTCTCCTGTAGCTTCCAGAGAAGAAGAAGGCAGCAGAGTTAGGAGGTGTTAGAAGGAGGAAGGGAGGCAGAGCAGCTAGCTGACATGTTACTGAGCAGCATAACTGACCCCCCTTCTCCCAAAACAAGGAGTTCGTTAAGGGTGCAAGAACCAAGGGCACAGAGACAATTGTCCATGGACGAACGCCGTAGAGGCAGGTGTTGTTGCTAGAAAGGAAGGGGGAGGAGCTCAGTGAGAGCAACGCCATCATTGAGGAATGACTGGATTCCTTGTCTTTCACCGTGTCAGCTGAATAACGTCATAAGCAAGAACTTTCTTGTTTCCTCCCTGCTTCGTGGTGCCATCAGAGGAGGGAGACAATCAAGCAGCTGAGTTATCCAGCCCAAATAATTTTGTTTGTCCCGCCTGGACCCCTGCTTTGACTCCATGTTCCCTGCTTTCACCTACTGCCCCACAAGAGTGAAGGTGGTTTCAGGCCCAGCAAGCAGTTCAGAACCAGCAGAGGACTTCACCTCTTAACCATTGCCTCGTTGGGGAAATGGAGAAGCCGCCGGAAAAGAACCAGGTGTGCATTGGGACTGAGCAGATGAACAGCAAAGAGGAGGAGCTATCTGTGAGGACTCTCCTGGGCCTTCACTGGGATAGTAGATCCCTGCTAAGTTACCATATGGCAGCTTTGCATTGTTCCACTCCCAGGCATGGGGAACTAACAGTGGACAGTAAGACACTGGGAAACTGTGCTCATTATTTGACCACCTAAGTCCCAAAGGTGTAAATTCTAACTGAACCTGCTTGTTCCACTCAGAACCTCAAGAGGGATGATTTCCAGAATGTCTCTATGCCCTTGGTTGGTGGGGGGAGTGAAGAAAGGAAAAAGTTATACTTTCAGGCTGTGAAAATTATCTCAAGGGAGCAGCATGGAAACCACTTGTTCTTGCCAGTCTAGTTGCCTTCCAACCCATGGAGGGTGACCTTCTGAAGTGGGTGGTTTCCTTTGCTTGTGGAAGCTCCCTGGGCATTTCAGAACCCCAATATTTCAGCAGGTCTTACGTCTGATATGAACATAAGAAGCTGTGTTATACTGAGTAAGACCATTAGTCAATATAGCTCAGTATTGACTACGTTGGCTGGCAATGACTCTCCAGGATTTCAGACCATGGTCTCTTCTGGTCCTACCTGGGGATACTGAAGACTGAATCTGCGACTTTCTGCCAGCAAAGCAGATGCTCTACCACTGAGGTATGGCCTTTCTGGCCTTGATACAGGCTTCTCCATGCCACTGCCATAACATGAAGTGGTATTTCATTATATAGTTCTTCTTTGATACATGAAGCGTTTCTTCACCAATAGCAACAGAACTATGGAAAACCACCAAGTATAAGAAACCTGTAACAAACCACAGTACTTGTTTGGGTGGCTGTATGGGGTAGTCATTATATGAAAGCTGTTTGCAGCATCCTACATAATGCAGCTAAATTGTAAACTGGGCCCTGTCTGAGACCATGGGAAGCCAATTACTTAGGAGATGCAAGATATGGCTGACGGCAGGCAGACCAGATGCTACAATCCTTCCAACACTTCCCAGTGCAAATCCTTCATTATTCAGGAAGTGGTATAATATCATTATTCGAATCTGGATGATAAAAAAATATGGTAAAGAGATGAATAGTGTATGGCTACTCACATGCAAACTGAAGTGTAGCTTCTCTGCTCAATATGCTGCCAAACATGTTGGTGGTAAAGCACTGATACTGCCCAGAATCTTTTGTTTCGCTGGGGTTATTGATGATAATGCTCCCTTCTATCACGCTGTACCGGTAATCACTTTCGGTGTCTATCTCCGTTCCATTCCGGAGCCATCTTGGGAGGAAAGCAGAGAAAGTGGTCTGAGAGGGGTCCATTTCAAGGCAACGTAGAAAATGTAAACACAGTGTAATTGTAAGAACAACGCTTTTCAGGTGTTGCTATCTGAAAGTGTGCTAACATTCAAGGGGGGAAATCACCATCCCCTGTTACCAATCTGGCTGCCTTCCAACTCACAGTGACCTTCTGAAGCGTGATGTACACATGGATGTTCCCTGTGCATTTTAGAACTCTAAAAATGAAATCTTTGCTTTTGTTCACCTATCTTCATGGTTCTATCCTAATTTGAAAACTAATCAATATGGACCAAAAGAGACAGAGAATCCTAATATTCTGGTAGCTCCATTGATAGAGCATGAAGACTCTGCATCTCAGGGTCATTGGTATCGAGTCCCACGTTGGGCAAGAGGTTCCTGCTTTGCAAGGGGGTTGGACTAGATGACCCTTGGGTTACTTCCAACTCTGTGGTTCTGGTGATTCTGATTCCAGGAAGCTCCTCACTTCAGATAGTCAACCTCCATGAAATGGAAGGTGATGGAAATGGCAAAGGGGGGGGGGTGTTTGGAACTAGAGTGCTGCCCCCTCTCATCTGCTAACTTAGCATGTTATCTGAAAACCTGAAGAAGGCTATTTATTTATTATATGGATAAAAGGATTTCTGCACTGCCAATATCATAAAATATCATGGTGGCATGCAACAATAAAGCAGAAAACACCATTAAAATCAGTATAAATCACCAGCTTTAAAAAGTATTCAAGAGGCTCCTGAAGGTCAACAGAAAGGATGTCTTCCGGATCTCTGCTGGAAGAGTGTTCCACAGCATGGGGAACAGTGACATTAAATGCCCAGTTTCTTGCTGAGGCCAGTTAGGCCTCTGGATCACATTACATACCTGTGTAATTAATATAACCTTTTTGTGAAACAATTAGACACGACGGAGAAAATCGATGGTCAAAATTACCTGCTTTTTAATTTTTTTTTTATAAAAAAACAGTTTAAGAGTACATAACAAGGGCACAAAGCCACATATATATTTCAGAAATACTTCTGGATCAAATAAGTAACCAACCCAGGGAGAATGAATCTGGCAAGCATTTTGCTTTTTACCTGTAGGTTGGCGCTGGGTTCCCTCGTGCTTGACAGGTGAGGGATACTTTCTTCTCATCTGAATCCATGGGGAAAATTACATTGTCAGGCTCTTGTATAAACACCGGCCCATAATCGACACTCTCTGTGAGGAGAGAAAGGACATTTTTTTTCCAGAGGTCAGAGTGAAAGCTTTGTATTAGCCTTGCACAGTAAGGTTTATTTTTGGGGGGGGGGCATGCTTGAGTTATTTCAGACATGGTTCATACATGCATGTTCCTTCCTCAATTACTGGCTCAGCAAGTAGAAATGTAGAATCATAGATTTGGAAGGGACCACAAGGGTCCTCCAGTCCAACCCCCTGCAATGCAGGAATCTTTTGCCCAGTGTGGGGCTCAATTGAAATACTTTATTGTCACTTGTACAACTTGTATACAGTGAGATTACACAAGCACCACCCACTCAGCTCTCTTGGTCTTAATTCCCCTTCTTTACTGACTCATACCCACCAAACCCGGAAAGTCAGTTGCCCTGTTTTTATCTTTTCATTCAGCGGCCTAACAGCCCACCGACAGAAGCTGTTCTTTACCCTGTTGGTGCAACTAATCATGCTTCTATATCTTCTGCCTGAGGGCAGGAGATCAAGAAAGTGCCGGCCAGGGTGTGAATCATCCCTGAGAATTTTCCTCACTCTCCTGAGGCAGCATTCTTCCGCAATGTCATCCAGTGGATTCACGGGACAGCCCATAATATCTTGTGCTGTATTCACCACCCTCTGTAGGCACTTCCTATCATATGATGTCAAACCAGCGTACGACACCGTGATGCAGTATAAAAGGACACTTTCTATTGTGGACCGGTAGAAGGAGATCATCAAATGTTTATTGACATCGTTCTTTCGCAATACATGACCCTGAGATTAAAGGTCTTATGCTTTACCAGCTGAGCTATCCCAGTGATTGCTTGCACATGTGAAAAGGCTACCAAACAGTCCAAATACAAGAAGATCCTGCTGAGTCACACCAATGTCCCGTCTAGTCCAGCATCCCATCCTCACAATGGCCAAACCAAATGCCTGTGGGAAGCTGGCCATGAGCACAACAGTACTCCTGTGATGTCAAGCAACTGGTATTCAGAGGAATGAATGCCTCTGGCTCTGGAGGTAGAGCACAGCCTTTGATAGACTTGCCCTCCATGAATGTGCCTAATCCTCTTTAAAATATGTTTACTATTTCTCAAGAGTGGAACTGCTAAAAGTCAACAAGATGCACAAATTAATCGGAGGAAAACAACCTCGCCCATAACTGCGAGTGTAACTGTGACTGGGTGAAATACAGAAGTTGCTTAAATCATCTTCTTCATATTCAACGTTAAGAAGTAAATATGGAGCGATGGGCCAGGTCACTGGTAGCTTTCTTCTCTATAAATCTGTCTAACCCCTTTTAAAACCACCCCAGTTGGTGGCTGTCACTGTAAGTTCCATAATGTAGCTACCCATTTCATGAAAAACTTTATTTTCTGTATCCTGAGTCTTCCAACATTCAGATTCATTGGTTATCCATGAGTTCTAGTGTTAGGTGAGATGGAGGAAAAACTATTCACCATCCACTTTCTCCATGCCATGAATAATTTCATGAACTTCTTTTCTCTAAACTAAAAAGGCCCAAACCTGCAATCATTCCTCACAGGGGAGTTGTTCAATGGAGGGGAGAAAACAAGAGAGACTTGCGCATGGTTCTCTGAAGACTAACAAACTCATTTTGGCATCAGGTTTTGTTGAGGAGCCTTTGAAGATTGCTTATCTAGGGCTGCCAGATGTCTAGGAAAACACAACAACCATCAGCTTAGTCTCCTTCTGTACTGTACTGTGAGATGTTTCAACATGCAAAAATATCAGCAGGGCAGGACTGGTATTGAGATTCTCCAATACTACTACCCTTGAGGACACCTCAACCTGCTTGGTCTGTAAGGTCTCTGGGCAGCAGGGTTGTTGGCCAGTCACAGCATCTTTATTTTGCCTCTTGCTCAACTCCATAGCTCTCCTATCCCAATAACAATAGTAGTAATTATCTCTCTTTCAAAGGAACATATGCATAATAGGTGATGGAATATGCTTCCTTTTTCTTCGTCAGAGGGGACAGAAGGCTGACATCAGGTGTTGGCATTGTGGGACATTTGCTGAGGCCCACATCCTGCCAGGGTCCCACTATGAACCTCTGGACCCTCTGGCTCCCCTCCCTGGTGTTGCTACTAGCTCATCTGCCCTCTCCAAGCATGGCAAAAATGAAAGCACAGAAGATCACTGATCATGCCCTCTCCTGTGTAAATTGGACCCAGCAGGAAAGGGTAAGCAAATGTGATTAGGACGTGAGCACCTAGCTCAGGGTTTCCCAAACTTGGGTCTCCAGCTGTTTCTGGACTACAGCTCCCATCGCCCCTGACCACTGGTCCTGCTAGCTAGGGATGATGGGAGTTGTAGTCCAAAAACAGCTGGAGACCCAAGTTTCAGAAACGCTGATCTAGCCTATGGTGATAAGGCATCTGCTTTTCATACAGATGTTCTCCAGTTCTATCCCCAGCATCTCCAGGCAGGGCTAGGGATGTCACCAGTCTGCAAACCCACAGAGTGGCGGTCGGTCAGTGTAGACCACATTGAGGTAGAGGGACCAATTGTCTGACTCAGTCTGAGGCAGCTTCTTATGGTTCCCTAGAAATGGGGTCAGCATTGCTCCTTACTGTGGTTTTACTTGGTGGCAGTAGTGCGTAGCTATGATCTGCTAAACTTCCCACAATGCCTCAGTGCAATGCTATATGAGACACCGTGGAAGATGACTCACTGCATTAGGAACAGACAGGGAAGCATGAGTGCAGAAGGGCTCTGTCAGCTGCCCAAAGGTGCCACATGCTGACATTAGGCCTGCATTTGCTCGCTGATGAACCTCCACGTGGGGAAATGCCTCACCATTTGAATTTCTACCTTGTCACACAGCTACTCAGACTCAGGAGGAGGGTGGAAATGGCAACATTAACTATCCAGGGACAAGGTAAAGCTTTTTTACAGCACTTTGCATAATCATTGCTCTATAACGATCAAATAATTTGCTTCGTAACTTTTGGTGTCTAATTCCCGTGACATGGATGCTCTTAAACAAGCCAACGATTTTCATCTGCTAATTTGGAAGATTTTCTCTTATGCACCAAAATACCCTTGTGCATAAGTGTTTGCATGATTGGGCTCTTCTGCTTCTCAGCAGATATAATGATTCAGATCAATCCTTGTCAATTTGGGACCTCATAGGAGCATGAAGGGGGTAGCTAGGAAATTACAGATATGAATATCAGCAATATATCTACAGGAGACTCATAGGAAGACATCTGCAGATATTTATTTTCCATTATTTTTCTACTCCACCCATCTTCAAACGAGCAGCGTGGCTTACAACATCTGAAAACAGCACCACAGACAAAATAGGTAACAACCCTGAAAATCCATTCATGTGAAAGATACAGCTTGCTATTATTAAAAGGTGGAGGTTCTAGTTATGAGCCTCCTCAGGAACAAATCCCATCAAATTCAGTGCTGCATTCTCAGTTAAGCATGAATAAGACATTAGCCTGAAGTTTATGTCCAGAACCATGCACCTTATTACTGACTGTCTAGAATCAAGTTTACTGTATTCTACAATTATTTTAATTAAAACTTAAAGTAAAACAAAAAAACAGCAACACGCGCATGCTTGAAAGCATTAGGAACAAACAGGCTTTTTCCATTGCAAATGCATTTGTTTTTAAAGTGTCATGAGATTCACTGGTTTTCTTACTGCTGCAGGTTAAGAACAAACCTGTCGCATAGTTTGGCCACATTCCCACCATACTTTTAAATTGCCATGATACCACTTTAAACCATCATGGGTTTTCCTCAAAGAACCCTGGGAACTGTAGTTTGTTAAGGGTGGTGAGAGTTGTTAAGAGAGAACCCTATCATGTAGCTGTTGGGATTCACAGAATGCTGTATGAGATAGTCAGTCTGCAGGCTTGAGTTTGCTAGCTGTTCCAACTGGCTGATGCAATCAGCCTGCAATCCTTTCTATGGAAGTGCTGAGTCAAAAAGACTCGGCAGTAATGTGCTGACAGTTGATTGGCTGTCATCGGTTTAAAAGGGAAACCTGTCCAGCAGTAAAGGTGGTGGTGTAGAGGATTGTGGTCAGAGAGTGTGTGTTAGGGGTCTTCCTATTTGCCTTAAGGTGCAGCCAGGTACTCTGTTTGACTGTATGAACTGCTCATGTATTGTAGCCTTATATATTTGTATATAAAGCTCACAATAAATATACTGCACTGAAGAACCTGGAACTCTGAGCATTTCTGCTAAAGTGCCGCGGAAAATTCGCAACAGTAGCTACAATTTCCAGAGTTCTCCATGACTAGAGATTGATTGTTAAAACATTTTGCTCTTGACAGTGGAAATACTGCTGCTGCTGCTGCTGCTGCTACTACTACTACTACTAAACATATACGTTGGAGAGAGCACACACACATTGTTGTTGGCCTCCATCTTTCTCAACAGACAATGGAGTGATGTCAAACCACTGCATTAGCAGCACTGAACTGACCTCCCCAAGACATAAGCCTGGGCAGTGTGTATTGAGGTCCTGGGCTGCCCAGACGACAAAACCCTGCTCTCAGCCTTCCTTATGTGGTCCAAAGGAAAGCAGAACAATAAGTTTGGCACCATCTTGGCTGCAGGTGTTGCCCTGCATACAAAGCACCATCCAGCCGTCCTATGGACTCCACTCAGGATGAGTGATGTCATCAAAATGTCAAATTAATGTACATGGAATTATTCTACCTCCAGCTCATAAAGTCAGGATGTACTCTGGGGAGAGTCCCCTTGCCCCAAAATTCTTCCTCTTGTTTTATAATGTAAAGCAAGGTCGTTTTTCTGTGCTAATTTTGTTCCATGGTTCCGCCATCTGCATTTCTCAGACTGACTAAGGTGCTGAAAGCTTGCTCATTCTTTGAAGTGGAACACTCTAATCCCTTCCTCTTGATTAAGTGATGGTTGATTGCTGAAATTTACTTTAATGTGTTTTTCTTCTTTTTAAAAAACGGGAATGTAATTTAAGAACAATACTTTTTTCTCTGAGCAATCAGTTTGCTCGGGAGTCTCTAAGTTGGAAAAGCCAGTCATGGTCTCAGGAAAGAAGCATGTTAATGTGACTTTTAAAGCATGACTCTGGCAGTGTTACTAGTAGTAGTAACTGTAATTATAATTATAATTCCTTTTGAACAAGTGACTATTTCTCACCCCATGCTACAATTCTAAATTGGTAGTGTGGGAATGTGTATAGGTCCTGAAAGGAAGCAAATCAGTATTAAAAATTGTGAGTTTCTATTGAAAATAGTTTCACCTCCCCCTCCCTAAAGTGATTTTCTACACTGCCCATAGTTGCTGACTCAATTCTGAGTTTAGTTGAGGGGAATTCATTTATCACTGGTGCAGATCATCCTCAGTGAAAGTGTTCTAACACTCATTCTGAGAGATTTCTTTATTACTTTTTAGGGCTGAGTCAAAATAGCTGCTCCACAATATTTATGGGTGGCAAAACTAGAGGGGTACTCGGTATTCTTGAGGAAGGGAGAGTGGTAGAGTTCTTCCACAGTTTTTAATTCAGAAAATTCTCTTTTCCAAATTTTCAGCTCAATGTTCAGTGACTGAACTGGGAAGCGTAGGCGTGAAGCCATTTCCTTCCTTCAACAATAGTCAAATAATGTTGAAAGATATTAAAACTAGATCAACATTTGTGCCCAAAAATTCACAGAAGAGAAATTTGGGAGGCCATTTTGCCGAATATTTTCCAGGAGATGATGGGCATTCTTTTACAGTTCAGGAGGAGACTCAAAATGATTATTTGTTTTAAAAGGGCAAAAAATACTCTTCTGATAAATTTAATTTCTTCTCCACCACACCACATGGTTGTCTCAAGGCTGAGAAGGATTGGCCCCTCTTGATCATTGTCCTGGCTGGGGCTGATGGGAGTTGTAATCATTTATTTATTAAATTTGTATACTTCCCTATATCTGTAGATCTCAGGGTGGTTCACAACACAAACATCTGGAGGAGATGGTGCCAGTGTCTCACAGGCTCCCATTAGAGTTGGAGGGAAAATGCTTCCACAGAACAAAGAAGCAGAAAGCTGGGCCAGATAAACCAGCTAACCCCACCACTACCACAGAATAACTCATGAAAAATAAGAAATAGGGGGATGCAGAAGGCTTTTTTGCACAAAAGGGGAGGTTGATGGGCAACATTGTGCCTATAGGTCACATTTAGGACCACAGGTTTATACCCTCAAGCACTGAGAGGCTTGATGATGCTGTTCCTCAAACACTGACTGATGGTGACTGGTTGGAAATTATCCAAGAGGTCTTTTTTAAGCAGAGGAATCAGCTGCCATCTTTTGGCCCCAATGCCAACCTATATTAAGAATATAAGAATGTAGGAACTGCCTGATGGATCAGACCAATAGCCCATCCTGTTTTCACAGTAGCCTGTGGGAAACTAGAATTAATTTTTTAAAAAGGCAAAACCAGAATTACAACTCATTAAATAAGTAGATGCCGGGGCAGAGAAATTAAATCTCTACCCCCACTCTAAAATTCTCCAAGCTGCCTGCTTATCGACTTTTATTCTCTGTCTTTCATGCCAATATGTGAGCAAGAATGTAAAATGGGAAGGGATATTAATAGGTTATAAAGAGTCATGGCAAGGATGTTGATACATAATAAATCAAAGACATCCCTTAACAAAGACAGATCTGTTGAGAAATAGATATAGACAGGCATATGCCATCACTTACGACTGTAATTTCCCAAGGGCAGAAACCCCCCCTCCTGTTCTTCATCAGGACTTTTAGAAACACCTGTCAGTATTTTTTTTATAATAATAATAATAAAAACCAATTTCTGAAACTCGGCAACGTCAGTACTTGCTATTGTCACAACAGCGTGTCTCCCAGGACTCTGTCGATTTTAAATATACCTCTGTGCTTATTGGTTTTCCTTTTTGCAGAGGGTACTTGTGGAAAGTACCCACAAAAGCTTCCTTCACTCTCACACATCCTGCCTTGTGAAAACTGCTGACATTCTGAATGAATTGAAAACCTCATATTTACCATACTTTCCCATGTATTAGACGAGGGTTTTTTACTCCAAAATAAAGTAAAAAATGGGGAGGGGGATCATCTTATACATGAGTAGTGCAGAGGGGGGATGGGCGATTGGTTGCATCCGCAAGCAGGATCTAGCGATTGGGTGGGTGAATGGCGTCTGCTGCAAGGGCTGCTTTGGATTGGCTGCTGCTTTGTCAAATGGGCAGGTTATTAGCTGATGTGGCAAGGGCTGCTTTGGATTGGCTTCCGCTTCCGCAATTTGCCTTGTGTCGCTTGCGATTGTTCGCGTTTGCCAGCTGGCTGAGTGATATTCGGTTCAGCATTCCCACCCATAAAAAAAATTGCTCAACAACTATGGGCATTACCCCTCAAAAAACCCCAACAACTCTGGTCAATTCTCCCCCCCAAAAGCTCAATACATGGGGGCATCTTATAGACCAGGCACTGGCAAACTTGGTGCTCCAGACGTTTTGAGACTACAATTCCCATCATCCCTGGCCACTGGTCCTGTTAGCTAGGGATGATGGGAGTTGTAGTCCCAAAACAGCTGGAGGGCCAGGTTTGCCTATGTTTGACATCCAATGAAACCGCATGTCAGAAGATTCTGGAAAGAACCATTTCACACAGCACATACCATAGCTGAAGTATAGAACTTGCTCCCATAGGAGGCAGCAATGGCCACCAAATTGGATGGCTTTAAAAAGAGGATTTGACAAACTCATTGGAAAGGCTGTCAGTGGCCACTAGGCCTGATGGCTGTGCGTTGTCTTCACAGTCTGAGACAATAGTGCTTCTAATAATAGTTGCTAGAAGCGCCGGGAGTATGCTCTTGTGCTCAGGTTCTCCTTGCAAATTTCCCACACGCATCTGGTTGGCCACTGCGAGAACAAGATCCTGGAATGGATGGGCTACTGGCCTGATCTCACAAGGTTTATTTTTTTATTGTTCACGCTGGCTGGGGCTGATGGGAGTTGGAGTCTCATCAGGAGTGTCCTACAGCATTTCTCAGAATAATTCTGATATAGACAAAAGCAAGGTTCATTCATTAGAAAGAAGCACATGCTCTTTTCATGTAGTAAAAAAGAAAGAAAGAAAAGATAAGTGCTAAGACGGCTCATAGGAATCAGGTGCTCTCTGTTGTTTGACACATCATTTTCACTTTGGTACTCATTCTTTGGATATTTGCCTTCAATTTACTGTTGCTCTGTCTATACGTCAGGTGATTCCTCCTCAGGGTCTTTCAATTAACCTTCATTACTGGGGAAAGAGACAGTCTGATCTCTTAATCAGCTCTGAAATTCTCAGTGTAATGTGTACAGAAAGCAACTTTAAAAAAATATTGTAGTGTCTTAAAAGACACATGGGTGTCTGATATAGATCTCCAAGCCAGACTGAAAACTCTGGATGATGCTTTCCTCCAGCAGATTACCAAACATTCAAAAGGGAGAGAGAGATCGTTGTCCTGGGAGACAACCAGTGAGATATACAAACCTAATACATTGGTACCTCAGGTTACATACGCTTCAGGTTACAGACTCCGCTAACCCAGAAATAGTGCTTCAGGTTAAGAACTTTGCTTCAGGATGAGAACAGAAATCGTACTTTGGCGACGCAGTGGCCGCAGGAGGCCCCATTAACTAAAGTGGTGCTTCAGGTTAAGAACAGTTTCAGGTTAAGAATGGACCTCCGGAACGAATTAACCCGAGGTACCACTGTAAATAGTAATAAATAATAATAACTACCCTGATATTTGTTGGAACTCAAACTCTGCCAAGAATGAACTATAGGGATATGGAATACAGTGGTACCGAGGTACCACTGTATAGGATATATGGAAAGAGGCCTACTGGGCAGTCCACCACTGTCTACCTTATTCCCACCAGCAGATCCTGCAACCACTATTCCTGCCCACAGTGTACTACTTGCAAGGATGCTATGTTGTCATTCCATGGGCAATATTGGGCTCAGCTCTACAAGGAAGCTCTCTAAAACTCATTTTGTTCATGAACCTAGAGATATTTAACTGCTGCAATCGCCTTTTATGGTATATTTACTCTGAGAGCTTTGTGATATTTGTTGTTATATTACCTGGTGTTTGTATTTAATCTGCCACCTGTTTTTATAGTGGTTTCCCCCCTTTTTTTGTTGTATGAATGTTGCTAATCAATTTGAACATTTTTTTTTAGGGAGGCAGGATGTGAAAATTGTAAACAAACAGGCAAAATTCTCCAGCTGCTTCAAATTGAAGAGCCTGATGTACTCGTTTTGACTAGTCTGGGTTACAGATGTACATAATGCCATGGCTCTCCTCATTGAAGTGGTATAGCTGTTTCTGTTGTAAGCAGACATGTCCCCCCCATAGCTTTATGGCAGTAACAAGAAACCTGTGGTTCATTAGCTAAGGCTAGGGCTGATGAAAGGGACGCGGGTGGCACTGTGGGTTAAACCACAGAGCCTAGGACTTGCCGATCAGAAGGTTGGTGGTTCAAATCCCCGCAACGGGGTGAACTCCCGTTGCTCCGTCCCTGTTCCTGCCCACCTAGCAGTTCAAAGCACATCAAAGTGCAAGTAGATAAATAGGTACCGCTCCAGCAGGAAGGTAAATGGCGTTTCCGTGCGCTGCTCTGGTTCGCCAGAAGTGGCTTAGTCATGCTGACCACATGACCCAGAAGCTGTACGCCGGCTCCCTCGGCCAATAAAGCGAGATGAGCGCTGCAACCCCAGAGTTGGTCATGACTGGACCTAATGGTCAGGGGTCCCTTTACCTTTACCTAGGACTGATGAAAGTTGGAGTTAGCAACATCTGAAGGGCCACAGTTTCCCTATCAGTCTGATAAGGTTATGTGGGAACATGTTTGCTTAAAACAACAACAGTTAAACCACTTAATAGAGTATCACTGAAGGCCACAGCTTCCTAGTTGGGGATATTAAATGCCTAGTTCCTAATGCTCAAATGTATAAAAATCAAACTTACTTTTATTCCACCCACAACACAAAAAACTCTGTGGAGAGGACACTTGAATTGACAATGCATAAATAAATGTATTGCTTGTTTTACTGTGTGGTGCATATAAGAAGGTTCCACTGAACAAGTTACCGTGTTTATATGTTGTTCTTGTATTTACATGGGGCAGGAGAAATTGGATTTTCAAAAAATCTAACTTCAATTACCTGAAATGTCCTTCTACAGATCAAAATATAAAATGAGATTCTGCACATTACTGATTTCAGATTGAGCAGAGAGTTGTTCATCCACCAGTACCTATGACCTGTGAGGTATTCTGACCATCTGTAATACCTTTCTAGATGACTAATCAAAGCTATTTTTTCTCCAAGTTCTCAAGCAAACAAGAGTATGCTGTAGTTTATTAGCTTGCTGTCATACTGGTACCTTTTTTACATAATGCTTCATTTAAAAAAAAAATCTAAGCAGGTTACCAAAAATAATATAAAATGTTTCCAAATTAGTACTGATAAAATCAACTGACATCAAAAGCAAGTGGACATAATAAAATTATCAAATATAGAGAAAATCACTAGTCTAAAAACAAATATACATGATAAAATTGCATGTCTGGGTAGACTTGCTTAAACAAAAATGGTTTTACAGGCATCAAAACCAAATGAGCTTTGGTGAGCAATCCTTTGGCAAGATCTGCTGTCATCAGCACCTTAGTACGCAATGGATCACCTGCTCAGCTGGCTGATTCCCCAGCTGGCTTTAAGACCCCAACCCCAGCTCAGCCCAAGATGCTCTGGCTCTCTGAAGCTCAGCCAGCTAAAGCAAAACCGAAGTAAGTTCCCAACAAAAGGGGTATTCTGGGGCCATGACAGGGACGGGGCCAGAGACGGAATAGGTTGGATCCCAAGCCCATTCAGCTCAGTTATGTGATCTGGCAACCAGGACTAGAACAGTATATTAAAGGCTTCTTTCCCCTCTACCAGGCTTAGGCAGAGAGGTACCAGCAGCCCCACTGCTGATCTGGATTTGGATCTGGTGCAACTTTATACTAGTTTAACTTGTATCAGCTTGCTTTACACCAGCTTCCAGGGCATTAAATTGTTGTCTCATAGTAAGTTCTTGACCACAGTAACCTTGTGGGAGAGGAGAAGAAATTGTTTGCACAGTATCTACAGTCCCAATCTTATTTGCTAAGGCAAATTGCTTCTATTTTTGTCCCGGCCATTGTCCATGGAATGACCACTTCATTTCCAACCACAGACATTGAAGTGCATTTTGAAATAATGCATTAATGAATTTTAAATGTTCACACAAATGAAATAATAAAAATAGAGGCTGCAAAATATTTTTAAAGTCACATTCAAATTCACTGTGCTGGACTCGAACAGAGGGCAGTTCTTTCTGATTTTCCCTTGCTTGGATTTTAATTTGACCTTATCTATTCTACTTTTTCTTCATAGCATATGAATGCTTTGAGGACTATTGATATAAATAATGTGATGATATGATTAAGCTGCATCCCTAAAGAAAGCAAGAGAGAGAGAAGTCACCCTAAATAATATGTATTGGATGATATTTATCATCTTAAGGATTTTTACACTGGAAAAAAATATGAAGGTGCTCATTATAGAAGACTTCTATAAAACACGTTTGATTGATGATAAAATTAGTTTGATAAATAGAAGCTCATAGTTGCAAACTACTGAACTAGTGTTCTGGAGTCAGTCTGAAAAATATCGGTGCAAAGGAGAAATATAACAGTTTCCTAACCCATTCTGTATTGACTTTCAAAGATATTGACATAAGTAATATAGAGCAGGTTAGGTTGTAATGCAATTTCATTTCATGTTGGGTTTTCCACAGTTACCTTACTTTGACTTCAGTAAGGAAAGAACCTTTGGAAATATGTCGAAAGCGTCTGTTTCAAGATTACAGATTTACAGAAAAAGCTTTTATTTTATCTATTTTTTGGCTGCGTGTTGTTTATTTAAATCTAGTGGCAGATTCAGAAACAATCCCAATAAAATAAATAACAGACCTAAAATAGAACCCTAGAGCTATGCTTTCTCGCTAAGGTTGTGGGTGGTTTGGTGAGGGCAGTGGGGCTCACCTGACCTCCCAGCAGCTGAGTTGTTGCTGGTTACCAGGAAGAACAGAGGAGGCGCACAAGGGAAGTTGGCCAGAATTGGCAGAGGCAATCTGGAGTTCATACCAGCGTGTTTGCACCACGCCTACCTTCTCATCCCTTCACCTCTCCTTCCAGGTTAACAGCAGGAACTTGGTTGCTGGGACATCAGGTGAGCACAACTGCACAATCCCACAGTCAAATAATGCCAAAAAGGACCCACAAGGGGGGGGGGAGAGATCAATCATACCATCATGCTTGAAGGCCTCTGCAAAGTGATAGAGGTTTGTCGGCGAGTGATAATGTTGTGGTGCCCCTTGCCAGCTTGGCGAAGAGATGCTTCCCAAAGCAGGGCTGCTTGATCGTTGCCTGCTCTTCGAGTTAATGGCCGATGAGGAGTATGACGAGCTGGCAGACTTGAGCCTTAAGACAGCAGCATATGAAGTAGGGATTCCTGGAACAGCTTTGGAGTATCCTAATAGGTGAAACAAAAGAGAGGGAGGGGGTGACTCTGAGTTGTGGGTGAGGTATATTTTAGAACGCACAGTTTTTGTACAAAGCAAATGTGACTTCTAATCTGGTCGTGCACAGTCCGTGACGTCCAGTACTTCTTTACATCCCCATTTGTATTAGACCTGGCTACAGTTATGCAGGTAACTGAGGGACGCGGGTGGCACTGTGGGTTAAACCACAGAGCCTAGGACTTGCCGATCAGAAGGTTGGCGGTTCAAAGCCCCACGACGGAGTGAGCTCCCGTTGCTCAGTCCCTGCTCCTGCCCACCTAGCAGTTCGAAAGCACATCAAAGTGCAAGTAGATAAATAGGTACTGCTCCAGCGGGAAGGTAAACGGCGTTTCCGTGTGCTGCTCTGGTTTCTCCAGAAGCGGCTTAGTCATGCTGGCCACATGACCCGAAAGCTTTACGCTGGCTCCCTTGGCCAATAAAGCGAGATGAGCGCTGCAACCCCAGAGTCGGCCATGAGTGGACCTAATGGTCAGGAGTCCCTTTACCTTTACCTTTACAGTTATGCAGGCATTCATTAAATAATAATAATATTTTTTCTTATTTATACATCTCATTTGGACCATTTAAGGTTCAAGAGCTGTTCCTGAAAACCATGCAGCCGCTTTATTGTCCTGCATTGACTGATGACCATTTCTTTTAAAAAAAATCTTTTGAAAATAACTAAATAAATATAGTTTCATCGACTTCCAATAAATGATCCATTGCAAAGTGGAAGTCATGGTTTGTTCATTATTACCTTTAAAGTCCTAGGGCACGGGTGTCAAACACAAGGCCCGCGGGCCGAATCTGGCCCGCCAGACCTCGTCATGTGGCCCGTGTAGCCGCCGCCAGCCGCCAGCCTTCACCTTTTATTCTCGCTTCTTCTTTTTTTTTTTGACACAAGAAAGCCGCCTCTTCAACGCATGCGCGGCAGCCTACAAGCCAGAGAACGTCTGCCCTCTAGTGGCGCCGGCCGTTCTACACAGGAAAACTTCACTTTACATGCATTCAGGAAACCTCCACTTGTTTTTATATTGAGCGGACACATAGTCCTACAGATACAACCGGCCCTTTGAGGGTGACCAAACTGCTGATGCGGCCCCCGATGAATTTGAGTTTGACACCCCTGTCCTAGGGTTTAAGGTCAGTGAGAGAGAGGAGGAGTGGTTTGAAAGGATAATGAATTATTTGGGTAAGTTTGAACAATTTGGGGCAATTAAAATGTTAAAAGTTAAATAAACCTTGTGGCGGGAGGAGTGTTAATGTATATAGAATTGTACATATGGTTGATTTGAATATGTTATTATTGATTATGTATACTCAATGTATCAGCCGCCTGGGGGGGGGTTTCACTATGTGGGTTTTGGTTGTTGGTAAGAAATAAAGAAAAATAATTTTTTTTTAAAAAAAAGTCCTGAAGTCCAACCTGCTTGAGGGACTATTTCCTTCATTGTGAATCTGTTTATCCTTAAAGCTGATCTGATGTACTGGGCACGCCACCGTCTTCTGGCTTACAGATGGTGGCAACATGCAAGAAGGCTTTTTCATCTGCAGCATTCCTTCTGTGGAATGCACTGGCCAAAGAATTCTCTTTGATTTCAGCTGGCATTTGAGGACTTAAAAGTATGGAAAGACTTCAATTCTGCTGCTGTTTCATCCCAGCCCAGGCAAGGCAGTGGTGGGGCATGATAGAGCAGCAAACCCAGTGCCACAACTTCTGCCCCATTGCTCATTCTGGCTGTAGTAGAAGAGAGGGAGACAGCTCTATGCTATGCCAGCGATGGCAATGGAGGCCCTCCCCTACCTGGAATGCTCCATTTGGGGGCTTTTGGGGGGCTACCGTAAGGCCCCTGGCAATACTTCTGCTTACTCACTTTAAGGGGATGAAATGGGGAGCTCTGTCCCGATGGAGTGACACTAGCATCACTCTGCGGGTGGAAGAGTTTGGATGAAGAAGAGTTTGGATTTGATATCCCGCTTTATCACTACCCAAAGGAGTCTCAAAGCGGCTTTCCCTTCCTCCTCCACAACAAACACTCTGTGAGGTGAGTGAGGCTGAGAGGCTTCAAAGAAGTGTGACTGGCCCAAGGTCACCCAGCAGCTGCATGTGGAGGAGTGGAGAAGCGAACCCGGTTCACCAGATTACGAGTCTACCGCTCTTAACCACTACACCACACTGGCAGTGCTGCTCTGCGGTAGGTGGAGGGTGACCTCTGCCACCTCCAGTCCCCACAAACGTGGTACAGGAAAGGCTTGTATTGTGCCCTAAGTTATTATCTGTTAGGTTGGCTCTGAGTTGTGTTGTTTTCAGTTGGGTGACTTGTTATTTATTTGATTATTTTAATTCATATGGCTTTTGATATTGTTCGATGCACATTTTTAGCTGTTGTATACATAAGATGCCAACACAGAGCATTTCTGGTGGAGGGGAAAATTGGGATCAAAATCTTGGTATAATTAAAAGAAACAAGCAGACCCCAAAATGCCACCAACCACAGGGCCATATGACCATGACAAGGTGAATGGATATCTGCATGAACTGTCCGTGCTACCTGTTTCTTCGCATGGATATGTGAAGATAATTTAACCCCTCCCATACTGATCATATGGTGCATTATCTTCTGCTAAATGCTATTCCACTCAGCTATGTCCCTTGACCATACAAGAACACAATAACCATGATATTTAATTTAAAAATTCTAATGTCGCTATAACACTAACAATTCAATAATTAGGAGCTCTTTTAAACATACCGGAAAATTTATTAAGTATAAAACTTGCTATGAACTGCTGGCGTTAATTCCTAAAGGTAAAGGTAAAGGTACCCCTGCCCATACGGGCCAGTCTTGACAGACTCTAGGGTTGTGTGCTCATCTCACTCTATAGGCCGGGAGCCAGCGCTGTCCGCAGACACTTCCGGGTCACGTGGCCAGCGTGACAAGCTGCATCTGGCGAGCCAGCGCAGCACACAGAACACCGTTTACCTTCCCGCTAGTAAGCGGTCCCTATTTATCTACTTGCATCCGAGGGTGCTTTCGAACTGCTGGGTTGGCAGGCGCTGGGACCGAGCGACAGGAGCGCACCCCGGCGCGGGGATTCAAATCGCCGACCTTTCGATCGGCAAGTCCTAGGCGCTGAGGTTTTGCCCACAGCGCCACCCACGTCCCGGCATTAATTCCTAGACACTCCCAAATATTTACACCTCACAACACATGAAGCTGCCTGTCAGACCATTGACTAACCTAGCTCAGAACTTCCTACACTGACTGGCAACAGCTCTCCAAGATTTCGGACTGGGATCTCTTCTCCGTCTTATCTGGAGATGTTGAGGACTGAACCTGGGACCTTTCACAAACAAAGCGGATCATTTACCACTGAGGTACTGCCCTTCCTCAATGCCAGCCTAAGCCCCCAAGACTAGAAAACCTCAGCAGAGTTCACCTGAGCAGTAGCTTCCTCATAAAGACTCTTGAGACTGAAGGGCAAGGCATGGTCAGGGAAAGCAACTGTCCCCTAATGGTGTACGCAGAGTCTCTCCCCCTGGGACGAATGGGCTGTCAGGCACAGTTTGTGCATTTTGCGGCTCTTGTCAATCACCGAGGGCTTCCAGCATTTCGAAATTTACTGCATATTGGCAAGCTGTCAAGTATGACAGACAACTATTATCTCCGATCAGGTGCAGGTGGCAGGAAAAGGCACTCGGCTATCAGCAGGGAGCTCAGTAGACTAGACATAGCGCGAAAATAGATGGGAGCATACAAAAGCTGCCAAGATTGGACCATTGGCCCAGCTTTTGAGGGCAGGGATTTAATGGAACCATTGATAGCATTCGTTCATTTTGTGCAGGGATGGGGAAGCTCAGGCCTGAGGGCCAAATGCACCCCCACATTTGGCCCTTGAGACCCTTCCCCTAGGCTGTGCCCCCTCCCCAACCACATACTTTCTTTGAGTGTTTTTACTCAAGCTCTGATAACACTTCCAGACTCACACATGAGGGCGTTGCTTGCTTGGCCTGCCCCTTTCTGTTTTCTTTCCTTCCCACTCAAAAATTGGAAAGTTTGGTGAAGTGAGGTGTGTGAGGTTCATTGTAGGAGGAAGTTGTGGTAATCCAGAGAGCTGGTAACAGCAGACCAGCTATTTGGGGATGTGCCTTTTTGAAATCTGGTCATCTCTCAGAAAATGCCCAAACTACTTGCAAAGCACTTGGGGAGACCCAGGCCGTTCCAAATCATGATGGGTGGCTTTCAGTATCTAGGGGCCTTCTATATGGAAAACACTGAGCTAAACCACCCCCCAGGTGTACCAACCCATACTTCCTTCAGCATGGAAGATAGTAGGAATGGAAACCATGACTTTTGGGGTGAACAGAGGGCTATTATAATGACTAATGCACCGCACCACACTGACAGGGATGTCACATTCAGGCAGTGGGTGTTCAAATACAAGGGAGGGAGGGAGAGGCCTCAATCCTATAATAAAAGTTTCTCTTGTAATTGAATTTATATTATTTGTATTTTTTCCACTTCTCTGAACCTGAAACAGGTCACAAAGCATTTCAGACCGAAGGAAAAAAGTCTGATATTTAAGATGAGTTACAGTCATCTGCGAAGCAGGAAAATACAGCCTTCAGTTTTCAGCTCACGGCTTGATGAGCTGAAATTTATGAACCCAATAGACGTGAGCAGCAGAGGGTGTAATCCAGAACATCTGGTCAGGTTTACATCCAAGTTTTCTCAGCCTGAATTCTTTTAGGGTTTAAAATCCAGACACTGTGCAGTATAACTATAATGCGTCCGTGTGGATAATCAAGCGTTAAAGCAGGGATTGCCTTTATTTTAGGCAATCCTTGCACCGCGCCAATTCTTTCTGGAACCAAAAGGGGGAAGCTCTCTCAGGGACAAACCACCATGTAATGAATCCTGACAGGCAGCCTCAGGAGGCAGCAATTCTGAGTGAAAGGGTAGCTGCCTGG